TCTAATTCAGCTGATGTTATATCCATTGGCTACGCGTGTTCCAAAAACAAGCTTAAAAACCATTGAAACACTTTCTTCTTCAAACGGGCCGCTTTATTTATATCACGAAGTGTTTTGACGAGCGCACTTATGTTTACAATGATTTCTATTTGAGAACTGAGAAAATTAAAACCGAAATTCTGTTATTAAAACGACAGTGAGAGAGGTCGCTGCGGAAAGCAATACTGCATTGGTGAATGTTACAACACAATCTTGTTTTTGCTTCCTTGTTTTCTGAAAAGATCAGGTATTTTTTGCTGTAGTCTGACAGCTGACAAAGTAGCCATAAGAATTTTGGCGAGCCATTTGGAGAGGGGTTTTCTTATTTTTAACTCAACTAAAACGCTTTCTTTGACGTAACAACCAGCCGCAATTTAAACAAAGAACGAGAAGGGGAAATATGAGTAAAAAAGACTATTTTGAAAAAGTGTTTTTGGGGCTTTGATAATCACAATAAAGCAGATGCAAACATTTATTATAAATGAAAAAATAGCGGGATCACCACCAGAAGGCACTCCCAGAATAGACAATACTGGTTAAAATAGTGTCAAAAGCGTTTTATGACTAAAAATGTTTTCAATTAGTGATGAACTTTCGACCGCCTGTTCAGTCTGTACACGTTTAAGTCCGTAGAATAGACAGTCGAAAGCTCGTACTTTTTGAAAACATTTTTATTTAGAGAACCGTCCTCTTGATATTTTATTAGTTATATGCTTCATTAAAAATATACAAGTGGAAACATTTCATTGTACTTTTGATCGTTTGGGTAATTCTTGACCTTTCTTGAATGTGCAATTTATCGCCGGGGACACAAAAAATGCAGGGTAATAAACTTGGGAAATGTAGCATGATATTTTCACAAAAGGTAGCTATATTACACAGTGGCGAATTAATGCTGCAAATACGATTAATTTATATTTGTGTCATCGTAACTAGGGGCTCAGTGATACAATGTGAAAACGAACGAAGTAAAACGGGCGAAAAAAAGCTGTATATAAATAGGCTATGGTTCACATGTCTATTCTGATACTGTTTCAAATAACAGCTGAGTAAAAAGAACCAAACAGATGCGTTTTAGAGAGAGCAAAAAAGAGAATACACGGACGGTGAGCTCGAATTTAATGATTACTTCCGTAGCTTTACCCCACGCACACTGACGCTTGGAGCAAAACTAATTTACATTTTACCTCTCCGTTTCAGGGCTTTTTTATTACGCCGAGACGGATAACACTTGACATCTTTTTTAAACCACACAATATAATATCTGCTCATTGTGTTTTAATGAAATGTATAAAGGACCCGTCACTATCCGGCAATTTATCATGCACTCTTCGCTTCGTCTTAGGAGAGCAGCAGAGCTCAGTGGAGGATCATTGACTCAAACCGTGTTTATTTTACCTACAGAGAGAAGTTTTCGTCGAGGAGGCTTACACTTCACATAAACGAACTCTTAAATATCTAACGCCTCACGTAAGGCTATTTATTTATTTCATATATTATTCTGGTTTGAAGCTTTTTATGAGGAATTTGAGCAAAAGGTACGTCTAGTACTCTATTTTTTATGACCATATACATATATTTTTTAAAATACAACTCATTTCACTACGTTTCAGTATGAAAAAGGGCTCTATTAGGCAAGGAAGGATGGTATCTATTTTCCAGCTTGATCGCACGACTATTTTCATTTCCTAGCAACCTGTGAGAGATTCGTATCTAGTGTGGGGGGCAACCAAGGCGGTTAGGTTACCTGGGTGAAAATATTGCACCTTCTTGAGTGTACCTTACGAATGGAATATATGTCTAGGAAGGCTATATCAGTAAAAAAAAAACAATTTTCTGCATACTATAATTGTCTTGGTCAAAAAGAAACATTTTTCTGCAATTTTAAACTCTCACTTACTAGAATTAGTTCTCAGCATAAAATAAGTGATTTCTGAAATGAAAGTAAAAAGCACTAAGTGAAATTACACACTCAAAAACTAGAATTTCTTTACCCATCTGTACAGTTTCCGTTTTCTCTGCAGGTTTTCTGGGGCAAAAATATCGGATGACCTGCGTGGTTTGTGAAAGGGTTGCTTTTTAAAGGCGTGGACGCTTTTATTTACTCAACTTCATAATTTTTGGTGAAGGCAAAGTTTGTCGTACATAATTAGCTTTTATAAGACAAAAGAAATTGTTCATAGTACAAAAGAGCCTTTAGAGTTTATAATTTCATCCTAAATCACTGAAAATTGAGGTTCTGGTATAGTTCTAAATTTTCAGCCTTTTGTAAAGCTATTTTTGACATATTTAGTCTCGTTTCAGTTAGCCCGGTGATGTGTTCTAAAAAAATGAAGTCCGAATTCGCGATTAAAGTTGGCGTAGATCTTATTTTTATGCTGTACAGGTTTTTTTCGTAAGGTCCACATCAGCTATTTGGCTGCCTTATTTATTGACCTACATAACCAATAAAGTATGCATGTACGTATTTATATCACACAGAATAACTAGACGCACTTTATAGTTTAATATAGGCAACTTTCCTGTCCACAAGAGGACAGGATAGTCTGGATTGTTAAAACAATGATGAATGTTTGAACAATTTATTTTTATCATTTGAATTGCTTAAACGAAGTACTTACTTCCTGACCACATAGATATTGCTTTCTTCGTAAAGTAAACACACAGTTTCGGGGAAAATTTCACTATATTCCCAGCTAGTTATATTGGACATTCCTCAATAAACTCAATAAATAGCTAATCAGATCGAAAGTTCATCAAGCAAATGAATTAAATCTTTGGTTACTGGCTAGGAATCAACAGAAAGTAGTGTAATTTCGAAACGGTGAATTCGACAAATATCATAAGGAGAGGATTCCCCCACCCCCCAAGACTTTTTTGCGATTTTTATAGCGACTGCAAAATCAACAGACGTAAATTTTATTTTTCGCCACATTATTGACGAATTCATAGCGTTCAAAAGTTTTGACCAACAAATGTTTGAAGATAAAGACTTCATTTAAGGCAACATCTTTATAGCTTTTATCAATGCCTGATATGAATCATGTTTAATTGCTAGGCAAGAAATTTTGCAAGTTTTTCTTCAAGCTAGGGTTGTTAATGAAATGCAAGTGGAAACAGTTGTAGCCTCGAGCAATTAAAATCGTTAACAAATTCAGCGATAACTAAAATTTTCGCTCAGTCTGATTGTTTTGCAGAAGTGATAACCAAAGTAAACATTTCTTGTTTTGATATTAGTCACAGAGGACTTTCAAATAAGCCCGTACAGTTAACTACAATATGTAATATAGACGATTTTATTTTCAGTGGAGAAAGACGGTGAAGACGTAAACAAGCTCGAACAAACTGAAGGTAAAGAAGGCCATGTAAAATAGCATTTCAAAATTTTTTTTGGAAATAAAACAGGTTTGAAATGCTATTTTACATAGCCTTCTTTTAAAAAAGACCATTCATGTTGCTAGTTTTTCAAAATTTACAACATTTAAGGACTTCCAGCTTCCAGCTGGAATCTAATTTCGCGCCCCAAAGAGAAAGACGTGAAAGATTGACATGTAGTTTGACAGTCCCAGATCTAGGTTGGTTAGTCAATGTATTCCTGAAAAACGTCGGTATAGTCGATCACGTGTGAATAGTGTAAAGATGTTACTTTTAGCGCTAGTGTTTCAAAAATTTGCATCGTTAAAATTGCACAGAAAGATGATTTTCTGCGCTACTTTTGCGTTACCATTTTCAACCAACTTCAAAAATTCTCAACGCCAACTTACAACGCTGTGTTGCGCTAAAACCTGAACCTTCCCTTGTTACAGCACCATCCTTATCTTTTGGACGCGTTGAAATTTTTTACCGTTTTTATTTTTCTTAATTTGGAAATTTTCTGATAAGGAGTTTTCTCGGGACTGGAAATCTGCACTGGTTCTCGGGACTGATCTCCGTACAAAACCTTCATTTGAAGTTCGGGATTTAGGACTCGCGGGAAAGGAATCAATATTCGAACGGGACAAAGAATTTGGCGGGATCCGATTCTGAATTAGCAGTATAATTTCTTTACGGCCCCTCTCTCAAAAATATTCGAAAGGGACAAGGAATTTGAAGGGACCCGATTCAGAATGAGACTGATTAATACGCGATTCAGGCAAATCCTCCCTTTCTCTTCCTCTATCAGTTCCTGCTCGCAGGGTGACATGGGATCGGTAATGGCCTTACATGGCCTCACTTTGGACCAGTTTATAAACATGCATTGATATTTTTTACAACCATTTAGACGCAGTAACGAACGATCAATATTTCTACCTATTATTCAAACGTTGTTAGTAAGGATTAGACATTAAAATATCATCAACTGAGGTATTCAATATTCATTGGCTATTTCGTTGGCGTGGATTTCCAATCCTTTTCAAGTAAAAACGACGGGTGTTTTACGTTAAGTTATATATAATTCATCTGTAAAGTATATTTAGTTTTGTCTTCTTAAAAGTGGTGTTTTTTCCGACTATGTGCGTAAGAAGGGCTTAAAAGATTTACTTAATGACGAAACATTTTAACATCATTATAGAAAAGAAGAAAAAAAAGATTATGTCTTACTGCTGCTTATTATTAATTTTTTGTATTCAATTAGATCTCTCTGTTGTTTTCATCATTTGTCTTTATATAACTTATTTTTAGATGCTTTATAGTATTAAACTCCAAAGCATTTCTAAAAAAATATAAACAGCAATCTTTGTCTTTACAAAACCTTTTTGCTTCTTTACACGAGTCCATAAGCCTTTGAACTCGCTGATTAGCAGAGGTTTAGTAGTATTGTAAACGAAAAAGACGCAGACATAGTTACTTCTCATGGAATAGTTCCAAGGGTGCAATGTTTTAGAATTTGCATGTCCGCGACAAAGATTGTGTTTCGTAATATAACCTGGTGTTGGTTGTATTCGACAGGTCTTTTTAACGCTAAAGCACGTGTCTTATCTATGTGTTTCTACAAAATGGTGTTCTCTACGTTTTTAACGGTGTGGGTCTTCATAACTGCAAAAGGTATACACGGAGAGATATTTACGTCGCTCTCACAACTCAAAGGCCTTGTTCGCTTGGAAGGCGCGCTGTCGAAAACTCTTGACAATTACCTGGAACAACAATCGGAAGCTCCCGATATTATACGAAAATTTGCCGATCATGTTAGAATGGAAAGCCAAATCGCCAAAAGCGATATTGAGAGGTACGTGTTTCACCCCATCAATTCCTTTCAGCTTGTGAGACGGTTTGTAAGGCATTGGAAAGAGCTGGGATCATATCTTGAAAAAGGAGCTCCAAATGGTGAGTGCGAATATTACAGCTTGTTTCAAACCAAGGTCGTATAGCAAAAAAGTAAAAAAAAAAACGCATGGATGAGCGAGTGCATTGTTGACTTACACGGAACAAGCGCAAATTTTCTAGGGCATGTGAGGCTTGCTAAAGATGCACTAGCAGCTTATCCGTCTTTAATAGTTCATATATTTAAAGGGAACAGGTTCACGGTTCAGCGCATGCTCATTCATCAAAATGCTGTTTTTCTGCCGGGACATGCTGTATCGTCTATACATGGAATATGATCATGTAATAATGTTGTCAAAGAACCAATCTCCACACTCCCCTGGTAGTCACTTGCACTTGATCAACTTAAATATTTGCAAATAGCTGTAAATTAATCAACCAAGGAACAAAACCATCGAGTCAACAATAAATTTAACGTTGGTAGTGTTGGCATAATCCACTAATTTTTTCTACCATTTTAGTACTCCTCCATCCTCCTTCAGGTTACTCTGAAATACACTTTTTACTTTGAAATACACTCTGAGATCGCTGAGATACATGTGAGCGGAAATATTAACCGATAGAATTAATAATAAATTGGAAGAAAGTAATTTAATTCATGAGCATGCGCTTAACCATGAACCTGTCCCTTTAAAAGGAAAAAATTCTTTTTTAATTTGGTCTGACTTTCATGTTTAAGATCTTCAGTGGGAGCTTAGAATTAACCGCCCAGCATTTCCAACGTACCAAGACTTCACGGGAAGCATTTCAGCGATTCTGCGCATTCAAGAAGTTTATAAACTTAGCGCATGCGTAGTCGCTGACGGTAAACTGCACGCTGGAAACAACAGTGGGAGACTGGGCGCAGATGAATGTTACGAACTGGGTGTCGTCAGTGATTCGAAGAAAAATTACGATGATGTCATCGAGTGGATGAGGGAAGCGCTAAAGCGTATGAGCGCGCCTTATGAATACAGCGGCGCACTGTCAAAAGTTGATGTCCTGGAATATTTGTCATGGGCCGAGTACAAGGTAGGTTTTAACCTCGTTCCCAGGGTCCTCTCCTACTCGTCTTTACGTGGAGACGAGTAGTAGAGAACTGGGTACAAGGTTGGGAGGTCTATCTGCTTGAAATAAGAGGTTTTGTTTTGAAACCAAAGTTAGTCAGAAACATTGAGGCTAAGTGGCTATGCTACTAGTTCCAGTTTTCATCTGGTGTTAGTTTGATGCCGAAAGATTGTTTGATTTTCACATAAAGGCTGTCAAGAACTGTAATTATTTGGCCAGAAAGGGTTTCACATAATTCACCCTTCACTATTTTCAAATATCCTTCTCGAAGTCTTTCATCTGAATCATCTGCATGAAAACGAGGTTGTCTAAACCCAAAGTAAACTCGTCCCCAGGGTGTTTTCCTTGGAAAATGGGAGGAAAAGTCCTGGGGACGAGGTTGAACCCAACGCCGCTCTTGTGGGAGCGACCAGGCCTTTTGCAAAATAAGCGTCTAACAGTTATTTGCTAGATATGAGAGATCTCGATATGAGTTCAGGAGGTCATAGGATTGCGCTTAAATTAATGAAATTTGCAAAAATAAAGCTATCATTAGCTATTATTTCTACCGCGTTCATTGCGCGGTATTTCTTTGGGTTCCTAATGATTTGCCAAATCTGCTGTATAATTAAACGAACTTGTCCCATGAAATAAAAAGACAAAAACGTTCAGGACATTTGAACACTCAGCAGATCGAAGTTTTAGCCTCTGTGAGGCATTAAGAAGTTAAAAACTTTTTAAAAAGATCTCAGCTAGTTTTAGACCTCGATATTTTAATAATCGATTTTAAGATCTCAAATTTTTTACTTGTAAACATATTTTGCTTTTTTCGTAATAATTAATTGATTAGTTAATTAATGCATGAGGGCCCCACTGAAAACCGCCTTGGCGAGTTGGGCTCCCTCTATAAATATTATTATTATTATTATAATTATTATTAAGTTGCTATTAAGTTTTATTTTTTTTATTTGTGCATTATATTCTTACAGCTTGGGCTTCTCGATGATGCTATCATACACACAAAGGATATTCTACAAAAAGGTATGGCTAATAGTAAGGTGTTAGAATTTTTTTTTTTAAAGTACGCTTTGAGTTTTTAATGGTAATGGTTGCATACTACTTCATTTCGCCTAACAAAGCTTTTACAATGCCATATCGGCGCGTAAAGCATGGTTTGGCTAGCTACAACAGCACCATAAGCGCGAGCAAGTTCTCATCGATTCTCAAACGGCCTATATATACGCATAAGCACTACCTTAAGTAGGATCTAGCACCTGGCCGCCCGTTTGGGGGAGGGGTTGGGACGAAGAAACGGTAGAGACTTGAGACTTTAGACGTCCTCAAGCACCATAGCACAGGAAGAAAACTTCTACTTTCACTTGTGCTCCTCGTGTTTGTGCTCCTATTGGTGCGGTGTTTTTGGTATACTTGCTTTGTGTGTGTACGGCATGCGTTGTGCTTGCGTCTCTACCAGGTTTAACATTTGATCTAGCTCATGGTCAGGCTTTTGGATTCGCGACTAACACCTTTTAACTGCTTTTTGCAGATCCAAAGAATGAACAAGCTAAAACTAACCTAGATTACTTCAGAGCAGAGCGGTTAAAACGCGATTTACTGACAGAGAAGTCACCCAAAAACGAAATCAATAAAAAAGGACAATTTTCCCTCACTTATGAGAGGTTATGCCGTGGGGAAACTAGAAAGGCAAGTGGAGAAAACGCACACAGACTGGAGAACCCCGCATGTTGGTAAATAGCTATTCTGTAGAGCGGGAGATCTCGGGTTCCATTTCCAGTGTCGGGTCAATACTCAGGATCTTGAAATACCTTACTTCCTTTGCCCTGCATTGTCCCACATTAGAGTGGCACCATGACGACTTCTTATCCAGTCCTGTCTCTGGAAGGAGACATAAAAAGACTAAGGCTACGTGAAAAGGGACGCAACAACTCCCAACATTGTTGCGCCAACAATGTTGGGAGTTGTTGCGTGCGTGTCGACAGTGGTCTGCAAACGGATGCAACAACTCCCAACAATATTGGGACCTGCAGTGCATCGTGGGAAGGATACAACCCATAAGTCTTTGTAAAACATGCGTAATGAGCGCGCGTGGCCCCAATAATGTTGGAAGAGCTGTGCAAACGGATCCAACGTCGTTGCGCTACGCTTCGGCGATCACGGAACAAAAGAAATGTTGGGAGTTGTTGGCTGAAAAGTTTGACCGGTTTCAAACTTTGCGCAACAACATCCAACAACATGCAACAGGGTGTGCAAACGGACGCAACATGTAACATTCAACAATGTTGCGTCCGTTTGCACGCAGCCTAAAAACAGAGGTGTCATCGATCAATACTTTCTTGCTAAATACATTGACACTGAAATAAAGTAGATGTTATTTTATTCCCCCCACATGTAAAGTGTTTTATAGCTTACACAGAGGACATATACACATCGGCGCACTGATCATGTGGGAAACAGTTTTAGGGAGATGTAGCTTTGACTCTCATACCATTGGTAATTAATCCTCTCTGGAGAGTTTAAGCTTCACGTGTACGGCAAACGGCAAACGTCAGAATCAAGTTGAGAATTTCTCAAAATGGAAAATGAGTAGATAAAACAACTCAAAACAATTCTTATGGATAAAAAATTGTGGGAAACTACTAATTTATGTCTAGAAATGATAAACAGTAAAACGACAAGTTAAGGGGAAACTTGGCCACGTGGTACAAATTCGCGTTTGCCCTTTGACGTAAACGTGATGCTTAACCTCTCTTCCGTTACAAAGGGGAAGACAGATTAGGACTATTCTTTCGCCACTTTAAAACGAGAAGGGAGCTATGACGAGTTAACTTTCGCAAAGGCGTCTGGGCTGTTACTAAGGACAGGGAAAGTAATTGGCCAATAGCTGACCATGCAGCGCGTCCCCGGTTACTTTCCCAGAAACAATTGCGGACCGTATTTCGGCCCCAGTTCTCTGAGATGAATTAGAATCTTTTCATGCATTTCTGTAAGGTAAATGAATAATCTTTCTATACAGAGCCAAGAGGAAAGAGACAAACTCTTCTGCTACTACGACAACAATCGTCCCGAGATACTCCTGAAGCCAGTGAAAGTGGAGATTATAAATTTGGATCCAAATCTCTACCTGTTTCATGACGTTGTTACAGACAAGGAGATAAACCACGTGATTAAACTAGCAAGACCGAAGGTTAGTTTCCTCGTCGACGCTACTTAAGCTGACCGCTTCCCGCAAAATTTTCTCTCTGGCGGGAATAGTGTTTTTTTCGAGTGCCTGCTTTGAAGGCTATCCTAGCACCCCTCAATGCCGGACGCACTCCCAATTTGTAATTTCTACTAGTAAGTAGAATTATCGCTTTAGGATAAAGTAGCACGACATAATTGTCTCATTTAGCCGCAATTGAAGCTGGACACTGAGGCATGGAATATTAACGTAGGGAACGAACTCATCTTTTGGGGAAATGCAGACACATGTTACGCTCCCTGTGCTCAAAACCCAACTGCTGTCCTGATTTCATCAAACAGTTAACAACCACAAATAAGGTCAAATATTGCTCCCCATACGGCGTCTTCCCAGTCCCTCTCGGTCAATTTACTTCGGTGACGTGCATCTTCTCTTGGACCACGTGACCCGAAACACTTTGGCCGCGCGAAATAATAAGGCCTAGGGACTAGGCAAGGTCAAATATACACTTTACTGCTGGGCTTAGTTTCATGTGTGTTTGTTTTTGTATTTAATCGGCCCTTGATCTTAAATCACGTCTTCAAGACTTCACACCTTTGCTTAAACTGGTAAGAATTTTTTTCAGCAGCCTTTTGTTACTGAATAATTTATGTTGTTTGAAGTGTTACATAACCGTCTAAATTATCATAGTTGTCATAGTTGAATGTGTGTAATTTTAAATGCGTGTAAAGGGAATCTGATTGGACATGTTGAGGTTTGCGTGGGACTGGGTCAGTGTTGTTTCGAATTGCACTATGGGACTGTGGAGACGCTATCGCGTATTTCATTGGCTTTTTCGAGGTTTCACAGGAAACTGGCTAAAAATTCGTTCCCACAATGCAGTTGGACCCACCGATCCGATATATAGCATAACCTCAATTCTCCAATATTCAGCACTTAGATTCTTACATCGAGCTTTTGTTTGTTTTTCCTTCACAGCTTAAGAGAGCGTTTGTAACAGATACAAGTAATGGCAATCAGATGTCCGCCGAGTACAGAATCAGCCAAAGGTTCGGAGCAGTTAGTTAGAACCGATCCGAAATATTGAGAGGGGGTAGGGGAGGGGGGTTTGCTTTAGGAGAATTTAGAAGGAATCGAAGAAGTTAATTTTTGTTTTGTTTTTTAAGTGCGTGGTTGGAAGACAGTGATTCCTCCATCATCAACCTAATAAGTAGAAGGATTCAAGGGATAACTGGGCTATCACTTGATCCTGCGCATTCAGAACCACTACAGGTAAGTTTAAACCAATGATATCCCAAGGGTATAATCAAACGTACCCCTCCAGTACCCTGATATGATGTCAAAGTGTGCATTGCATTTCAATACCCTTGTCGACAACGGACTAGAACTGCTTTACCCGCGTAGGTTAGCTCTGCAGTTTGCAACAGCAGTATGAGAATAAACTTGGTACACTCGATCTTGTTAACGTCAAGTCTAAGCTTGGAGGTTTTTATCGTGATGACAATAACCCTCGGATTATCCAACACCCCTAGAATACTCTCCTGTCAAGAGACTATAAAGGGGACAGAGAGGGCATCCCCCATATACACCCTATTCCTTAGGTAATTCGTCTCGAGTTATTTTTAGAATCGGGATAAAGTTACCTCGCGCGAGGCGTGGATGTTTCGTGGAGGTTTCGCATGACCAAACGCCGTGCAAAACATGTCGGGCGAGAGGCAATCAAAGCGTAAAAAGATCGAGAGCATTCCTGAATATTGAAGCGAAATGAGTCGGCGCTCACCTGGGAAAAAGGAATCGCTGGACTCTTTGACAACCTGTGAAATCAGTTTAACTCGAAGTTGTCGTCACCTCAGTGCTTTAATAAAATGAGAAATTTCGCCGGTCTATTGAAACCGGTCGTTCGTACAATTTAGGGAGTTTAAGATCCAACGACGCGGACGACAACTAGAACGTCAAAAAAACAATAGGTTTAATTACCAAAACAACAACTTCGCACGTGCAACACACTTTTTTGTTCATTTCTTTCCCGTTTTTGCACGACTACGACGTGAAAATGCCTAATTTCGCGTTTTATGGAGGACGTAAATAAGCAACGACGAAATTTTATTTCTCTTTCTGAGCTTGAATATGGTCCCTTGAAATTCAGCTTTAGGAGGGTTCGCCTACAATTGACAAAGTAAGTGGGTAGGAACAATCGCTATAAAGACTGAAAAAAATAAACATCAAACCAGAAATTGCTCTCTTCAAACTGTAAATTATAACTGATCCTGAGAGAATATTCAGTGTGTTAAGGATTTCCCTGCTCTACTGTTAGCTCTATACAAGAGAGGAAGGGCGATTCTTTTTTAATTTCAGTTTCGCCGACACAGCTTTCGCAGAAATCTCGCTGTAGTCGTTTTCGTCCACAAAAGGAATAGCAAAATCGCTCTCCGCGTCTTCCCCCATTTTGTTCTGCGTCATTTCGTGAAGGAGGCGTGGCTCTCAGTGTGATTCATCCACGCGGAACACATTCGCGCTATGTGATTGGCTGTTGTCTAATCCCCCTTGAGATCTGTGGTGTTAAAAATAACTCGAGACGAATTACCTATGGAATAGGGTGTATATGGGGGATGCCCTCTCTGTCCCCTTTATAGTCTCTTGTCTCCTGTGTATTCGATAAAAAAGCAGTTGGCTTATGTTATCTTATTCTCGCCAATTTTTTGACCCATAAGAAGGTAACTTACTTCTGTTTTCTCTCAGGTGGCTAATTACGGCATCGGAGGACACTATGAGCCGCATCACGATTACGTCCAGGTATATCCTCTCGTTAAATTGAGATTTCGAATCCACGTAGAAATTAACCTCGTTCCCAGGTTCTCTCCTGTGACGAGTCATTCACCACTTTAGAAACGAGAAAAATTAACGTTCGTCTGGGACTGTTACTACGGAGGGAAAAATTAACCAATAACCGACGGCGCGTCACCAGTAACGATCCAGAAAAAATTGCGGCACACATTTCGGCTCCAGTTCCCTTCTCTCTTAGTCTGCTACAAAGCCGTTTTTGGTGTCGTCATGCAACGCTCCTCCCTTGGGAAGGAGCGTTGTGTGACGACACTAAAAACGGCTGTGTAGCAGACTACTTCTCTCTTGCTTTGTCTGCGCATTTTTACCCCTCCAGTTTACTTTCGCTCCAGTTTTCGTGCTTAGTTTCCACAGGATAGCCCGCGTTGCAGCGGGACTTGTTACTAAAGATTTTGGAGTTTGCCCCCAAAGTAATTCTTGACTGCTTACAAGTATAACTAAACTTTCAGAATTCAGACCGAAGTCTACCTCATGGTGAAGTTGGCGATAGGATTGCTACGATGTTGATTTATGTAAGTTCCCCGCACAGCGATAGAATCTTAACATCAATTTTTTAAGCCACTAAAACAATCATTAATAGAGTTCGATCGTAAATAACATAAATTCCGAGTGCGCCAGTTAAACGAGGTAACCAGGGATTCTTTTGTTGGAATTTTCATTGGACTTAATGTTTGTTTTAATGGAGGTGAATGTTAAACAAGACGCTTCTGTAGCGTATAATTGGGCTTCCCCAAGTTCTCAAGGCATTTGCATGTGCAATTTGCGCTCAGTACTCAATACTCGGTTTTTAATTAGATAGATTGGAATTCATGAGCCCGACCGTGTCTTAACTGCATATAACGCAGGCGCATTATGGTGCGATTGCAGCTTTGTGGTTTGTCTGCGAGAAGGCACTGATCGTGTTCACGCTTCGCCTAAAAAGAGACTAGTCATAGGCAATCCTGCTTCTAGAATCTTCATGGCCCTAATCCAGTAAAGGCGGTAGCCTAGTGATTCCTGGTACCGACCCGCAAAAGGAACAAGATTAAGTAAGGCATTACACAGGACACCCAAGTAATTGCCTATCGCCTATACACCAACGTTGACTTTGTATTGACCAGGAAACCAGTACTTACACTTACTTTCTCTCGCGCGCAGTTGAGTGACGTAGATGCTGGCGGCGCCACAGTGTTTTTGGATATTGAAGAATTTGTTCATCCTCAAAAGGTTTGTTTACTGACTTCTGAATTTAACTTGCGGTTCCACTCGCACATCAGACGTGAGAAATCAGTTCGCAAAGGTGGATCGAGGTTTTTTTTTGACGTTTGATCAAAATTTGTGCACGTTGTTGAAAAACTGTTTTTACGGGTAATCCTCTCTCTCTGGCTCATTAGCAAAAGGTTAATGGTCAGAATGTAGAGCCATTCATTAGAGATAGAGCAAGCCGTTGACATGTCATGTTTAAAAACTGATTAGCTACGCAATTTTCATTTTTAACCAAGGTTTGAACGTGTCATCACGGCTGCCATATTGGTGGCTAAGAACAAAAGCATTTTTCTCCTCGTGAAAATGCCTCAAAAGATGTCTTATGCATTGACCACTAACATGGTCGCTTTCTCATGTTATGAGACGTGGTTGCAGACCAAGACTGAATTCAGTTCAACCAGGGTCAACGTTAGTTAATCCTTTCAGTTTTCAAGAACAGTGCTAATATAGAGCAATACAACAGTCAACAGCGAAAACAGTAAAATCAGTTAAATATTCAGCAAATCTCTTCTTTCATCACTTAATACGTCGCCAGCGTTGCATTTACGGACAGGGTCAATAGTCCTCAAAATTCTTAAGACTATTCAAGCCAGCCCTGTTATAAACATTCTCAGCCCGTTTAAATCTTCTTTTCTTGTTTTGCAGGGTGACGCGGTATTCTGGTACAACCTTGATAAGAACGGCTTTCCCGATGAAAGGACGAAGCATGCCGCTTGTCCAGTGGTTGTAGGATCAAAATGGGGTAAGTATCTTTAAACACGTGCCATTTACTTGTTCTGTGTGGCTTCCGCAGCAACCAGTCTCGTCAGAGCTGAACTCGATGAAAATATGTGTTATATGACGTATTAAATGACGTATTCGCGAGCGCGAATGGCAAGGGAAGTTTGGAGTTTGAGTGAATGGTTTGTGTTGGGGGGGGAAGGAGTTGCAGATAAGCTTTGCGCAGGTCAGTTTTACAAACTGCGTAATCTCCAGTACCTGTACATAGTATTGTAAAGACGCAAAAACTCCTCAAATAACTCGAAGTGAGAGTTCTGAATGCATCAGAACTTACGGCTTTTCCCTGTAAAACATTTCTTTGATTTTAAATATTTATAAATTGTTGTCTTTTGTAGTTGCCAACAAATGGATCAATGAAAGAGGGCAGGAGTTTCGCAGACCATGTTTACCGACGTCATGACCAGCCTTTTGGTTTCTAAAAGTTTATATAGTTAATATTTATTTATTTACTTTACCAATATATTATACCTAGACTATACGCGGTTGTCACCAATAAAAACTTAGGAATACAGTTCCTTTGTATGGGCCGCGAAAGATGATTTTTTAGTCAGTGACTCAGGCGGCTCGTAAGGAAAAAATCCGAGTACTCCCAATATAGGAGTCGAATCTACTAATCGCCCCCTAAATCCGGAGAATTGCGGTCGTTTCGCTCAAAAGTCGATTCACCGGCCAGGACATTAGTCGATTCGCCCGATGACATACAACACTCCACAACGTGGTTAACACACCTTTCGAGATGTTATTTTAGTTACCCTTGGCTTCCACACGTGCAGTCACACCGTCTTTCCATGCTTATTCCCTTTTTTCAGAAATACGCCTCAAGCGAATCGACTTAGTCTAGGGGAACTGCTATCGGACGAAACCATACCGATCCATCAACTAAGGTACATGAGACTAATGGGAGCCAAGGTCATGTGACAAACATTCTGCATACTGCTAGGACTACAGAATGTCGATATGTGCTTATGCGCACTGGTAGATATTATTTTAGCCTGGTGACTACATGAGAGAGAAAATTTTTCAGTCAGTTCTTTTTCTTCCGAGCCGCCTGGGTCACTGACTGAAAAATCACTTTTCTCAGGCGATTGCGCAGCTACACTTTTATGAAGTGACATCACAATTTGAATAAAATCAGTGACTCCAGCATTATTTGTGCCAAGGAGCGAACTGACTTTTAATGATAAGAGAAGTTTGTAAACCCTTAGGTTATGCCCCAAGCCTGCGTCACAAAGTCTACTCCGCCGGTTTACCGCAAACTGCCGATAATAAGCTCCTCCACTTGCAAACCCCCCAGAAATAACCCCCCCCCCCCCATCACCGAATATAAGCCCCTCTCTAGCAGCCTCCTCCTCAGGCGTTTCGTTTCTCGCATGGTAGAGGCGAGCGCGAAACGCGAGTGACTGGTGATGAACCGCAAGAAACCATGGGAAGGTTACAGTTGTCTCCTTTCCGCCTTCCTTTTCGCGCACATTTTCATCGAGAGAGAGAGACGTCTGGGTACGATGCAACCTCTCTAGGTAGTATCGAAATAAATTAAATTTATTATGACGCTATAAAGCTTATTTTAATACCAGTAAATGCAAAACGTATATTGATCAGCACTGCTGTAGCTTGTTTCGAAGCGCCTTTTTGCTCCCTCGGATATAACACGGGGGATACTTTAGGAATTTCTGGATGGGGATGTGCCGCTGGGACCCTGGAACCCTTAACCTATACCAGAGCTAGTTCAGCTAAATTTTGCTACCCTATACTAGAGTAAACTCCCCAAATCCCCCTATCCTAGAGTAGCTGTTTCCCTAGTATAGATAAAATCTTAAACCAACTGATCAGTTTCCTGAAAAATGATACCCTCGTCTTGACCCAAAGGTTCTGATTTATATACCCCATCCTAGAGTAAACTACTTGAAAACCATACCCTTCACAGCGGCACATACCTATATAGCCCATATATGGCAGTACCCCCGGGACATAACCCCCTCCGTTTGTAAGCAATCCTGAAACCTCTCACAAAGATAGGTAAGCCTGTGGCTTACAGTAAACTGGACATTATCCAGGTTTCGACTGACACGTCTAGCTGTGCCACAGGATTTTCCTAACCAAAATTTATACGCAATCAAGAGAAACGATTTTAAGATTAAAGGTGTTAATGATTACCTAAAGTTAAATTCTTTGATCAAACAAATTCTCTCAACTTATCACTCAAGGCAATGTATGAACATCAGTCTGGAGAATTTAGATGTGGATATTTATAGGGTTAACATAAAAAAAAAAACATACTATACGTTTCTGGGAAACTGCCTACCGTAGGTGGGAGTTTCCCAGAAACGTATAATGATCAATGATCCATAATAACAACAACTGTAAGACAGCTGACAAAGATTTAATTTTCCTCTGCTTCACAAAAAACAACTTTCATATATAAAGCTTCTTATGATTCCCAAAACATGTTGTGCTTTGAAAGATTGTAAACATGTCTCTTCTCCGAGGCACGCTGCATTCCTCTGCCCACACACAGAGAGAATTTTTACAGAGAATTGGCTTCTGGGTATTTCCGTATTTCAAACATTTTAATTCTAAAGAAAAATAACAACTGCTAAGAAAAGAATTATTTATCATATCTAGCATGTAATAAAGTTCAATTTAAGAAAAACACCCACAAGAACCCGTCAAGAAGATATTTAGCTCAAAGGCAAGAGACAGTGGTTATGTTTAATGCCATATCAGCACAGCTAAGTTTATTGTCCATTGGTGAGTTTGTAAAGTGATGGTCATCTATTTGGTTTGTTGTGCCTTTGTTGCTATAACTGCTTCCTCATCCATGGCTTTCAGCACAGTTACCAAAAATGTCTCATCCCTTTCAAATTTACCCATGATTTCTTTACCCAGGTCCCCCTCGGGCAGTTTCAAGTCCTCGCGAGTATCACCACTGTCATCCATGAGGTCTAGAAAGCCATCATCAATGTTATTCATCTACATAAAAGAGGGAAAAAAAGACAAGAGCAAAAGCGAATATAAAACAAGGGTGCCAAGAAAATCAGTTTTACAGCTTACCCTTTAAAGCAAGTCATTTTGACTAGCTCTAAAAAGAGTTTTGACAAGCAGGATAATTAATTAATTAATTGATTACTATTTGTATTTATTTAAAACGTAATCATTGGATAATGCAATTCTAGAGCTCTGATTGGCTTAGCCATCATGGTATGACCCATTATACCACGGTCTCCAAATATTATGGTAACTGTACGCATCTGCTCAAAATTACAAAACAAGCTTAATTATTCCACTTGCGCTTGTTGGATATGAGATGATTATAGCCGAGTCATATCCAGTGCACACTCGTGGAATAATTGTTACATGTAACAGGACTACATGCGTGTACAATTTGGAAATAATTGGATGATAAAAATTCGGACGATAGCACTATAGGTTAGCTCAAAAGCTAAGCTCCTCTGACCACCGTGCACTTCTATCAAAGCCATTAATTTCATTCTTTTCTTTTTTCTCTTTTTTGTTATTTAATTCCTACGTTACCACATACAGTGTAAATATTATATACAAGTGTGAATAAACTGAACTAAACTGAACTGAACCAAGTCCAATTTGGCTGTCAAAGGAATTTTATGACTTCAATATTTCCAAATTGGACAAGTGCAATTTTTTAAGTACACGTACTTGTGTAATGTGAATTCCCCCTAAAACTTCCCTTGTCCATTAGGCAAGCCAAGAACAGAATTCACTTTGCTTGATGCAAAAACCCACTAGCCCCAGGCTATCGGATATGACCATCTTTGTACGGTGAAAAGTTATTAGAGTCAAACAATCTTGGGCCCATAAAACTAATCATGCCAACAAACTAGATGGCATCTTGGATATTACATAAATGCATTGTACAGCATCTCACTTAGCAGAATGAGCTGAAAATAATTTTCCTTACTTAAGGTTATTCCTGGGGGTTTCAATAATAACTGAAGTAGCCAGCAGGCATAAACATCAAGGCTGCTGCCTAACGGATGCCCGGTCGCCAGAGGCTCCAACTGTTTGCTCGCAGGCGACTAAAATTTCAAACAAGGATCCCACATGGGCGCCTTCACTTTCAGTGAAGGAACAACAGAATTCCCTGCTCACTTTGCGCTTTTGAAATGAAAATGTAAAAAGTGTTCATTGACTGTCGGCAAAATATCTCCGCTGATAACAGTAAACAAACAAGCACTTTTCTGGAAATTCAAAACTCAAACGAATCAAGTTTCGAGATGCGGGAATCAAGTTTCGAGAATCTGCTTACCTATATTTAAGTTTATTGAACAATGGGCTCCTAGAAATGTGGCTCGGGCTGCCAAGTTTTTCTCTTAGGAGCCCACATCCCAAAAAATTTTCTTAGGCTGCAGCCTTGAAAATATAAACAAACTCATAGTAAGGCAGCAAGGTCTGTAAGCAATACATTACTGGTCCATGGTCAGTTAACACCTTCTGTCTCTGACTGTATTTTCCTTGAGCAAATCATTTTCAAAACAAAACCAAACTAAGTGTATCAAGCGCTTAAACTAGAGGTGAAACATAACAGGATAACTCTCGCCAGGATGGCCAAAAGGTGACTGTGTCCACTTAACAGCAGTTTAATTTACAATTATTTTTCTACTATTGTTTTGGGACTTTGTTTACTAGCCAATTATTAAAGGGTGGCCGCTTGATGGAGGTTGAACTGTAATTTCTGCTGGCGTGAGCAAGTTGGTATCATGTTACAAGCAATAAATGACAGGTTGTATGAGAAATGGAATACTGCGTGCTGTAAACAATAAATTTATAAATATTGTTATATTTTACCTTTTGATCAATGAATTAAGTAAAGAAGATTTTTCTTTGTTGTATTTCTGTGTGTTTGGGTGTGAATTCATCAATTTAGTCCACTTTTTGGCTCTATTGCTTGGGTTTGAGGTCAAATTTCTCTTGTCCAAGGGTGGGCTTGTCAACTTGACAGAAATTTTAATTTAATGAAAGTTAAAACAGTGGGAAACTCGTGAATGCTTTGTTTAGAAAATAGAAAAGTGATTTAATACGAAATACTTGAAATGATATACCCAATTTCCGCTGCCGTGCACGTTCACTTTCTAAAAACTAGCCACTCCGGGGTTCAGTATCTGTAATCAGTAGCTACCAAATTTTTGTTACTCCTTTTTATCAACTGATGGAAGATAAAGCAGTGATTAAAGTTGTGTGAATTTCCAAGATTAAGGGCAAAAACGACAAGAGTGATTCGTTTTTAAGCGTAATACTTGGATACATGCTACATTAGAGATGCCTGCTTGAGTAAGCAAGCGCTAGAAGGCAAGGATCACCTATTCAAATTAAAGGTTAGATTGAATACCAGCTTATGAATTCCTAATTAAAAATAAATATCAACCCTTTAAGCTTCAAGACCCACATACCAATTCTCCACACTGATCTCCATACACTTCTTAAAATTCAAGCATATGCTATCACAATATGAGGAACCCTTTTGAAGTGAAAATTTGTAAAGTTTTAACCCGCACTAAAACTTCATGACAGCAGGGTTGTTAAAAAGATTTCAAGTAGCAGGAGAATAAGGGAAAGTTACCGGCACTGGGGGCCGGAGGCGAGGGCTCTGGGGGCCGCACGGGTACAGGAGGAGCGCACCGTTAGGGGTCCAGGGGGCAAAGCACCCGGGAGGAAAACAGAGTTGAGGTTTTCATGCTTGCTGAAATTGGCTCTCCTGAGCTGAGGGCAATGCTAACGAGAGAAGTATCTGTTTTTGAATGAAAATCATTAATCCATTTTTTTTATGTCCTAGTACAAGTAAGGTCCATATATTTTTGTTTACAATAATAGCGTTTACTATTTACAGTAGGATTTTTTACAATGATAACAGATCACATCTTTAGTTGCATTGCGTTATCACCACGTGCGCCATTCAAACTATGATGCTGCAAAATGCTTTTCTTATGGGCGATTTTCTCTACAAGAATGAAGTTTCAGACAACTTTCCTTGGTGGGTATATTATAACAAATCCTGTCAGCACATGAAGCATACCCATCTCTTTCAGCAGCATCAATCCATAAAAAAACTAAAATGATGTTCTACACATTTGAAAAATTTTTGTCACAGCAAACTACATTTAACACATTTTTGTTTCAGTTTCGAAACTGCCGTTTCTGGTACGTATTTATTTTTGATGAATCCTTCAAAAGATTCGTTTTCGATTCATTGCAACACAGAGTTGTTTCGATGAAGTGATTAAGTAACGTGACGTGTTATCCCGGACATAATTCAGGACAAGCTGATAACAACTCTTAACGAATGAGAGAATGGTTGTGTAATAATATTTTAAAACCAATGTTTTCGAATGCACTATCTCTGTAAGCCAATTTCATAAAAGACAAGTACTCATCGCATTACATTTCATTCAATTTCAAAACGCACACGCGTGCCAGATGAGTGCGAAAACCACAAGTTTGTTTCACACTTGTTTTAAAATAGAAAATAGAATGTCAACACAGACAAATTTTCAAAAAACAGACACTCGAAAGCTTTCGTGTGTCTTTCGTTCTTCATTCTCAGCGAACGATTATTTAAAGACAACGAAAACAAACCTACACTATTTTTCTTCGCTTCGTGGTATCATATTATGGCTACGGGAGCAGACTCGAATACCCGTCAAAAATCACGAAAAAGAACATTCAGGGTGTGATTGAAACAATTCCTTTTTCTATTTCACAACTTTTTTAATCGTTCATTTTTATGCTTCTCTCCAACAATTTATAGCTGGCGAAACCTTCAAAGTAGCCGGCGATGAAGCCTGTCGCCGGTGCATTTTGACAACCCTGTGACAGTAAAAACTCAGGAGGATCAATAATTCTTTAGTTTGAATATTGATAACGTCATGTGAAAACCAGCAATTAGGATTATGTATAGAAAAAGGATTAAGGTGCAGAATCAGTTTGTTGGTGTAATTGTTGGTGTAAACTCACACATACCTGGTAGTCCTTGCGTAACACATGTGGCACATCCATATTGTGAGTCGATGGACAGATGTCCTCATACTTCTTACCAGTAAAAATGTCTATCCCTACCAGATGAACCTTTAATTGAAATGAATAAATGTGAGCATAATGGAACCTCCATCGAGAAGTCACTGTCTCATAAGGTAGGAACACACTAGGTGACAAGTTGCAAAAACAGATCACTGTGACAGATCATTCCTTGTGTACAGGTCGGGCGACTAGTTGCAGCAACACGTCGCAGCGACGAATCGCTTCATATGTCCTGGAGAATTTTTGAATTTGTGAGACCTGTTACAGTGACAAACTTCTGTTGCAGCGACAAAGAGTTTTACAAAAATACACCAGTACAAACAAAGTAATTTGTTGCTGTGGCATGTTGCTGCAAGTTGTCGCCTTGTGTGTAGTGACCTTTAAAGGGGCTATGTCACAAAGATATTGCTGCTTTAGGTCAATTCTGGGCTGAAGTACCTACTTAGTACCTTTAAATACACAGAATGCTAGATAACTTCTGGACAGTCTTGAGAACTGTTTTCATTGTACCTTCTTTAAGAAGCAGTTAACATAATTTGTGACCCTATTTGGCAAAACCAGGCTTAATGGAAACCATTCGAAAGTCACTCAGAAGCATTCAGGAAACGTTTCAAATGTTTGCAAAATGTTTCACTTTGACATCATTTCTTTGCATTGTCTGTCAAGTTTTTGCGTGTGGGGTCACATTTTGAAATATAAAACTTAAAGCACGGTTTGCTTCTTCTTAATCACGGAATCGTGCTAAACTTAACTTACTGCGTACATTGACCATCTACACGCCTCTTTAAAGCTTCTCTTGAATACAGAAGTTATCTTTATTACAAAAGGCCACAGTCCATTGAAAAACAGCGACACTTGCACAGAAATATTTTGGGGATATGTCAGACGACGCAAATGTTGCCATGTAACCAAATGAAAATGCAATGAAATACATCATTTTTCAAGAGGTGCATCTTCACTTCTCATCTTTAAAATAAGACTAGAAACCACAATATTTGTATAACAGATTTCTCCGTTCCAAATCAACTCCTGTGAAAACATGATCGTTGAAAAGAAGCCAATGTGTTGAATAACGTTGCAAAATCATTCTTAATCATTTGACAAAGTTGGCCACATTCATGTGAAACGTTGCCAACCCATTACAGACAATTGAGAACATTGCAATGCATTTTACAGTATTCAAATGCATTGAAAATGCATTACAACGCAAATTTCATTAAGCCCGGTTTTTCTAAATAAGGTCACATTAATCCTATTAATCCTGTTTAAAGGGACGTAAACAGCCGAATCTTCAGAAAAATTAAGAAGAAAGGTAAAAGAATAATAAAAATGGCAGACATCCAACCTTTAGTTATGGAAAGCACACTTTTATAGTCCCATGTTGGATTATGTTTTAGTAACATTTCCAACTTGCTTCTTTCATCATTTAAAATACAAGAAAATCTCCAGGTGAAACCACCTTCCATTAATTGCCCGCTTTGCAAAAGACCAAAATTCTTCCAATGCCTCGTAGTTAGTGTCTCTGGTAAGCAACCCCCTCTAGATAAGGACAATGGCCACTTTGTGGGGTGACAGTTAAGGCTGGTTTTCACTGGCGACAGAATCGGAGTCGGAGTCGTAAGCAGAGTCATAAGCGTGCTTATGACCTAGTGAAATTAAAAAATTGGAGTCATAAGCAGAGTCAGAAGTGCGACAGAATTAGAGTCAGAAGAATCAGAACATTTCCATCTTCTTCAGACTCCACTCAAGACTCCATCGCTTATGTTCTGCTTATGATCTAGTGAAAACTAGATTGTCAGAGTCGGGAGCAAAAGCAGAGGGATAAACCAATAATGGCATTTACATGTATGACTGGGTGTGCACCAGATTCATTATTTTCCAAATATGTTCAAAGAACTAGCATCTCTAAGCACACTATGAGGAACTCCCAGATGTTATATATACATATCTCTGCATAAAACCACCACGGAGTTGTAAGCGGAATCAGAAGAATCAGAACGCTGTTTTCACTCGACTCTGACTCTGAATGTGTCACTAGTGAAAACCAGCCTTTATGTGGCTAAATGAAATTTAGGCTAAGTTAAACTCAGGACATGGCTGGCCAGCAGTCTCCCAGAGGAGATATCTGGGGACGCCCTTATTGCATCAAAGGGCAAGGCTGTGCTCTAAGGAAAATTTCAGGGAGCCCTTCGGGCTTCCAAGCATTTTATTTAAGTCGCCCAGACCTCAAAGTTGGCCGCCCAAATAAAAATTTCGGGCTCCCAAGCATTCCAGCTGGGGTGCCCAGGCCTCTCAAGTTGGTCGCCTGAGTACATCTGATGAGGAAGTATTTTGAACAAACGCGAATCTTACTCGTCTGCTGATCACCAAACTCGGTAATTTTAGCTTTTGGGTTTGACAAAAACCCGCATGTTGTCTTATGAAACCCATCAAAGTTTTCGTGCCATTCAGATTTAAAACCAGAAACGTGAGCAATGCCGCCGAATTGTTTAGGTCTTAAAGAGGGAAAAGTAAAAAATTTCAGCAGGTTTACGTAAACTTCATTAAGATCTTTGGGTCAAACATAGAAAAACTGTGCTTTTTACCAGTAATACTAAACTTGAAAATAAATTTTCAAAAGGTGAATCAATGCGGCATGAAATATAATGTGACGGAGTTTTATACCCAGTTGATCGAACTCAAGTTCCCGTGAAAAATACCGTGAAACAGTGAAACCGCCACGGCCCCAAACCTATTGTTTTAATAAAAAAATAAGTCATATTTAATTTTCTTTTCTATATTATCACTGAATCTTTTAGGATAATTGAGCTTTTCGTGCATACGGTCGAAACGTAAACCAGCTCTTCTTTCTGTATTTTTTTTTTCATTTTTTTGGCCGCTAAATTTATCCTGCATGCGAATTTAGTTTTCGATACGTAAAATGCCAAGACAACGTGGAACTACCCTGTTTCTAAAACAGCAATAAAAATGATCAGAACGATCATATATCTTTTCTTTTTGTATTTCGTTATCTTATGTAAAGGGAAGAAAACAATCATAAAATATGTTTTAGCCAAGCAGACTGAGAGCAGCCAAAAACCGTAAAAACATTATATTTGCATACTGGTCAATACAGCAACTTCCGTTTTCTACAAAAATAAATTACTCCGCGTCGCCTGCCGCACTTTACGTCTGTCAGAAAAGTATTGACAGTTTCTCCTAAAAACTGTACCTAATGAACCATTCTATCTGAAAGAAAAAATTTTAAAACTATTTTAAGCAGCGGTACAAATCGAAATCCTCACCGCTTGTCACGTTTAAAGTGATGGATTATGTTACGTGTGAAATCATGCAGAACGGCATCGACGTGCACCCGTTTCTCTCGTACAATATTCGTAAAAACATTTTCTGTTGGGTTTAGCTAAACTCTGACTCAACAAGCCAACACCAGTATGTTAAATTTTTCTTCCTGCTTAACTGAACACTGCATCAGAAGCAAGAGTGCCCGGCCGCGCGACCGGGAACTTTTTTTCAGTCGCCCGAAGCTAAATGTTAGTCGCCTCAGGTGACCGGGCGCCGTTAGAGCACAGCCTTGAAAGGGGCTCACTGGTTTTTTACAACCTTCCCTTTGAGGTCAGGCCATTATGGCTGTGTCAGGCCATTATGGCTGAAGCCTTTATGTGGCTAAATGAAATTTAGGCTAAGTTAAACTCAGGACATGGCTGGCCAGCAGTCTCCCAGAGGAGATATCTGGGGACACCCTTATTGCATCAAAGGGGCTCACTGGTTTTTTACAACCTTCCCTTTGAGGTCAGGCCATTATGGCTGTGTGTTGTTACCTGTCATAGCTCGTGCTTGCATACCCCTACTCCTCCCCCCTATGGTAACTGGGTTCCACTTGTTAACAGTGTGACAGTACATTGGTGAATGTCACTTTCAGGGTTATCAAGGTTACGCATTGCACTTGGCTGCAGTTCAGGCTTCACTGACCTCACAGGCACCTCCCCCCATGCTCACCTCTGTTGATGAGTTTAATTTAAGTAATGGTCCATGTAAGAGGAAAGTAGGCGAACGGCAAAATCAATTAAAAGGTGCTAACTTTAATCATTAATTTCAATTAAATCAAGCGTTCTGATTGGCAGAAATCCAAAAATCGCCAAAAAGACAGTGAGAAACGTGACAAAAACAACTTTTCTTAGCTTAATTTTCCCCATTCCCTTGTTATATACCTCACGACCAAGTTTCAGCATTGTTCTATGTGCCAATCAAAAGTTAGAGTGGAAAAACTTGCAACACATGTGTGACCTTGTTGTGACCCCATCTTAGATGTGACACTTGAGATGTTGGGAAATTTGTCTTTTACCCGAAGAAATCTCGTCAATCTCTTCGTTAAAAATCTGCATTTTATATTTATTTCAAATTTACTGTATTTTATCATCAGAATGATCGTCAAAATGGTCTTCAACATAGTTTGCTGCTGTCTTCTACATGCTGCCGAGTCGCCATGTGGAAATTAGGCTGGGCGTAGTTATTTTCGTTGTCATGCCGGATCAGGAGGAGATCGGAATAATTGTGGCACTAGGAATTGGAGTACAGCTGGGCATAAAAGGAGAAAGTGAAAGATTTGTTGTTTTTACAAGGATGAATTTATTTCTCGAAGAGATGTAGAACACTTGAGCTTGAGGTAAGCTGAACTCAATAGATTTTCCCACCTCCGCGAGCATTATGTACTGTGTTATACAATTGTGTTTGCCCTTTTCGAAACTTCCATATTCCGTGTATCTTTACCCATCTCTCATTCGATTTCTTTTCCTCTCTAGACTACTTCAGCAAGTGAAATGGAAGTTCACCGTGCACCTTAAATTAAACTGACCGAATTGAAATTTGTGACACAAGTTTGCATTTTGTATCTTTGAGTTCTGAGACGGAAGCCGCTTAGGTATCATATAAATATCTGTCACTGGTGTTTGACTTTCTTTTGGTACAGAAGATCTAGCGAGCATGACTGTAGCTTGCCTTTATTTTTTACAAGGACGAGAGAGATTGTAAGAAGGATTTCTACAGGGTAAATATCAAAACCTTGTAAACAGATAAACTGTAGGAGAGCTTTTTCTGAAACTCGATTCTCCGAACATGCAGGAATTTTTTCTACCTGGGCTACATCACCTTTTTTTCCAAATGCAGAACATTTAGATAACATTTAGATTTGATTTTGTGTACTTGTTGTTCTGTATGGTGGCCAAATATGAACGCGCGACATTGGTGCGTTCACCCGATTCGCCACATGAGGGTAAATTGCTGCTGTTTACGATCATGGTTTTTGACATTTCTTTTGTGAGGGCCGACGCAAATGTTGTTTCCAACGTCGCTGATTGATGTAACACTGTGCTTATCTTCACGTAATTTCATATCAGTTTAACTTCCTCGGGTTTGGTGCATAGAAATCTTTTAAATTTTAGATATGTTATATTTTTCAACATAACAAAGCAATAGACAAAATAAAAAGTTGTTTGAATGAGTCTTAAGCTATCTTAATTCAACTCTAAAATTCAAATTTCGTGCTTTTCGCTGCATTGACCAATCAGAGCATTCAGATTTAATTTGATTAGAGAAATTAGCGCCTGAAAAATAACTGATGCTTTTGCCGCGGGCTATTGTTTTTCTGCCTGCTTCTTAGCTGGACCATTACTTAAAAGGTTCTCCTTTATTTTACCCCTTACAAGCAACCACTTAACTCATGATCTGTTCTCTTTGTTCACTGTATAACGAAGGCGTTCCTTACTTTTGCATGTCCATGTTTTCCGGTTTTAGAAGTAGACATTTCCACTATTTTGCACGGGCGTCCCTTGATAAGAACATGACCATTTTTACGAAGTGCTGAACATTGCATGGGGTAAGTCTTAGATGCACCAGCATCAGCTCCTCCAAAGTCGTCCTGTGTCTCAGCCATTAATGTAAACACTGAAAAAAGAAATGGGGGCAAGATTTACGGGGATCACTGTTTTGAAGTTGGGAACCAGATGTTTGCAAACACACGAAATTGATGCTAAATGTGTCTGGCATGTTTTTCATCAAAAGTGGAGTTTGTTAATTAATGAATGGTAAAAGGCATGAAATTCCTGTCACATTCCCTGCATGTATGCTGCAGTGATGTTAGGACAGTCCCTCTATTTTCCTTGCCTCCTACCCAACCACTCCCCACCTCCTAAGTAGATTCGACACTCACTGCATGCATCCAAGATGGCCCACATAATCCAAAGTGCTTGATATTGACAATCTTACAGAAAAATAGGGGACTGTAAACAGTCTAATTTTCCTCATACACTGGTGTTTAAATCTTGACATCTAATGTACTTCTTTAACATAATTTTTTTAAGTGAAAAAAAAAAGCGCACGCAAGCAAGGTTAGCAAAGTCCTCGAAAAGAAAAGGCAACACCAGTATGCAGATAATGACTATAACATACTGACTTAGGAGCCATAATAAAGTGACAAGAAACATGTTGCCATCACCCTAATATCACTGCCTCTTATAATACAAATCATATTATCATGGGGAGATACAAGCCAGACTTACTTGCCAATGTCTGGAACATTCGGTTTATTTATTAAGGTAATTCCATTGAAAAGCACCTACTATCCATTTATTTTTCAAACTTGGCACAAGTGTCAGCCATACATAGGACCATCAAAAACTGCTATAAAAAGATGGGTTCACCATGCTTGTTTTCGTCCTGTGTACCCACAATTCTGGTTGTTTTTTCATAGCTGCACGTGAAATGCTCGAAACTTGAACAACCGACAAAAATTCTTATAATATAGCAAAAACTAAGAATTTTAACTAAAACCTAGAGCTCATTATTTTGTTTTTCTGGGCTGTAATTTTTCAGTTTAGTGATTTCAAATTACCTGATCTTGAAAAAATGTAGACAAATGGACAGTTTTAACATTATCTGATACTTCTCTGCAGCTCTAAATGCGGAGTTTCACGTCATTCATCAAAATAGCTATTAAAGGCATTGGGACTACAAAAGAGGACTAAATTACCTATTTTTCAGTCAACCAGTGAAAATCACTGCCACCTTTAAAGTCGCAATGCTATGTGCTCTAAGTGAAGCACAGTGTAAAACAAAGGGATTACCTTATGTTCACAGTCTGCATGCAAACTATTTTTTTGGGGGAGGGCCATTTGACAGTCAAATTTTACACTATGGTAGGGCAATAGACCACTATATTGGCCCAATGTAAAGGCAATTTGAGCAGGCCTGTCTTGAAAATTCAAATGTGAATGGTGCATTATCTTGACATACTGTACTTTTGCCCATCTAAACAAAAATTAAAGAGTTTCAAGCACTTCCCGAAAAAAAAACTGAAAATCTTCAGGAATCTTAGTGCTTCACTCAATAAAACAACATTTCATTCGAGGGTGTACAACATTGTTCAACATTTATCATGTCCTGATGGCCTTCCGCCTTAATTTAGTATAAAAACTCACAAAAAGCCAGCAATACTACAGACAATATAAATTATTTCATCACAATGCAAGAAAAAACCAACTTTGTTCTAAAACGTTTCCAAGATAACATCCTTCTCAAGTTTGTCACGTGTGTATGTGAAAGCACATACGGGGCCGGGCCGAAATGAACTTAATTTCACCGGTAAAAGAACCGATTGCAAACGTTTGAAGAACCCACTATTAAAACTACACAACCCTCATTATTAAGCATTGAGTTACTGTAAATTGATCACTGAAATAATCAGTGTACGGAGTCAAAGACCACGTTATTCCACAAGACCCGCTACTGGTGAAGGCCAAAGAAGTTCATCAAAAGATCAAAAATGTACTTCCTTAGATAACGAAAGCAAGCTCGTTTGAAACATTTAATCATCCTGCATTAACAAGGGTGCGAAGAAGAATATGACACACCATGCGATACTACAGGATCAAAACTAACTGCAGAGAAAATAAGACGATAAATGAGATACTTACAATCTGCAACAACCTCACGGCAACGTGGTTTAGAAAGGAAAGGCAACGAGGCCTTGTCCGACAAGAGAGGGGGTACCAATCAATTGATCAATGCCCTACCCATGACGGAAGTAGGTTTGGAAATTTTATGGTGTGTGTGACGGATATGACATCACGTTTACATTAAAAGAGATGCTTTTCTTATTTTGATCGAATTTTGCTCTTTGTTTTTAGCAGGAAGAGGCTCTTTGTGTTTTTCTTGAATGTTTGTATGTGTTTGTAATTCTTTGCCAGGATTGATTGATTAAGTAGCATTCAAACTACACCTTGCTTGTGACCAAGTTCCTCTTCCGCAATGAAATCGAGCAGGCCTGGGAGCAAGAGCTCCTGGGAGAGTTGTATTTCACAACCGATGTTGAGATTTCTTAGGTAGGTCATATGGAGGAAAGCGCTTTGTTTGATTTTTTCTGTGATTCTTCTCATTAAGATTATTGATATGTTTTGCAGTACTATAATCCATTGTAATGAATATTGTACAATACTACGGAGCATAACAGAAATCTGTTGAAATGTGCTAAATCATTAATTTAGAAAGCTTTGTTTGAAATGCTACAGACTCCAAAGCTTACTTAAGCGTATATTTAAATGTAGGCAGATCAGGCGCATGGCAAGGCTTATTTTAATGTATATGTTTTAATGATATACTCCTAAAGACAGTATTCACTATTATCTTAATACTGCTGAATATCTTTTAATACCCAGCTGTTTAACAGCTCTCATGAGAACTAGAAACCAGCTCTGAAACTGAAGACCGTTAAATAGCCCACGGTTGGCTTACCTTTGCAGTGTATGGGGAATTGATTGGGACAGATGAATAGCCTGCACCACCAACAAAACTAAGGGTGCTTTCCAAAAGTCAGAACTGGCCGCCGGACTATGGCCAGACCAGACTTTCTGGCAATGAAGTAGGCTTAATCCAAGAGGTTTAGCTGAAAAGCCATCTCCTCTGTATGTAATATTTTGGATTTGACTGATCTGGATGCCTAGTTTTGATTAAAAGTGAAATTCTCATTAAGATGGAAATGGGCTGGCTGGTCTGTTCTGACAAATGGAAAGCGCCCTGAACCTCTGGTTGAGTCTGCCTGCAATCCATCCAGTCCCGGAATCCTTGTTGTGGGCCCCCATCTGTGTACCAGGATTTGAGTACGTGCCATGATTGGCCTGTTAAAAAAGCTATTGTTTGATTAACCAGTTAGGTTAGAGGGAAATTTGAAACACACTTCTGGTAATTTGGTGAGTCCTTTGGTGGCCCAGAACAAGGATCTTGGCACTGCTTTGCAGACCTTACTAGCTGGGGTGAGATTACGTCTGTGATGCAGGTTGCAGATGTTTGAAGGGGTTAATACAGTGTTCTTTTGTGTTGGTGGGGGCTACAGAGATTTGGTTTCTTCAATACCAAGTTGATAGTAGCCTGAGAAAACAGCCAACATTTGGTGATGCTACCACTGGTTCCCCGACCAAATGATGTCTGAGAAACAAGCGCAGAAATTCCATATGGATGACATGTCACTACCCAGATCTGGGTAATGCTTCTAATTGGTTGAATCAAATTTCTCATGTGTCACGACCAATCAGAAGCACTACCCAGACCTGGGAAGTGATGCATCATCAGTATGGAATTTCTGCGCTTGTTTCTCAGGCGTCATTTAGCGGGGAAACCATTGGTAGCGTCATCCAAGGCATTCCACAGTTATACCATATATTTGTGAAAAAATTCTCACTTTTTCTGATTTCCTCTCTTGATTTAAGGAGGAGCCGTAATTATGACATCAAGAGGACAAAGTGAGACTCAAAAGCTAAAACAGAATCTTGGAGAACAGCTTGATCGATTGGTAGCCCAGCTTGCAGATTTGGAGGAATGCAAGTGAGTTGTTCTTTAAAATCTGATTACTTATGATAACCACTTCTTTGAGTTTCAAAAAGTTAAAATGAGACCTATTTTACTGTAATTAGCTTTAGCTTAGTGTTGAAAGCAAAGACACAAAATTTAACATTTTTGTTCGTCAACTATAGACTTTGTTGTTTTTCCACAATAACCAATAATATTGAATTTGATTTGTCTGTTATTATCGATTATCGTATCGCTTAAGGTTTTTGATCAATGAACGATTATAATATTGATGGACGGCACACCACTACGAGCAATAAATAATAAATGTTTTCAACTTGTTATGTTTGGTTTTAAATTTATTTTTTACAATGTTGCTTAAATGACTGTTATCTTTTGTGTGGGAGAGAATAATTACCGTTAAGTATTAAATTAATGTTGATTTAGTAACAGTATATATAATAATTTTATTATGTTTGTAGGGAAGATTTAGATGATGATGAATATGAGGAAACAAAAAAGGAGACGCTAGAACAACTTAAAGAATTCAAGGAGACATTGGATAAATTTGCAGCTGGGAATGTAACTCTGGTTGATGAGATCAGCAGCATGCAGTTGGTAATTTTTAACAGCTTAAATACAGTTGAACCTCCTCCAAGCTGCCATTTAAAAGCCCCCTGGAGTGCTTGTACTTGGAAATTGCCAAGGCAGAATAAAAAAAAATAGATTTTATGTGTTGATTAATTATTAGCAAACCAGCCTGACCTCCATTCAGTAGACACTGTATTCATGGGACGCTTGCCTCGGTCCCGAGGGTGTCCCCTGAATAGAGATTCCAATGTAAGCTTATAAGGCTGGAACGTTGTTATTTGATAGTGGATTTGTTTTGGAGACTGACCTGGTCTGGTCAGCCACACTACTGGTTACAGAACCCTTTGTTCATTACCTGAACCAGAGACATTTTCAAATACGTTACTTTATCAACAGGCCATTCAGGCAGCCATAAGTGAAGCTTTTAAAACTCCTGAGGTCATCCGCTTGTTCGCAAAGAAACAACCTGGACAACTAAGACAAAGACTAGCAGAGGTATAGGATGTGAAATCTTTTATGGCTGCTTTAAAAATAACTAGTGATCATACAGTGAACAGGGCTCATACAGAGTCCTGAATTCTTGAAAAAGCCGTGAAATATAATTTGCCCAGCAATTTTCCAGACCTGGAAAATGTCTGGAAAATAGAGATAAAGTCATGAAACATTGATAAGATCTGGCAGAAATAGGGGTGGAAACTGGAAGAAACTGGGATGCGAACTGGGAGAAATTGGACTGGGTTATATGGTGGTGTAGAAACAGAATATTGTGGGCAGAACTTCTCAGAACTGAAAAAAATGGCAGGTTACAAGAAGAAATAGTTTTGAGATGGGAATGGAAATTGGGAAGATTGGGCTGAGAAATTAATGTTCAGTGAATAAATTAATATTTGTGATGAAAAAACTCTTGATAACAAGAAATTGGGATAGGATTTCAAGCTGTTTTATTAAATGTCAAGTTTTCATGTAAGCAAAATAATGATAGCTGCGAAAAGAACATCTGCTTTTGAGGGATCTCTATTTCTCTTTGTTGATTGAAGTGATGTCATTTCCTGCAGATGCAAAGAGATCTTAAGACTGGTCACCTGAGTCAAACAGCATACACACAACAAGCAGTGGAAATTTTAACAGCTTTAAAGAAGCTTGGGGAACAGGTAATGCACAAATTTCATGAAATAACTTACTATGAAAAAAATGTTCTTTTAATATTTGTTCATGTTTCTTATCGTGTGATTTCAGCTCAAACCTCAAGAGGCTGAGTTTCTGGCTGTTAATACCAATGCTGCTTTGAGTACCTTTGAAAAAGTTTCGGAAAATATTGGTATGTGCATGTATTATTTAATTTCAATACACCCGCGATGATCAGATTGATATAATACAAGGAATCAGCAGGGCTCTGAAAAAAACTTAAATTCCTTCTTGTCCTTTTGGGCAAGCAGCTTTCATTTTTTGTCTGGGGCCACTCTTGCTCCTCTTAGTTAACCCTGATATCCACTTACAAATTCTCCAAACTGATCTCCATAGATAAAGAATTAGTTGAGATGAGAGAATTTGATAAAAGATCAAAGGATTTTCCCCGAGGTGACCCTGGTCAAGTAAGGTTCAAAAGTTACTTGCCCATCATGAAAATCTACTTGTCCGTGGTTACCGGACGAGACATTTTTCCAAGCCCTGCCTCGAGTAAGTGAAAGGCATAAATAAAAATCCGTTGATCATAAATCTGAGGGTGAAATTATTTCGTCGCGTCCAACTTCTAAATAAACGCCATCCTCTAATAAGCACTCCATTTGAGGTGTAAACAATTTAATAAGCGCCGCGGCGCTTATTCCAGTGAATAAGGTGTAGGGTAACATGCGTACCAAGCAAATGGAGCACTTCAAGACTTTAAATGGCTGCCACCCTCGTTTCTTGACTCTTCACTCCTCAACGCTTGTACGTTACACGTGCCACGTCCCCTCGGAAACCGGTCGTTTCGATACAAACTCAAGCAGTGAAATTGCACAAAAATTTTGTTCACTGCAAGTATAGTTTGCGAGTGAACAAGAAAAACATTTTGGGTGAATATCTTCCTTGTTTAAGCCAAGTATGTGGAACGATTTACACCTCGACTAGATAAACTTGTATCGAAACGACGTGTATCGAAACAACTTTGTATCGAAACGACCGGTAACCGTCCCCTCTTACTGTGAAGAAGAAATATGAGAATAGCTACTTGCAGCCTTAAACAAATAGGAAACTTTTAAATTCTTTCAATTTTCCCTTGCAGGGAGCGGGGATAAACTTCTCAAAGTGGCTGGTTCACAGGTAGAAGATGCGCAAAAATGATAAAATCATGATCAATAATTGATAATTACGTACCAAAATTACTAGTGATCTTCCAATCATGGCCATGATGCTGACATTATTTAGATAAGAAAGCTTTTAACTCTTTGATGTACAAATTCTTTTGCTTTTTTTCACATAATGTCTTTTATCATAGAGGAGGTATAATGCGAAAATGTTCATAGAGTTTTTCATTGGCTTAGTTTTTCGGTGTTAAATTTCCATCTTTTGCTGTAATACACCTAAGACATAGATTTACACGGACATAGATCTAGAAGTTAGTTAAAAAGATGAGGCACAGCTGAATTTTTTGTAAACTTACTTTGAGGTGCATATCCGCTCCTAATGTAAAATTTGGTATCAGTAGTTTCCGTACTGATCAAAATTTCATGGTATCGTTCAGGTTTTACTTGGCCGTAGGCAGACTTTTGTGGCGTGGAAGAGTCTAGGGCCAGAAAGTTTTTGAAATCTAACAACTAGGGATTATGCTTCCAACGATCGCAATTAGAAGAACTAGGCCAGGAGTAAAAGACTTGGAGCAAAAATATCTTCCTCGTAACGGATGGATATTTTTGAAACACGGTCAGTCTTTTTGGGAATCATATCTTGTTTTAGTTTTAATTAATTTAGCCGCCATTTATTGCAAGTCAAGCAATTAGTTTAATTCAGAAGAGGACGCACGCTTCCGATGGTTCATCCTTCTGATTGTCTAAGGCATTTCTGCTTTATTATTACAAATTTGCAAAATGAAAAGCAGCCTAAATACGGTAATTTTCATGGAAAGTACCTTTTCCAATGAAAATGTATAAGTAAAATAGTAACATATCTGTTGTTTAATAAACGAGTAACATTTTGAAGTTTTTATATCGGTACGTTGTCGTGGAGCTGCAACTATATTTAATCATATTGCTAGTTTGATAAAAGTTTTCAGTGCAGTAAGATGGAACTATTAGAGAGATATTAAAAGTATCGAAAAATAACTTTGAAGTTTGAGGTGAAAAACATTCATGTATTTGTATGTTTGAATTAAATATCAGCGGATGTCTGGGAACTACAACGTTGTACCTGTTCCCTGTTCGCTCTCGGGTTCTTGTACCTCAAAACAGGTACGGGGTATGTTATGGCTTATTTTTTATCTAAAAAACGGCAACTTACTTTTTTTGAAACTTACTTGTTTATACACCCTTTCTAAAACTTTACAAAGCAGGTACATTTTAATTATTTCGTTTTAGGCTGAAGGTAAACACAGTAGTCCCAAAACTGTGGAATACCGGCGCCTGGACATCACACTGTCTGAGTAATCTAAGCCTATCAGCTGAATAACTTCTTTTCAAAGAGCAAGTTTAACGTTGTCTAGACTTTAATTTTGCTCATTTTGTTAAGAGTTTAAAACGCTTTTTCCCCCGAGACGATTTTTCGTCTGATCCAAAGATTTTGTCGTTTTTGAACGGAAATTCTTATTAAATATTAAAGAGGTTGGGGAGTTTAGTCCCTTTTCAGACCAGTTTCACTTAGATGTGCCGATCTTATGAGCTAAAATAATACATTTTGCTCACACCAGTTAAGTCGGCCGACGTCTGAAACTGGCCGACAAGAGATTTTATATTAGAGTACACATTGAAAGGTCACCAATAAGCTTTTCAGTTCAAACTTTATATATATAGCCATTGTTCAAACTTGAGCTCAGTTTGTAAAAAGTAGTAGAATGTATATTGCCCGCATGAAAAAAGTTTTCAAAATAGAATGGGAGTATAAAGGGAAATTACAAGGATGTCTTACGCAAAACAACTTGAACGTATGAGGAAATTTTACGTCATAAAGCGATTTTGGTAGGCTGGGATGTCATGGAAACGTACGATCAAAAACAGTGAGCTGGTATACGGCTTTTTTTACAGAAAAGGTACCCTTTTCGTACACCCTCGATCTTCCATTAAAAATGAGTAGCCCTTCACATAGCTAGTTTAGAACTTTGCATCCCTCAGTAACTGCTGTAAATGCACTGTTTTTTAAAATATGAATAAATCACAAAACCAGAACGTTTTCTCGACTTTTTCACAGCCATAAAATACATCTGTTAGCCCTTGGGGCCTTTTTACCCGCCGATGACAGATTTACCTACCCTTTCATGCACTTCAACTTGTGAAATTCCTACCCTTTTTAAATACCTAAGGTCTGGAAAAGTTACCCCTTTCGGGCGGAGAGTCCCAGTATAATCCATTACACCCAACCTGGTATGATATGCAGGTGAAATGTTGATTGTATTGTTAAACGCATTGCTCTTATCACAGTGTCCTTCTCGTTCCTCGCAGCACTAAACCTTAACGCCCTAGAAACACCGTGAATTCTGACAAGTTGTTACATGTCTAGCTATAAGCTCTCTTGGCCTTGTCAATAGTTTCGAGAGCCTGTCGACAAGCTATCAGTACGTTTTCGCGGTAAGCTGCCGCGGTGTTAGCTAACCTGTCGGTAAACCGGCATCAGTAAAAGCCTGGTTCTAACATGCCGCCGATGCACCTTCGACATGGCCGCCGGTACTACTCGGAATACCGTTCCGATATGAGAACAGAAGTGACCGGCAACATTGCTCATCCCAGCCTTTACTCCCGGTATGACTGCGACGTTGAATCAAGTTCAACTTCGCAGGCATGCCGGCGGTAGAGCTCGCCGATGTCGGGCTCTAGGTGCCGGAGGCGCATGTTCTGATTCGTCCGAAAAGTGTACCAGGCGTTAACGGCGGCTACGTCGTGGCAGCGTATGAGAACCAGGCTTAACCAGTCGGCTAGCTCAGTATCAGTAACTTGTCGGTATGCTGCGGAACCTGTTGGTTGGCTGTTTTTCCGCGGAACGTTTGAAGTTTATCCGAAAACTCGCAACCATTCGGCTCGAAATTGTTGACGTTCCCTTCTGGGCGCTTGCTGTCTCATTGTCATTTGGTGCGAGTAAACCACTTCAAATTTAAGCTCGTCTTTTAAACGCTGCTTATGCTTGATTTAAGGAGGCAGGATCCCACCAGAATCTCGAGATTTTTGTGGCCTTCTCTTGATCCTCTATCTCGTAACATGTCGTAAGAGCGCCAAAAAGGAGTCCATAAGCCCGATTCCACTGAACAACCACTTCTTATTTATTTATTTATTCAGGAACATCTGGAGATGCCGTCCTCCAGTTTAATAACTACAGGAGACTCGTAAATACCAGCTAAAGCCACCTTGCTAAGCCGGCTTATAACTTGTACTGCCTAGCTTTTAAATCTAGCTGAGCTCTGCTGTAGTTGATGAAATTCTACAATGCGACCAGTTTAAATTACGTGAAATCTTAATTTTCGATAGAGTAGTGCTTTTTCATGCTATTGTTCCACAAGTACATGCAGACCAAATAAGAAATTTTGCATTTTGGCGAGATTTCTTTGCCCGCCTCAAGCTTCTAAGACAGGTGCGAACTAAAAAATACTTCGCGAAATTCCAGTTTTCAGAAGATATTTTCAAGATATATCAAGCAAGAGCTCACAACAGATACCGTAAAATTCCGAAAATAAGCCCCTCCAAATATAAGCCCCCCAAACCGGTAACGCAAAAAACCCTCCGTTAAATCCCCCCCAAATATAAACCCCCCAGAGCCTTGTACTAAGAAAATTGCCCTCAAATACAAAGTAAAACAAAGCAAAAACGGTAAATTCACTTCCAACTATAAGGCTAGCCTTTTCAAGTTTGAAACGCAAATTTCCCTCTTTAGATAAGCCCCTCAAAAAGGGCTTTTGAAAAATATAAGCCCCGGGGCTTATTTTTTCGGAATTTTACGGTATTTTTGAAAGAAACTGGAATTTATACAGAGAATGGCGCTCTTACTTCCGTACATATGCTGGCCCTAATCCTGCGGTCTATTCAGCACAGCCCGAAAAACAGCTGTTCGCATCAATCTGGAAACGAACGACATGGCAGCATCACGTACTTATTCTATGATAATTATGATATCCAAAAGCTGGACAAAGGCCTCATTATATTAACTACAAATTCAAGGTTCAAATAAATCATATAAACTAGCGCCGAAAAAAAAAGAAAAAGTTTACTTTGTAAATTGGAAACCTTTTTTCATCCTTCGACACGTGCGACTGGTACAGTTTCGCTTGTGTTGGTGCAGGTGTCGTGTCAGTACGACAGAATTAGCAAGGTTTTTTAAGACAACTGGAAAAAAGAAAACTCCAGTCATTAAAATAATTTAAATGCATGCAAATCCAATTTGAGCTGTACACAATCACAATACAAAGAGACCACACACATGGGTGTAAGAACACGTGATCAGTGACGTCACGGTATCTTGTGGCGTGAGGAGGGGAAAGAAATCGCAGGCAGTATTGGATTACACATAAAAGACGAAATTTACGAGAGTATTTCTTCTCCGATTTCAAGTTTTGGTCAACCAAAATGTGTCTGATGTCGCCAGGAACGACCCTTCTTTGTGTTTTCAGTATTCTGGTCGCTTTGTGTGGAGGGTTGAACCTTGAAGATGCTGGTAAGTGAATTCAGCTGGCCGAAGCATGTTTACAATCTTCGGAACCAAAAGCGCGTTTTTTGACACTGCTCTAAAAGGCTTTCTTTTTCAGCAGAGTACCTCGCTTCGGGCTCAGAATTGTGCTGTTTTTGATTTCTGTGTACTCGTGCTAGGTAGAAAATGGATCTGCTGGTAGTTCTACAGCTTGTTTACTTGAGAGTCAGTGTTTTTTTCCAGTTCGTTTAAACACCACGGGAAGCGAATTGTAACACAAAGTTAAGCTCAAACAGTTTCAGCAACGGAGATGATATTGAAAATTCCTCGTTTTTTTGTCGCTTGAAACAATAAGTTAAACAAGAATAAGTGTAAAAGGTGATAACTTTACCTTTTTCTGACTAATTTGCAATATTAAAGCACCGAGAGTTTTCTTTTGCGGCTCTCTACCTAGGCAATGACAAACCATGCGCCATATTGCAAATATTCACAGCAACTAATTTGTGCGAAGATTTGCATTGCTTTTGCAAAACGTTTTGTGTTCGTACAATCTTTCTACGTTTAGTTTTCTTTCGTTTACCTATCGGGTACTGTGCTAGGAAATGTGAACTGGATTTCGATCCTATTTGACAAAGTAAAGTAGGTTGTCGCCAAACAATGTCTCTTATGTACCTTCGGTTTCTTGTCATAAATTTTGCGAAACCTTCTTTTCTGTTGAAACAATGCATTCACGGGATATAGAACATACTAAAATACTTATCTACGCCTTAGATTTGCCGAAAGGTTTCTCAGTTTGTTGGTTTTTTATGGGGCCCATGTATGTAAAATACTTTCAGATATCGACTTTTCGAGATTTAGATTACTTTGTAATTTGCATGCGTAACGAAGCAGTTGGAAAGTTTATTAAGCTTTCATGATAGAAATGCTTTCCTAGCTCGATTGACTAATTTTCACTTAATCTGATGTTTAAATGCCTCCCATTCCAAATTTCGTCGATGAATGATTCATTTTCTTTCCTCTTTATCTGTCATTTTTATTAAAGAACTTTAAATACCAGCGTCAAACTATTCGTTTCGACTGTACGTTTCCAATTTTCGTCATTTTTGCACAAATAATGAGTTTTTATATGTGCAAATAAAGTCAGACTACTTTTTATTGAAGTATTTGGGGCGCTTTACTGCAGAAAAAACAATATCCGATTAACTCCCAGACGAGGAAACTCGGTGAGTTGAAATGTGGAAACATGATACAGCCAAACTTAAAAAGTACCCTGTCCAATATCTGGAATTAGGAAACTCTTAGTTTCTCTTTGCTGGGGAATTTTTTACAGTTACGCAAAGGAACAAATTTAATGCTGGGCTGTCATTTTCATTTGTGTCCCAAACGTTCTTCCCAAGGATCGAACCTAATATTGTAAAAACGATGTTAAAACATAAGCTTTTAAATGTTACATGTTTGCATGTACATCATCTTCTTGATACAGTAAATATGGTATGGAAGTTAGCTTCTTCAAATTTTTCAACTTTTTTCTTTTGCCAATGACGTGATCCTCTATAAACTGACATACTATGTCATCTTTCCTCTTCATATCTACACCCTTTTTTGAGGGTCTTTCCGTATAGTCAAAAATAGCACTTAAAACGTAAAACCATTTTTAACCAAATGCAGCTATCTAGTATTTAATGTACCGTGTCTCTTGCAAACAACCCTGTCCGTTGGTAAAACACTCAGACAGTGTAAGAATTGAGAATTAATTGATGCTTCAGGGTCTATTTGGGTTGTATCCTGCCATTATTTTCAGCATACAATATTGTCAAGGTGCAAGTGTTCCTTTCTGCTTGACTTGGTCTTTTCAATTCGATTTTCAAATAGCACTCCCTTTTATTAGCCAAGCTTGAAATTTATTAAACAAGTTTTATAGAATCAGATATATGGCTCTTGGTGTTTCATTGCTGGTGATTTACATTTACAATGGCATGGCGTGGCAAAGTGCAAGATTAGGCCTTTGGGTTAATCCTTGAGCATAAAAAATAAAATGTAAATTCACAGACAGTCCCTTGCAAATCAATGCTCACATCTCAAGGCATGAACATTGAAAATCGTAAGCTCATTAAATATTTGTCTTCTGTACTCAAAACTCTTATGGAGTGAAACTCAACTTGAGACAATAATAATTATTATTTTGAAATTATGAACATGTGAAAATCACGGTCGGTCGTGGTGTTTGAATCTGTTCATTACAAACCTGTGAAAGGATGATGATGAAGTTGTGAATATATTAAAATCATATATGTGAACTGCGGAACCAATTCGACGCCCTGTTCCCAGTTGGCTTGTTAGCTTAATTGGTAGAGCACTGCACCAGTATTGCAGAGGTCAAGGATTCGAATCCTGTTCAAGCCTAAATTGTTTTCAGGCTTTCTTTTTGCAACTGCACAAGTTGCGTATATAACTGCGATGATCTTCCTTCAAATAATTATAATTTTATTTTCCCAAGTTAAAACAAGACAAGATAGTTTTGAACTAAGGAAATAAATGAGCTTTTTGCTTAATAGCATTCAGGCTGCCCATACAAGTGCTATTTATTTCAAAAGTTGCCATCTTCACTACTTGAGGATTGAAAACAATTACTAAAAGCCATTCTGACCTCTTTGACTGATTAAGCATCAATATTATTGGTGAGAGAAATGTGACTGATTTTGCTAACGCTAATGACTGATGTTGATGTGGTTTCAATGACCCTTGATCTCACATACTGTATGTAACTTCCACAGGGTTTGACTTTGTACAGAATGAGTATGCTCGCGCCCTCACTGAGTATCATGCTGTTAACAAGACGGTAATGCACATCAGGGCTGCTGGGTGCCGCAAACAACCAGTCACATATGCAATCACCGAATCAGGCACACCTTTCAGAATTGATGAAAAAGGCCACATTTGGCTCGATAAGCCTCTGAACTCTGAGAAAGTGAAGTCATATGTTCTGCATGTGAAGGCTGTGTGTGGAAATGGCGAGAAGAAAGTTGCAAATACTGTGGTACACTTTAACGTGATCAACATGAACAAACATGCGCCGCAGTTCGAATTTGAAAAGTACAGCTGTGACATAGTTGAGAACACCCGTGAAATGCGCTTTAACCCTACATTGAGAGTCCTGGATGCCGATCGTGGAGAAGCCGGCAGAATAAAGAATGTAACAATTGTCGAATCTGGTCTTCCTTTTGTTTTCACTGTTGATGAGAATGGAGTTGTTACAGGGAAAGCAACTAAAGACATGGATGCAGAGGACATCACCAATTACTTCTTCGACATTATTGCTTGGGATAATGGACACCCTTCTAAATCATCTTTCCCCGTGAGCTTGGAGTGTGAAGTGGATGATGTGAACGAGTTTCCACCACAGTTTATGAAAGACAGCTACCAAGCAACCATCCAGCGTGGGAGGGCTTACGACAATATCTTGCAGGTACATGTACAGTACATGTATAGTTTTATGTTAGAGGTGCAAGGGAAGATCAAGAAGGATGGATAGTATCATTTCCACTTATGTACCTAACTTTGTCTCTCCAATTTTTTTTACAAAGTATCAGTAACTACATTGACTTGGATCTGTGAAATTTCTCTTTGGCAATCATAAGTTGCACATGTGTAGGGTACCCATAGAGTACAGTAAGCCAATCAAGCCATTATCAGTTTGTTGTATGAATCCCTCATTACTTCGTTTTAACATAATCTTTTTGCTTCACTGCAATATGTTTTTTTGCAGACACTCAGTTACCACTGGCTACAAGTTATTTACCTATGCCTACAGATAAACTGGTTAACTGGAAATTCAACAATGTTGTTATTAACATATCTTTTTTATTTTACTCTTCTAGATTCTTGCTGAAGACAAAGATATGGGCTTGGTCAGTGGTCGTGTATGCAAGTATATCGTCGAAGGTTTCAATTTGCCTTTCAAGGTGAGTGAGCAAGGTGTTGTGAGCCTGGACGAGCCGCTGGGACCAGATGCTTATGATACGTATGATTTCCAAGTGGATGCTGTGGACTGTAGTGGAATGATGTCATTGAAAAGTGCGAAGATATCCATTACCGTGAAGACACCTTGCCATGTAGGTAGGTTATAGCCAACAGGTTTGCAAGTCACGATTCACCAATCACTGAGACTCTGTATGGCAACATTAGTAGTTCAATGATGACGCTTATTAAGTGTAATAATACTTTTTTGATTCTCTTGTTTCCGTCGTCATAGTTTTTGCTCAAGCTCACTAGTAGCATTATCTCTCAAAACAATTCTTGATATATGTATGTGACAATTTTGTTGAAAAACCAACTATTTGATGGACAAGGCGTGATAAAAAAAATGACATCCACAGATACCCATGGAGAGGGCTCTACAGCATACCACAGAGAAATCGCTGAATACTTTCTTTATTGCACTTTCTCTGACCCCCATCACCAACCCATTCCTTCTCTTGTTGAGAAGCTATTTCAATTAAAATAGAAGGATCAGTATCATTATGCATACAGGATGAAAAATTAACACTTTTTTTTCATATGTCTTTAAGATAATTTTAGTTCATAATTATGTTGTACACTGTACTGTATTTTAATACTTACATCATATGAACTTCCACTCCAACCTTATTTATAGGTGGTGAATAATTTTTGATTTTCTGCCTACATACTGATACAGTGGAACCCCGATAACTCAAACTCCCCGCTAAATCGAACTAAGTCCAATTGCCTTTGGATTTCACCCACTTTTCCATCATTTTTACTTGGTTAACTCAAACTCTGATAACTCGAATTCAATTTCCTTTCCCTTGATCAAAAATTCACTGAAATTTACCGCGATAAGTCAAATTCTGGTTCTTGTAACTCCACTCAAATGCCATCCCATTAGCTCTTCTTGTTGTATGAGGGTAAAAACACTAAACCTAACACAGTCAAGAATGCTACAGCAATTTAATTTTAATTGGTGCAATGAACAGATCATGTTTTATCAGAAAAATGGTTAATCATTTTACCATTTCTGATGAAATAAGTTAGATTTGCACTGCACTATACACTGAAGTGCTGAAAAATCAGTAACTATCAATTTTTAACATGGCAAATTAAATTTTACAATGACCGTGATAACTCAAACTGTTTTTCTTTTCCCTTCAGAGTTTGAGTCACTGGGGTTCTACTGTACTTCCTTTTGGTCATTAATTATTAATGTTAGAAGTCTAGATTTTTGTCTGTTATGGTGTTGGAGAGGATGCAGGAAATGATAAAAATAATTCTAATTTTTTAAATATTGTTTACTCCATATATTCCTTGTTCTTTACTAATAATTTGAACCTTTAAACCAATGAATAACTTAAAATGAAATTAGTTTATTTCTATGTATTTGCTATTTTTTTTTAAAAAAAAAATTGTCAACTTGGGTCCAAAACTGTTGATATCCATTTGGAAATAATAATTTTATTCTAGTTACATGTAAGCTGCCTCCCTTAGGTTATAGGCTGGCACATTAGTGTTCATCTATTTATATCTTGTTTGGTTATGTTCAGTTTACAATGGAAGTCAGAGTTTCAATTTTTTTCTTGGCCTGAAATAAAGTATGTGTATTACTAGCAATAACCAAAGGTTAGGCATTACAGGCTAGCCTCCCTTGAAGGCATTTTTAGTGGAGCTTGTATTTTGACCCTCCCCACAAACACCTGCTAAACCAAGAATATTCCTTTGCCAAGCTTAGCCAATCACATTGTACCTTACGATAATTACTTGATCTACATGAAACACTGAGAAAGCTTCACGACCTCTAATAAATGTTACACTCAGAGCAGTAAAAGTAAGATTTACTCAGTCAGATTTTAGAATACTCTGAGAACTACATAACCAGGGGGTTCATTAAGGGCCGGGCACCGGGCAAATTGACCGGCTGTGAACACGACTTTGCCTGGCTGCTTTACATCTCAAAGAACTTCTTTTTAATACAAGGAAACGATCAAAAACAGTTTTAAGTTACAATCGTGCCCATTTCTTGATGAGTCTTATCGAGTGTAAAACATACTTTGCCATGCAATTTCCACTTTATTACACGCGGCATGAAATCCCCTCGTTCTTTGTGTGTTAAAAACAAGAATCGCCCCATAACACATTGCGAAAAGAACTGTGCTTCATAAACAACCACCTGAAATGTATCAGTGTTGCGAGCATGTGAGCATGGCGGCCCAGAAAAGAACGCGTTCGATAGCGTATTATTTTTCGGCTTCAACCAAAGGGCCTCCAGTAGAGAAAAGACCAAGAGATGAGTAGACTTCTTTGTGATTTAACCTTTTACTTGCCTGTGTATATTGAATGGCTTAATCATCATGCTCAACGAAGCGAAGCGTGATTTTTATTCGTCTTATGGTTTACGCCAATGAATTAATTTTCGGTGCGTTCACGTTAAAACAGTGCTCCTCCCGTCTAGTCATTGAAATTTTAAAGATAAGTTGATTACGGCTCAGATGCTGACGGTGAGTTTGAGTAAAGATTATTATGAGCAGAGCTATTAAAAGAGAACCAAAAAGTCCAATTTGTGTGGTGGGTATTGGTATCAAATCATGATTAAATTGTCTAGAAAAGTTATCTTTTTTTGGTTGTTGAAAGTCATTGTCTGCAGCTTCAAAATGCAGGAAAACACATCCTTACGACTATAGAATTTCAAAATTTTCCGGGGGAACATGCCCCCGGACCCCCCTAGAGGGCAAGGCCCGGAGGGCCTTGCCAATTCTTTGCCCAGGTGTCAAACTCACTTGCCCTCCTGTTCAAAACCTTAATGAACCCCCTGCATAACCTTAGCAAAGGAAAGAAAAGAAGGAAAAAAGTAATTATGGGGCGATGTTTTTACACTATCACGAGCTCATGAGTTGCGTTTAGCATGTTAACACTTTATTGCAAAACTGTTGATTGGTCACTTACCACTAAAAATGCCTGCGTGGGAAAACAAGGTGGGATTCAAAAATGTTGCCCCAATTCTTCAGTTGAGCTTCAAGTTCCATGGGAGGGACAAAATTTTACACCCTTTCCCTAAAAATGCTTGATGGAGTTTTGTAAGGTGACTGAGGCTTTGAGTACAGGCTATGAGACCATTCAAATGCTCTCTACCTGTCCTATTTATTTGGGATGTAGTTCTAACTTTTGAGTCTGTGGACAAAATCCTATGATGTGACCATTCAAATGAAAGCTCTCTGCCTGTACTTACACATGGTGCTGGTTGTTTTTCAAAATTTTACAAAATGAAATTTGCAAACTTGCTCGAAATTTGCCTTTGGCTTTGTTTGGCAGTGAAAGGGTTAATATGAGTGAAAAAAGGTGCAAACAAGGGAAATCAGATTGGGTTCTATACATTCCATTATTTAATTCTTTGTGGAAGTTTAAAGAAATGCTGGCTACATACATGTATGTATTGCGCATGTGTAATATACATTACATGTAGGATTGCCGGCCCCTCTGGTCGCCCACAATTATTTTAGTAGTCTCACTTTGAGTATATGATTTTTCTTGTTGAATTTGGGCTCAATTTCAAACTATTTAAACAAATTCACTTGTTTGTTCTGGTGCTTTTTTTTTTACAGAGTTTGTTGGTCCCGCCAAACACGAGCTCACACTTCACCAATGCACGGGAAAAGTGATGGTTACTCCCGATATCAAACTGAATGATTGCGTCAGGAAGGAGAAAAATGCCAACTTTTCTGCTCTTGTTTATATGGAGACACCTTCTGGGATGGGCTGCGACAGAGAAACCTTTGAAGCATCTGATATTTACACACTTTGCGGAGCAAGTGACTTTATTGATCTTCTTCCCAGACCTGGAACAGGCAGAGAATGGACAAAGAAGTTGAAAGTATTTACTAAAAATGGGGAGGCAAAGGTTAGTTTTTCAGTAGACTAGTGAAACCTTTATAGGCAAATCCTGGCTGACATCAATGTGTACATTTTGGCATATTAGCATCCAAGTTTACCCCGTGAAGAAGAAAACGTGAAAAGATTTATTGTTGATAACAGCTAATTTTTAGCTGTAATTGTTGTTTACTTTCAGAAAAGAATGGCTACTTCTTTGATGGTAAAACTTATGTTGAAGTTCCCGACACTGCTGTGCCAGAGGACATTGGTGATAAGTTCACCATCAGCACTTGGGTCAAGATGGGTTTGTCAAAGGGTCGTCAGACCATTGTTGCCAACACTGACAAGGAACGTCTTGACCGTGTCCACTTTTCCCTGTCAGTTTCTGGAAGCAAGCTTTTCTTTGTTCACAGACGGGAGGCAATCCATGCCAGCCGCAATCTCTACTGCAATGCGGAGTTCCAGTATAAGCCAGTCATCTTTGATTTTCAGTGGCATCACATTGTTGTAGTTGCTGATGGCTGTGCTGCCAAGTTGTTTATTGATGGAGTTCATCAACCATCAGTGGTGGTAACACCTGATTGGACCCTTCACAAGTCAAAATTGAGAAACAGGTTGACCGTTGGTGCTCGTTACCTGGCTAAGGAAGGTGTTTACAGCGAGTACTTCACAGGATATCTTTCTGGACTTGCAGTCAAACCCAACACCACTTTGGATGAACAGGTTTGTTGTATACGTTACAGGTCAAAATTAAATTCAGGTTAAAAGTTTTTAACCAAGGTTGATTGTCTCCTTAAGCCCTAATTATTCATGAGTTAGGGCTTTGGTATTTTCCTCAAATCAACAGCTAAATAATATTTGGCTTTCGACTGTGATGAGCATGAGCATACTCATGATGATACCTTCAAGTGACTCCTTTTGTGACCTCCTCTCGTAAGCAGCCACCTATATCCAAAACACCCAATTTTTTTCAGGCAAAGCCCTATAATTAGGACCTCTCATAAGTGTCTGCAACCACTCTTTGGCCTGACAGTTTTAAAGTTTTCCACTGTTTTTAACCTCTTGTAAGCAACCGTTTGGTACATGGGTTTTAGATGTTGTGGTCTCTGTTCGTTGTATGTACTACGCCACGCAGAGACGTATGTGCACAAGGAAGGTTCAGGGACAACATGGAACTGCACATATACGTAACTTAGAAACTGCAAGACTAGTAATAAGTTCTTTGCCAAAAAGTAGATGGTTCTGGACCTTTTTTTTGAAAAGACCCCCCTTTGGTACAATTCTCATATAAGTAACCACCTCCTGTAACCAGTGTGCAAAGAAAGTAGGGCGTGCAAAGAAAGTAGTGTCTGATAGTCCAGGGCCAGTGGATTTTGCTATCGGGCTAGATAATTCTGTTTTTAACTTGCCTGACGGACAGGTGATGTTTTTTGAGGAATTCAAATAACAGAAGAACTGTGAAATCAATTCTGCTCGTCAAAAAGCTTTTGGGGCTAGTTGAACTGACGTCTGGGCTAGTAAATGCTAGCTTCAGCTTACCCGAATGGCAAGCTGTAAAAATGATTTTCTTTGCACCCTGTGTAAGCAACCCAAGTAATGACCAATCATTAATGTGCCATAATCATATCATTTCCGTGGTCTGTGCTCTCTTTGACCACAGCTTTTGACAAATCAGCATGCAAAAAGTCGCTCTGTTTTTGAACTGAGCATTTTTTTGATCTGCCTCAGATTCTGCATTGTGTGGTTGGATGCAAAGAGCATGTAAAAGTTGACGGTCCAGTACCAGGAAAGTTCTCTGCAGAAACCATTGATTTTGCAACCATCAGAATCTCTGGCATGGGAGCCCCAGATGACTTTGTTAAGGCATTGCAGCATATTGTGTACATTAACGAGCGCTTGGTACCCACACCTGGAAAAAGATCTGTGATGATCATGGCCACGTTCAACTCGACTCCCCTTCAGACGGTCAATGTTGACATCAATGTTGCAGGTAACACTAGGCCAGTGATAGTGGTACAAGGCCTGGATGCTGACATTGGCTTAAACTGGATGAAGAGGGACGTCTTGCGAGAAAAGGGGCAGCGGATCTTTGAAACCCTAGAAATTACTTATGAGGGCTGCGAGAAGGAAGAGGATTCACCTGTGGACAAAGCACGACTTTTGGACATGGCAATTGTGACAGTTGACCCTCCATTTAAGAAGGAAGAGAGCTTTAACTTTCCTCATGGCATCAAAGGTTTGAAGGAAAAGGGATTGAGTGTTAGTTTCAACAAAAAAGAGCTGGTCATCAGAGGCATTGCCCACTTCTCGGAGTACGAAGATGTTCTTCGGCAGATGGTTTACATTAATTTGGATCCAGCTTCTAACTTGCACCGAGAATTCACTGTAAGTTTTTCTTTCATTCATTTTCTCTCCTACTTTTGGATTCAACATTAAATAATTTATTATTGAATCTGCAAGTAAAACTGATACAATAATAACATTTTTATAAAACATCTAACCTGAGTCCTAACCTACAGGTCTGTGGACAAAATTCTTTGATGTGGTAACCAGAGAGTTGTTTACCTAAGTTTACTTAAAATAGATTTTGCATAGGCTCGCAGTGAAAATAAACATTCTTTCACTTTTTTGGACAATTTATGGCTACATGATGTGTAGAATTTTCAGCCCATGGTGCAGCCTCTTAAAGTGACCCTTCTTTGGCAGTTTTTAGGGGTTTTGATCATCACCCACCATATGCCCTTTTTTGCTATCCCTCTCTATCTGGCATGGGTATTTTGTAGAATGCCAAACAGCCATCGAATGCTAAATGACTCTGAAGTTCAGTGATTAGGGTTAGGAAACTAAGTGAGTCAAGTTTCAGGTCAGTTTTCCCAGAGTCATTGGGCATCCTGTAAAATACGCCTCCCGACCTCAACCTGGAAAAGTGACAGACCATCTGGAGTTTTTACCTCGGGAATGACAAAATGTGGCTTGGATTGTTTTCTTGCCATTTTGAAGTCTGGGTTATTCAGAGTCTGAATATTAATTTGACCTTTGTTCCTCCACAGGTGATGGTCTCAACATTGAAAGGCAAATGTGTGAGCGACAAGGAACAACTTAACCTCAACACCATCTACTCAAACAGAGGGTTAGGGAAATATGATGTCAAGTATGCCAAGAGCAGCCTAAAGGAAGAGGAGATGGCTGGAGTTGTGTCAATGGAGGGTGGTTTTGCTGGAGTCACATCAAACAGCATCTCTGCTGGAATTATGGCTTTGATCATTGTTTGCAGTCTGTCTATTTTCATCCTTCTTGTGGTGATTGGCATCTATAAGTACAGACAGTAAGTTCGTGTTTTTCTAGATTTTCAAGAACATACTGTACTGTGAATCGTACATGAATGATCACAAAGACTCCAATGCTAACTTACAACTATTACAGCATCTATAGTTTTGCTTGAAGTTAATCTTCTCCTTTCTTTATAATTTACCATGAATTTTATGATGCTTTCTATATAACCAAATGAATCATTCAAATTCAAGACATATCAAATTACGGGGCTTGAAAGAAGATCTGTTTGAAAGTCATGGGCTTGTAGATTTCTTTTCTGCAAGTAACTTTTAATGCTCACTTGCCCAATGAACAAGGCTCTGGGCAGGTCATGTTCTAAAAAGACATGCAAGCAGTGGCCCTGGGCAAGCGAAATTTAAGGTCTGGTTTCCCAAAGGAAAGCTGGAATAAAATATTCAAGTCATTTTTAAGTCCTTAAAGTTACCAGTAAACTTCATCTTGGGAATTGCACTGCACTGCACGGTCGGAATCAAATGTTATGACATCCATAAATGAAAAGGTTACTGTTATGTTTTATCTATTGTGCTAAATGTTCTTTCTTACTCTTGTAGAAAACCTGAAACTGTGAAAGTTGCTGCACCAGGCGATGACAAAGAAGAGATGTACTGGGACGACACTGGTCTCAGTGGTGTGCGTATTACGCTTAATCCCATGCAGAAATTTCAGGAGCTCGATCTGAATGAAGATGGTGCCAACACAGACAAGTCTGACACAGAAGATGAGGAGGGCGGAGCCGCCAAGGGCTTGCTTGAATGGGATAACTCTGATATGTAAACAGGATCAATTAAAGTTTCTGGGTAACTTACCACCTCCCCCCCTCCACCACTCAGTCACAATTTTGCCCAAAGTGAGAAGGAAGTGTTAATGTTGACTTAGGGGAGGGGTAGGTGGTTAGTCATCCAGAAACCTCGGTTGAACCTGTAAACATCTGTACTGTGCCTCTGGCAGTTCTTTAATGCTACATTACATGTGTGCGCAATGTAGCAACTTTTAATTGCAGTTATGGTACTAAAGTTTTTTTGTTGGATTTAAAATTTTGGTTGTGTGAACATCATACAAACTGCAAAGGGAAGTTATTTCTTCTAGACATATTGAATTTACATATCTAACCATTCTTCAATCAACTTTATGGTACAACTTTTTTTTTTACCATTTTTGGTTTGCCTTTACCTTTTTTTACACTAGGGCAATTTTTTGTCCACTATATATGTTTTAGTGTGTCAGTTTTCATATATTTATTCAAATATTTTTTGTAGAGTTTTTTTTTAGTTGAAAGTATTTGTACGAGGGATAAGGATTTATATAATATAGATTTAGGGATGATGTATAGTCTAAAACTGGTGATTTTTCTAACGTTGTTTTTTGTTTTGATGAATTTTGTTAATCTTTATCTAAATGTTGACATGAAACAAATGAAAAAGCCAAAAAAAAAAAACGGTATTATTAAACATAGTAACCAATTGCAAATGTGAAGGAAGCCATAAACATCGTAAAAAATAATAATACTGTGAAAGCTGTAGTTACTAATGCGATTTGTAGACTGGAAATAATCTTGTGTTCGGAGTTCGTTCTACCTCTGGAATTCCAGGAAGTTTGTTGGAATTTTAAACCTTTTTTTCCAGGGTCGTGAAAAATTTGGGGAATTTCAAAATTTTGTTGGATGGATGCCGTAAAAGATGCACGTGAGAGAAGTAGAAGCTGTTAGTTTTTTAATGTTCGGAATTAACGGCGTGTGAAAAGCGTTTTTTGAAAAGTTAAACAGTTCAGATTCTGGCTCTTGGAGTTTTCATGTTTCACACCGACAAACCTTTTCGGAAAATTCCTGGAAATTAACTCTCTCTCTTAGTAGTACGAACCCTGTAAGGATACTATCTGGTGCGGCTTTACCAGCAGGTATACATACACACATTATTCCTGGTAATAAGAAAATTACTTAATTTGTCAGTTATTTTTTGACCTTTTTTAACATTATTTTTTATTGTCACCAAGTTAATTCCTCATTTAGCCTGGCAAGTCAAAGGTTGTCGTTGAGAAAATCGTTGTTGGCTCGCTGAACACCTTAAGGTTTTGATTATCTTTTACCTGGACAGTTTAACTGGACAATTTTGAAGTGGACTCTTTAGACAATGTTTCGTTACTCACTATTTCTGAACAACGTTTGGTAGTTTAATTAAATATGTTACCCGAGAATGTATATAGATTATGTATGTGATTTACATGTGAACTTGCAAACCGTTGTTTACCATCTTTTTTTCTCTAACCTTTTTGGAGAAAAGACTCGGCAGTCTTCGAGAGGAGACCTGAGGGTTGCAAGACAATTGTGAATTGCTAAGTGTATTGTCTTCTGCTAATTACCCGCTTACGATAAAACGGAAAAAATAGAGAGTGCAAAACAATTGTGAGTTATGCTGTTATTAAACTGTCTGTATTATTCCAAAATCTTTGTGATTTTTATGCTCTTTTTAAACCCTTTTAGTCCTAATAAAGACAAATATCAATTTCCCCCGAACATGTTCAACACGTGATCAAGAAAAGGGTTATTAGAATTCCTAAAATGATCACCAAAGGGAAAATGGTTTGATCTATTGTCAAATTCTCTCACCGAAATCTTTAACAAAATGTGTGTAGATCAGTTTGTAGAATTTTTATCTGGATAGGAGAAAATGATCCTTTTATTTGCTGTTGGCCCAGTGCTCCACGGCAGCGTCCTTCCCGCCAAAAAACAGGCGACTGCTGTGAGTTGTTGTCATAACTAAACATCCCCTAGCCAATGATCCTTGTAAAGTGCAGGGCCGGGTTGTTCAAAGCTGGGTTAAGATAACCCAGGGTTAGTGCGAGATTTGAATTCAGATTTGAAAGCTTAAAAAGCATTTCAGTTTCAATTTTTTTTGTCTACAAGTTGATGATTGGAAGCCCTAAAAATATCAGAAAAAAAATTATCCCCGAAAATGCTTTTGAACACAAGAAAAAGAAACCTGAGTTAAGCGCTAATCGGCCTTGGAACAACTCGGCCCAGGAGTTTTTCCCGTCAACGTATTGCTCATGGGAAACACCACGGATCGCGGTCAATGGAGAGTTTAAGAGTGACGTTTACGGCAAACGGAAAACGTCAGACAAGTTGAGAAGTTCTCAAAATAGAAAATGAGCAGATAAAAACAGCTCAAAACAATTCTCATGGATAAAACTGGGGGCGTGAATCTACTGATTTCCGGGCGGTTATAATGAAAGTCGGCAAAGGATAAACTTGTTCACGTCTTATTTGGCGGAGAGAGATTTGAGTCACGTTTACGGCATACGGCAGGTGATACTTTTTTCGCGAAATTCGACGGCCAAACAGCCCGTACTTGGCGAAAATTCCTTGCTGCTCTACTAGACACAAGCCAGTTCCTCCAGTTCTTTAGACTTTTCTCAAAGTCGATCCTTCGACTTCTTGCTTTCGCCTCAGAAAGCAGGAAAAATTTCCCGCTCGCGCTTCGCGCTTCGCGCTCGAGAAAAATTTTGAGCTCGACTTAAGGGCACGTCTACCACGTCTCTTGCTGTATCAACCATCCAGGAGTCGAGATTGTGTTGACCAAATTATTGACTGACACCTTATTTGTTGTACTCCCAAAAGTCGTTCCTCTCTCAGTCTTATTCCTTGCACTGGCCCCCGCGGGGGGGGAACTTGCGTTAATTTTTTCTGGTTATGTGCCGCTGGCTTCTCAGACCCCCTACCCCATTATAGTCCGGTGGCCAATTATAGACCCCATCTTAGTCACTTTTGGGCAAATATTTAATTTTCGCGCTCCCAACTTACTCACTTTCTGTTTTTAGGAACTGACCCATTTTTTAGATTGAATGAAGAACACTTTACTTTTCATCTGCAGTACAAACATTCTGCTACATTTGCTAACCGTAAATATGCATATGAAGAACTGTCTTAAAATTCAGAAAATGTGCGACCCCATTCTAGTAACTGTATTGAAAGTGCGACTCGACCCCAGTATAGTCAATCCAGTCGTGAAAATGCGACCCCATCCAGCAGTACATCCCCATTAGCCTCTTATCTGGAAGTACCCCCGTCCCCGCCCCCGGGCACTTGCCCCAACCTGCCACGTAAAAGGTTGCGTGGAACTGGGTATTAGTTCCGGGCAATATGGCGGATTGCTAAGGGAAGAGGAAAAGAAAAGTTTACCGGCATGATTCCTCTCACCTTAATCAACTTAAGACGAAGGATGTTGTACATGAAACATAAATTCTACAGGCTTGATAACGTATGGCGGATTATAATCATCGCTTTGCTTCTAATGTTTTTATGGATTTGGGGTAAGATTGTTGGAAATAAGCTTATTGAACTTTAGCCTGTCAGTCACTGAGAGGCTTGGCCTGTTTTATCCTCGGTGTAAGACCCTGTTAAACTCATGGTTGACGTAAAACAAAGGAAACAAAGAAGTCATCACAATAAAACCTAGGAAAACAAAGGGTGCGAAACAAAGAAAAAGTTCACAAGTTTTTACACTGAGGAAAACCGATTAAAACTAGGTATTTTCAAATGAGAAAAAAAGTAGCTGTTTTATACTTGTGGAAACATGTGGTTTAAGCAAATAAGAAACCTCTTTAGATTGTATGTTATGTTTTCTCAATACAGGTCATGTGATTTATAATACTCTACAGTATGTGGGGAAGTGTTTTTTTTTCCAATTTTGTCTTATTTACGTGCATACCTACGCATGAATAGAAATTGGGTCAAATTTCCCTGGGACCTCTATTGGGAAAACAAAACATACAAGTTAAAGAGGTTTATTTAATACATCGATCTCACCTTTTGTCCACAGTGTGGAATTCATCCCGGATGGAGAGAAGAGCACCTTATGTGATTCCTAAATCAATACAACAGCATTTAACACATTACTGCAACTTTCCAGTGCGGACATCGGGTGCAGAGGGATCATTAAGCTTAGAAGACCTGGAGCATTCGAAGCGTTTTAGATTAGAAATGGTCCATGTACTAATTCGCCATGGAGATAGGTCTCCAGCCAAGGATATAGCCAACATGGATCACAAAAATTATGATTATGATTGTACATTTAAGACAGCAGATCGTGATCACAAACAAATGTTCGAAGAGTTCAAGCAAACATCAATGTATTTCAAACTTCGCGAGTTTGTCAAGGGTGTGAGAACTAGTCAATCTCTCGTCCCATCAGGGAAAAAATGTGAAATTGGACAGCTGACTCAGAGAGGATTTCTTCAACACTTTGAAATTGGAAAACACATGCGCGAAGTATATCACGACTTTTTAGGTGATGATATTACAGGTGGCAATCTTCTTTTGCGATCAACGGAAAGGACAAGATGCATTCAAAGTGCTGCAGCTTTCCTTTTTGGACTTTTAACAAAAGACACTATAATGAGAGGTAATCAAAAAATAATACAACCTCTTGAAATATAAAATCTGGAGTCCACTCACTCTCTGTTTTGCAGTGCCCCATCCCCATATCAAAACCTCCCTTGCCGTCCCGAGGTCTTATTATTCCGCATGTTACGTGTCAGATATTTCACTGAAATGCATTGACTGAGAAGGCCTGGAAAGACACTATCAGGCAGGTAGCCCAACTCTTCCTTTCGGGCAACTAGAAAATCTTTGTTTTTTTCATACAAATCAAATGCTGTGTACTCTAGATTTTTCAGATTCAGAGCACTGGGGTTCCCTTAATGGTGATGAAAGATTCACATAAATGCCACCAGAAACAACTGTTCTATGAACAGCAACTGTGAAATAAAATTGGAAGAAAAAATTTTTTTGCATTTTTGGGGATTGTAGGCCTAGATTTAAAACTAAAACATAGCAGAGCTTAAGAGATTATTTCTTGCCCTCAAAAGCTGCAATCAAGCTTGAAGGTGTGGATGGGGATGTCAAGGGAGGCCTCGTCCATTTTCTATCCCTCACCCCACCCCCTAGTGTCCAGAGTGTTTGCTTGAAGGCATATTATACGCGCAGATCCACACTGGTTTCTGCCGTTTTATGGAAATCGGTCAGAGTTTTCATACGAAATAAATTTTAAATATAAAAAAACTCTATAGTTGAAATCAAGAGATGAAATAATCCGCCAATTTGCAAAGCTCTATCCGAGGAGAATGGAATTGGCCAATATCATGTCTGAGTGATTCAGAACTCCCAGAATTTCCTGGGGGAGCATGCCCCCCAACCCCCCTAGAACCTTGTGCTTTTGACACTCGTTCAGGAAATCTGTTAGTATTTATCCCAGATCCGCACATGTATTTGTAAATGAGTGCTTTAAATATACAGTGTAGTGATTATAACCAACCTCCCTTGTTTTAAGCTAGTTTTTCCTTCCATAAAGGTCAAAATTCTAAGATTTGACCGTTGACAGTTCTGGTTTCTTTGTGATATAGAGGGAATAGCCATTAACCTGACTTCAGATATTTGGCTGCGAGAGGATGACCATGGTGTACCCTACAAGTGTCCATCATTTTACCAACGTTGGGCAGAATATAAACAGCGCCAAGAATATATCACAGGGGCAGCAGAAATGGAACCATTCATGCAGAAGTATTCTCAAATACTAGGAACTTCAAGATCATCTATAACAACTGTGATATTGTACGTAAATTGTGTTTCTTTGTGTTGTTTATAGGAACACCTTTGCCCTTTTCCATCGTCACAAATGTCACTGCCAAGATACTCTTCAACATTTTATTATAAGTAATAGAATCTCTCGTAAAATGACAAATTCCCTTAAATTGTTCCTTTTTGTAAAAAAATATTTAAAACAGGAATACACCCCTCATTACCGAATAAAACCAAAAGTGTGATCCTTACAGCCAGTGACTTTTTCTGGTACATTGTTCAAAATTTAGTGTGATGATAATACAGTACCACTGGAAACACAGGTGAATGGAACTTTCTACTAACTTATTTTTTTTTACTTTCCCTTCGGTTGAATTTTTTATGAATTTAAGCCAATCAGTTTACCTCAAACAATTTTTTTTGTTTCCCTTGGGAGTTAGAATTAGTGGGGTCTGCTATTAGTTTTGCAATATTATTGATTTGCAAGATCATGTAAAAGTGAAATAAATATTAGAGGGATTAAAATTCATGTTTACGCCAAACGTTAAATGTTGAGGATTTCTAAGAATAGAAAATAAGCAGATAAAAACTGTCCTGAACAATTCTTATTTATAAAACTGGTGTGAAACTACTTATTTTTTAGTTGAAGTAATAAACAGTTAACGACAATTGAGGGAAAAACTTGGTCACATGGTACAAATTCACGTTTTCCATTTGGCGTAAACGTGAATCTTAATCTCTCTAGTATAAATCAAGATTTCCTTAATTGTATGTTAACTGACACCAAAACAATAGTTACTATTTTTAAGTAGTAACAATTGTTTTAGTAAATTAATTAATAAAATAATTTATTCAATTTATTTAATTTTAATTTATTTTTATTACATATTTATTGCATATTTAATTTAATCATTTCATTCTTCCAGCCTGACTGATGCAATTTTAACTCGATACTGCTACAAACACCCCCTCCCCTGTGGACCCGGGGGCTGTGTGACACAGGAGATGGCAGCTGATGGAATCAACTTTGGAAGTTGGGCATTTGCTGAGAATTTCACTGCAATAGCTGACGTTGCCACCCACCCCATGTTGATTCAGATGGCAAAGAGGATGATTGACAAGTCTCGTGATAAAACCAAACTCAAGTTTATACTTTATAGTGCCCACGACAGTACTGTGACACCACTTCTACTAAATCTGGGTGTTCATGATCGGAATAAGTGGACGCCTTATGCTACCAGAGTGGTCATTGAACTCTGGAGAGACACGACATCATCAGCGTCATCTGAAGATTCTATAGAATCCTTGTACTTTAGAGTTTTGGTTAATGGCAAAGCTGTCACTAGTAAGATGAAGTTCTGTGGAGAAGCTTTGTTTAAGGGTGAACTTTGTCCTGTTAGGGAACTTATTACTTGGCTCTCAGCAGGTAAAGGGGTGAAAGGAATGGATGAAAATTATCAGTCACTTTGTAATACATGAATAGGAGTCTTTCTTGGTGACTTCATTGCAACAAAATTTCCTCATGTAGCTAGAAAAATGCAGACAGTATTCAAGAATGACGAGACCAAAAAAAGGATTTTTAAATCCTCCAATTGTTAAATCAGTGGAGGATTGTGTAAGTCTTATACTAGTGGTAGCATATGTTACTGTTCAATAAAAGTTGTTGGAAAGCAATAAGGGAAATTTCATGAAAAAATTAATTTCCAAGGTCAGCCACGAAGCGCGAATCTTCTGTCATAAATTGAAAAGGTAAAACATTTGCGAGGTTTACACATTTCTATGGCACTGACAACCAAGAAGTTATGATTAGGGGATTTACAGCTGCAACAACCTTGTGGTTTTGTCACACAGGCCTTAGTTCTTAAAATCCAACACTGTTATTTGAAATAGCTGTATATTTTGATTATAGTCCACCCTCTCTTTATAAGTGACAGCTGTTCAAGATGGATGCCTGCCAAACCTAAACTGGATATTTTGAGTTGTTTGCTCTTGCTTTCAGTCATTTGCTTTGACTCTAAGGCCGACACCTCATTGCTAGCACCACAAATTTAGAAATTTGGTATTTACTATATCTTGAAATAAAACCTTTCATGGGCTACACTCTAATGAATTTATCGCAAGTCTTTGGCTTATCTTAACATGCAGTCGAGTGTATTTTATTAATATTAACTATTTATATAGATGCATTTTTCACTTCTTCCTGTTAACTTATAAGCAACCTATTGACTTCCACCAATAAAAGTAGTACAGACAGACAGGAATTGTCATTACCTTGTACAAAAGTTTTTTTTAGGCAAGAAACTTATTTTATGGTTGCTAAAATAGTTTCCTTACCAATTTAAGCATTTTAATCTTTGAGTGCTGCATTCAAAGACACACAAACAAACCAGACAAGAAGTAGAATAATATTGGAATAGTCAGCCTTTAAGTGAGACAGGACAAGGAAAATAGTAAGAGAAGCACATCCAGCTGTATGAGATGTTCTTTTTTATTACCAATACTAATTTGGATAATAAATTAATAAACCCGCAAGAAGGGTCCCGCAAATTTACGTCTATTCTACAAACGAGATAATTATACTCTCATTTTCCAACGGGATCTAAACCGCTTAATGCACAGCATCAGTTTTGACATTTAAGAAAATAAAATACAGCCATTACTAGAACAATGCAATCCTCTACAAAATGTCCATGTAATAATTACATTAAAGTCAAACCCCTTGAAGTGATCCCCCCAAAATTCCAAGATTTAACCCTTGAAGCCCTAATATCAAAATTCAAATTCCCATTTGCTGTCCCTATACGTTTTCTATAAAAGTAGTAAAGAGAAGTTGTTGAAGTATCAACTCATTGTATCTTGTGTGATCATTGCCTTGATTCTCATCACCAATCTGTTATAAAAAGCATTGATATCACAAGGAGAATTTTGATACTGATCACCATTAGGGCTTAAAGGGTTAATGGTCATTTGCGGGAGGTGGTGCTTTGTGAGAATCAAACCACAGTAGCTTTCTTCCAAGAGGAGTACAGAACATGTCCACCTTTTGCAAAAAAATTTCTAAACGTTGGTGCACTTAAAGGGACAAGTTTCAGCAACATGAACTCATGTGTACTGGAGAATTTTTGTGAAAATCTTTGTCTCTGCAGCAAGTTACACAAATTCAGTCTGATTCGATTTTTCGCGACTTGCTGCTGTGACAAAATTCTGTTGCAGAGACAGATTTTCACAAAAATTCTCTGGTACACATGAAGCGATTTGTCACTGCAACGTGTCACCCCAACAATTTGCTGCAAGTAGTCGTGTGACCTGTGCACAAGGGGTGATCTGTTGCCACAACGTTTTGCTGCAACTTGTCACCTAAAGTGTACCCACCTCTTACAAGAGGTTAAAAGCAATGGAAATTCCAAGACTGTAACTCCAAGTAGTCGCGGTCGCTAACAGGAGATGGTCATTAATTTTACAAGAGTTCCCAAAAACATTTTGGCATTTTGGATAAGTGATTGCTTATGGGAGGTTGTCACACATGGAGGTTTGACTTTTTCACGTTTGAAGACATTTAAGTTTAGGCTCCTCTGCTGTACCCCTTTCTGTAATATCCTGTCTCTATTCTCTTGTCTGTTCTCTTTACGCTGGAAAAAATCCATAGATAGGTCTTCTGCATTTTAGTTGGTTACCATCAGTTGGTCATGTGACCAATTAACATAAACACTTGACAATATGGCTTTATGTATATAACTTTTGAAATGAAATGAGCAAGTTTCAATACATCTTTACCATTCATCATGTTTGAAATGAGTGGGAATCTGGCTATTATTTGCATCCACAAAATTTCTCGCGATTGTTTAAAGAGACAGAGTGCAGGTAAACGAACATGGCAGACTACAAATGGCTTTGCTCCACACTAGAATGAAAGTCTCAGAAATGCAACCAAACCTTTACTATTACAGAATTCCCCATTTTCGTTGTCCTTCCAAACATAGTTAAAATGGTTTAAACACCAGCATATGTTTCTTCTTCAATCAAACTATCATTTTGATTGATTGACCAATAAAAACGTTGAGTAATTTTCAACAGAAAACAAAGGATTGTGGTTCGGTGCTTTGAACATGTCCACTGTTGTTTTTTCATTGATTTTGTCATCCTTCCAAATGATTCCTTGAGCCTTTGCACTCACATAATCATGCCAGATCACCACTCATTTAGGACATGGTAAATTGACAAGCTATTGACAAATGAATGTTCTTATCATGCAGGTCCCAGTTGTTCAAACATTAGATAGTGCTATCCATCAGATAAATCACTATGCAGTGGATAAGTATTAGGGAAACCATTATTATTGCATTATCTGTGGGTAGAGATTTATCCAGTGTACAGTGCTATCCACCTCAAACAACTGGGGCCTGATTTTTTTACTATGTCTTGGTCCATGTTGTTTTCTTTAAGCAAGCCCAACTATTTAAACTCCCATGCAGAAAGAAGAAAAAGAAGTTAACCCCTTAAGTTCCAATAGTGAAAAACAGCAATTTTCTCCTAATGATATCCATACATTGTCATGAGATTAGGCTATGAGAATTAATAAGATGATCACCTAAAAGAAAAGATCTTTTAGACCTCAGTTTGGAAAAACCTGTAAAGGGTAAACCAGGCCTGTTGTTCAATGGTGGATAGTGCTATCTACTGGATAAATATCTATCCAACAGATCAGCATCACGGAAAGCAAATTATTGTCATTATCATACATTGTAGTCACCATCTGTCTTCTCATTGACTAAAAGCCTACAGTTAATTCTGGGAAACAGCACAACCTACAGATTATTCACTAATCTGTACCTACAGATTAGTGAATAATCTGTAGGTTGCGCGCGCAAGGCATGAGTTCCAAGAGCAATGTCAAGTGCACGGACAGCAGTGTCAAGTTCGTGGACAGCGAAGTAAGAATGGCTTCTCGATTCGCTTCATCAACCCAGCAAGAAATTGAGAAATTACTTGAAGATAAAGTATAATAAAACAATTATTAGATTCGGTTTTTGTGATATCCGCAATAATCAAGGTCTCGGTTAGTGTTATCAGCCTCAGCCTTCAGCTTTGGCTGATAACACTTACCTCGACCTTGATTATTCCGGATATCACAAAAACCTCATCCAATAATTGCTTATTATTGCAATCCACTGGATAGTGCTATCCACCTTCAAACAACTGGGCCCAGCAAGATAACCTCTTGGAAATACTCTACATGGGAACCCTGTGCATGCGAGATTGAAAAAATTTCCCTGACATACAGTTGAATGGAACTCGGCCATCAAGCTGGATCAGAATACACTGAAGACAGCCAACCTGTTGATTTATATTTAAATCCAGCCATCTACAGGTTCTGACAAAAGAAATTTTATGTTCAGCCTTGGGCTATTGTTTATGTACTTAAGGATCCCTGTGTGAAACCCATAACAATGGCATTGTTTATACAAATAAAATTTAAAAACATACTACTTAAGGGCTAACAAAATAATTATTATTTCTATTCAATTTAACTGCACACAGCATTTATAATGATTATTATTGAATGTTCTAGCTGCCAAACTTGCTCCACCATGAAAGGTTGAGTACACAATATTTGCGAGCAACTTGTCCAACTTTGGTTCACTGAGTTATGTCTGGACATTATCCATGACTCAAGCATTCTGTCAACAAAATGTCTTTGAACTTCTACTTCTAGGATTGATGTTCTGTGATCTAAATGACAGATCTTCTTCACCAAGACTTCATCTCAGTGTTAAACCTTGCAAGGTTCTTGACTATTCCAAGTAGATGTGCAGATCACAATGAAGCACCACTCAGCTTTTATTCTAGTTCTACTGATTGTCAACTTCAGCACTCTGAAGTTTCAATTTACAACTACTGCTACTTCATCATTCCTCTTCAGGTTCTTGAACTGAAGTTTCAATTTACAACTACTGCTACTTCATCATTCCTCTTCAGGTTCTTGAACTGAAGTTTCAATTTACAACTACTGCTACTTCATCATTCCTCTTCAGGTTCTTGAACTGAAGTTTCAATTTACAACTACTGCTACTTCATCATTCCTCTTCAGGTTCTTGCTCATCTACACGGATGCCACCACTACCATAAGGTGCCCACTGTCAGCTGCACTGTCTAGGAGATCTGGAGAAACTCGTGCCAAGTGCTCCTGGGCAAAATCACACGGTGGGAAGATATGAAGCACATAGCTTGGCTGTGAGGAGAAACAGACAATGGCATGAACAAGAAATATCACTCATAAAAGCACCTCTATTTTTGTGCAGTTTGAACCCAGTGATATAAGAAAGTAAAAATAACAGATGCATGCATAATAGGGTTGAGCTTATCCTGGCGGGGATTTTTCTCTGCTACTATGAGTGTGGCCCGGCCCTTTGAATGGAAAATAGAAGAAAAATAGTACCAAACGTCCAGCTGTTTATCGAGGTGCCACTTGTTGACTGCAGCAAGGAAAAAATATTCAACCTGCATAACAAGGCTTTCATTATATCCTGGATGAGGTTCTTTTAATGTATATTTTACTATTACTGGGAACAAGAATGTTGTTCATTCTACTTCCAACCTCATTGTTATTATCTAGTCATGTCCAATACTGCTGCATTCTTAAGGACTCTAAGGATCATCAAACAAAACTTACGTACCCTCTCATGCCATGAAAATGTTTGAAGTCCCAGTAACAAAATGAATTTCACAGACTGTGTCGAGTTTGCGATCAGTATGATTAGTACAGATCAACATACCATATAATATACCTTATCGCTTATGAAAATTAGTTCATACAAAAACTGCTATCAAAATTCATGCACTTTATTTTTTTTTTCACCTCACCTTGATATGGCCCTGTACAAGTAAAGACAGCGCAAATTGCCTATTCATTTTTCCCGAGTGACAAAAAAAGAAATGAACTATCTATAAGTTTGCATAAACATCTTAGTTTATTACCTGAGTGCTCCCTGGCCTAGCAACATTGATGATCCCGGCAGCCTGTTTCTGCTGCAAGTAGTTTATAAAACCACTCTTCAATGCACGTGTTTGTGCATGAACATCAAGAGGATCTCTACCACATGGCAGTGCCAGCAACAAACAGTGATCCTTGTCAGACTGTTGAAAGAATCAGCACAAAATACTTAGTTAAGTAAATTATGGCATCAAGCTATGTAGTCTGCTTTTTTTTTTCCCATGAAAACTTACAACTATTGATGCATATTAAGAACCTGTGGCAAAAAAACTAATCTCAATCATCCATGGAAAGGAAGCAACTGAATGTTGCATAATTAACGCTTAAATGAAATGTATAACTGGTCCCAGGGCTCAAAATAATGGCCAGTCAACAGACAATGTCTGATCAGTAGGGAGATTTGACCTGCCCAAAACTTCACTCGTTGGTCATGTCGACCAGTCACCCATGCACTCTACTCACTATAAATCTTAGATTTTGTCTCTTTGATAAAATACAATCACATCTACAAATAGAAAATTACACAGAGATAAGTCAACTTTTTTCCCAATATATTGACCGGTCAGAGACAAGATTTGACTGAGCAAAACTTTCTTTGGTCTTTCACGTCTGGCCACTGTCCGAAAATAATTTTCAGCCCTGGTTCCCTGCAGTCAATAAGGCATTTTTCCAACTCTATAACAAACTAACACTGCTGCAGCCTGCTGTGTAATACAAACACTAAGTGCTGTCCCAAAAGAGAGAATAGACTGTCTAGACAGGTTAGCACCTACCTGCATTCTGCGGATGACCCCCTCCAGCTGAGATGGCTCCAGTCTCATTCTCTGGGCGATCCGGATTGGTGGTGGCACACTTCCTATCCCATTAGCAGGTGCCTGGGGTAATGAAACCTCAGCCAAGTGACCATTACCAGCCAGATAATGCATCTGGACTGCAGCAGAATCATTCTTTAGTGCTAGCAAGCCCTGCCATACTACTGGATACCGCCTCAGCAGGTCTAGGAGGGTGTCTGTGTTGGACGGTTGTGGGATGGGTGGCGTGCTGTTATACTCTGAGTGTGGAGGAGGAGGAGGGGGTACTGCCCCCTGTGGAGATGCCAAAGCTGGTAATGGAGCTGAGCCCATGGGAACACTGGGTGAATGAACTGCCAAAGGTGGAGTACCAATGCTTCCTGGAGGAGGACCTGCAACTGCAGGGTTTAGACTTATACCAACTGGTGGGATCGGACTGAGTGTGGCAGGAGAAGCTCCCACAGGAACACCACGGTTCGCATCGTAAACTTGTGACTCGTAATGACCGGGCGCTGGAGCAACATCATAAGGAGGTCGGATTACTTGAGTGTTGTGCCCATCTGATTGAGGGGGAACCACTCTTGGTAGCACATCCACCTGGGGAGGGAAGGCTTCTCCAGCCTCACGAGGAGGGGGTGGGGGTGGAGGAGGAGGGGGTGATTCACTGTTGGATGTGCGTCGTCGTTTTGGTTTTGTAACATCTTTATTCTCCCAGTCTCTTCTTCTCTCGTCTCTGTGTGTTTTATTACGGGGTGAACGACTGCCTGCGTCTCGAGACATTTCTCTTTCTTCTTTGGGCAATCGTTCATCGGCAGAATGACGCCTGGGTTTCTCTTTCAGATCAGCTTGATCAAGCCTACTACTCTCAGGTGCAGAGTGGATATCTCTTTTTTCAAGTCTCTGTAAGTCAGCATCAGAATGAGCCCTCTGTTTAACCCCTGATGCTGTCAAGTCACCCCCACCCCGAATGGCAGCTTCCTCTAACCTAGCAGCTTTTTCTTCTACCTCCCTTTCTTCTTCCTCTTCACTCAGCGAGAAAATCCGTTTGTGTCGCTTACGCTTCTCCTTTTTCTCCTTCTTTTTACTGACCTTAGCGGGTGGAGGAGGTGATGCAGGAGCCGGCATTTGATCACTGCGTTCTTGAGCTGGAAGTTCTTCACTCTTAGTACCATTGTTTTCCAAATGCTCCCTGTCCACTTTATGCTCTCCATCTTTACTCTTCACTGCAAGCTTAGTATCTGCAACTCTTTCTTTCTTCTTCTTCTGATCAAAAGCTCTCTTTTCATTGATGACATCCTCTCCTGCACTGAGCATCTCTTTCTCCTCCACTCGCTCATCCTCAGGAGAAGGTGAACGAGGTCTTCTCTTCTTCTTCTCTTTCCTCTTGGCGCCTTTCTCATCCTGCCCAACGTCACGGCTAGGGGGCTTACCATGAATTGAGGCTCGGTCTTCATCCGCACTGTAACGCTCACGATCGTGTTCTTCAGGAAAATCCGGCGGTCGAGGTTCTTTGCGATCACGGGAATCTTCATATGAACCTGAACTGCTCCTGTCATCCCGCCAGCCCTCATGACCCTCAGGAAAATACCTCTCACTGCCACTGTAGCTTGCCTCCTCCCTATCCCGATCGCGCCCACCTCTATCACGTCTGTGCCGACCTTGCTCTTTCTCTCTTTCTCTTTGCCGACTATAGTTATAATCACGAAGCTCTTGATCATAATCATCAGCTGACTCATACCCTCCGCCCTCATAAGGCCCACGGTAACGGAAGAACCTCTCTGCTGGTACCCCTCTCTGCTATCGGCGTAGTCATACTCTCCCCTGTGCCACGGACGGTGGTTTGACATGTCACGTCTCATGCTGCCACGACCTCCCCTTCCTCTATCCCAGCGGTTATCATAATACCCACCCCCTCGGCCACGCGACCTTGGGGAGGAAGGTTCATATCTCCGGCTGCTACCATCTGAGGAACCAGTGCGCTGTAATGCATCAAAGAATAGTTGCCGACTGTCACGGCTGACAAATTCAACCTGTGCAAAGAGAAGTAAGGAATGAATGAACTTCACTGAGAATATAGTGATAGAAACAGCTGCAAAGTTCTGTTCAATAAACCTTTCAAACTGTTTCAAAATTAAAATGTGTGATGTGTATAAAAATCAGTGTTTAAAGTGGCAATCAATAAAAAGCCAGCGATTATGCACCACTATGTGAAGAAAGAAGTCCTGAAATGTGACATTCAATATTCAATATTCTTCCTGTGAACTTTTTCCCACTGATGTGAGTCATGTGTACATGTGTAGCACATCGTTAGAAATAAGAGGCTTCCAGCTTAGAGCTATGCTTGCTTACCCTGACACGCCGTCCAAACATAGTTCTGCCCTTCATCTCTGCCTGTGCAATGCTAGCAGACTCCACACTATCAAAACTGACCAAGGCTTGTTCCCTGGGGCGATTCACCACAACTCTAGTAACATGTCCGTATCGTCCAAAATGTCGCTCTATCTGCTGCTCACTCAATCCACCCACCCCTCCGACCCAGATGGTGTTGATGGGCGATACTTTGCCAAAACCAACCTACACATAAAATATAATATAAAAATATAAATATAATATAAAATACAATACAACATTTCAGGGACTCTCGATAACCAGAGACCCACAAGAAAACTGGGTGTTCACTTTACACAGGGCCATCATTATCACTTTCTTTGATGAAGCAAGTTATGGGGAAGCAAGAAAGCTGTGTGAGCCTGCTACAGTACATGGTCACAGACGCACACGTGCTTAAGGTTTACCACACTGCAGGGGCGCCCAAGGACAAAATTTTTTCAACTTGTTTAAACGGCTGCTTTTAACAAACATTTAATTCATTTTTAAATCTTTCGCCAATGGAAAATTTCTCCCCCGAATCAAAATTGTCGTTTCATTAAAACAAGGACACTTCAAATTCAACTTATTTTGGAAGGGAGCTACTGGGGAACGTATATCTACTATGCAAAAAGGGGAAATAAATGTGTGTTTTTAACACTCCATGGTTACAAAATTGTGCCTACTGGGTTGTAAACGTGCAGTACAAGATAGAAAAACAGGCAAAGACATTTATGAGAGGTAACCAGAACAATTTACTACAAAGTCGGATGTTGAAACCCGGAACATGTATTTGCAGTGATATCATTGAAACAAATCTGATCTGAAAAGATAACGATTACGTGAATATACATTTGTTCTTCACTTTATCCGTCTACTTGCTAAGAAAGGAATCTTTCTTTAGCTAAATCATTGGCATTGAAACCACTCACATACGTAAATTAAAACTTGAATCAACAATAACAATAACAATACTTCTGGCCTAAATAAACGTTTCTTACTTCAAAGTTGATGACAAAAATACTGTTTGGACTGCATTGCTAAATAAATGAAACTTGCCTGAATAACTTCCACTCATTGTTGATTCTCGTATATCAGTATCAAGTTATTCTTAGTTATCCCAATAAATATCTATATATGGTTTTCTAATCACGAAAAAGCAGTACTAACACTTGAATTTATCACGACAAGTGGAATCTTCGTATTCAGAGGAGAATGTAAAATATACATTTATCGCGATTCGGTGACTAACTGCATTTACCAAAACATCGATCAATGGCGCTGATGTTTCAACAAATTAGATTGCTGGTTTACGTTGGTACTTTGTCTTGAATGATAATATTATAAACAAGTAAACAGATTGGGGATTTAAAGTTTTGTACAGTGATGTAACGTTATTTGTAGGTGGCACTCAAAGAGTTCTGTTCATGGCGTATAGAATGGTCTTCGAGGTTTCTTGGCCTGGGTGTAAGTCAACCCCCGCCGGAAGTAGTTTGGGCTCTCCCCAGTTTCTCCCACCTGAGTTTTCAAAATGGTTTCCATCCTTTTTCAATGAATGATAATACTTGTAAAAACATTAGATCCTTATGCCAGAACTGTACAAATGTCTTGCCATGCAAGAGGAACAGATTCATCATTGAATTTACACAAAAGAAAACTTTACAAATATTTGTTTAAAACAAACAATGATTCAGTTCAAAAACGAAAATTCAGCATCAAAAAAGCCGGAAAACACAGATACATATTTCAGACAATATAAAGTAGTTGACACAATTGTTTAAAACGGCTGCTTTTAACAAACATTTAATTCATTTATTATTTCTTTCCTTTTAAATGGCTTAAATTTCACCCCGAATCAATGTTGTCTGAATTCAAGGACTTGAGGCGCCAAAGTTTTATTTTTTCAGGGGTTGGGGTAGACATGGGGATAAATATACTATGCAAAAAGGGGCCATTTTACGGAAGTGTGTCAACACTTTTGTCCCTCATTGTATGTATCCAACTCTTTAGGAACAGAAGTGTGAGTTCTTTCACATTCTGCAAGATTCATATCAGTAATAGTACTGTGAGAGGTAGCTGGTGTTTTTTCATCCTTACCAGAGAAGACCAGAATGTCTAACCATGTGTGGATGTCAGAACAAAGTCAGCACATTTCTGTCAGTGAATTTTAGATCGTGAGTTGAGTGTTAGAATAACATACCTATCACTCAGAAGTCTGGTACCTCAAATAACAAAGTGCTAGAAAATTGTGGTCTTAAATGCAGATGCATACCTTGACTCTGTTGCGTCCCACAAACTCTCTGTCCATTCTCCTTCGAGCCTGAATAGCACTGCTCAGTTCAACAAACTGGATGAATGCATACGGATTATTACCAGTTTGTTTCTTGATATCAACATCCTGTCATTAAGGAAAGTATGTTATTTCTGAGCCAGAAAACAAATAAGCGTTATAAACAGTGTGATCCCAACCATAATACTACAATTATTTAGCATGTAAGACAATATATTTGCAGACAGAACAACCCAGTTGTCATTAACAGAACTCAAAAACTCTGACTTTTCACTAGCCGCCAAACACTTATTTTCACTGACCTTAAAGTAAGCAACTAATTTTTAAAAAGAATCCATGTTTGCCCTTCAATTTCATGTTCTTCATGACTCAACAAAAAATAACCATAATAGGAAACTATTCTGAGTCGAAACTACTTTATGGAAACTTACCACAATTTCTCCGTATCGTTCAAAAGCATCCTTAAGATCAGAAAATGTTGTTGTCTTTTCAATATTTCCTACAAAGAGAGTTCTGGTGCAACCTGGATCAAAGTCATCATCAATCATGGACCCTGCATGTGAACGGTGACGGTGACGATGTTCACTGGAATCGTATCGATCATCTACAGGAAAAAGCCAAAAAACTCTTACCACTGTTATCATCAGGGCTAGAAAAAAAAGGTATTCCAGTTTGTCCTTTGGGCAAGCAACTCTTGCATTTTGAATGCCTGGGATTACTTCTTGTTAAATGTAGTTTTAGTAAACCAATTAAGCCCCAACATTCACATGCAAATTCTCCAAACTGGTCTCTATACATTTCTATGAAGAATAAGTTGAGAGAATTTGATAAAAGATCAAAGCATTTTCCCTCAAGTGATTACTTTTTTAATTCTCACAACCTATTCTCTTGATTGTGTATTGGTATCATTAGGAGAAAATTGAGTAAACAATTTCATATGTGGATGACTTGCCTGGCCCCTTGCCCATAAGCAGGGATTTCATTAAGGTTTTGAACAGCAATGCCACTGGGTTTGACACCCAGACAAAGAATTGGAAAGGCCCTTTTTTGAAATTCTACCATTACAGAGATAAGTTTTCCTGCATTCTGAAGGTGCACACAATGTCTTTCAACTATCAAAAAATGATAACTTTTGTAGAAAATTTGATCATGATTTGATACCAATATCCACCACACAAATTAGTTGATAATCTTATTGAGACATTCTAGACGGTCTTTTATGGCGTGCAGCTCTTTTCACAACACATTACGGGGCAATTCTTGTTTTTAGCATGTAACAAATGAGGGGATTTCAAGCTGAGTGTGATAAAGTCGAAATTTGACGATAAAGTATATTTTACATTTGAGAAGACTCATTAAGAAAAGGGCACGATTGTGTAATTTACTTGAAACAGGTTTTTGATCATTCCTTGTATTAAAAAAAAAGTTCTTTGAGAAGTTAAGCAGCCGGGCAAAGTCACGTTCACAGCCGGTGCCTGGCCCTCAGTGAAACCCCTGCATAAGGCAAGAAAGCTTACAAAGTTACTTTCTCAGCAAGAAAATCTACTGGTCCCAGACTAACAGATTGGACAATGGTATAAGAGATTTGAGAAAAAAAAAAAAAAAAAAAAAAAAAACGTTTGTATATTCTTATTCTGGAATACGCTCAATCAAACGCACCCTGAGTTTGCCTTGGATCCAGAATAATGACTATCAACTTCTTCCCTAAACTCTTTAATAGAGGTATTGTCTCTTAAAGCTTGAGCTTTTACTAGTAATAATTTGTTCTAACAGATTACGTTCCCCAACCTTGCCAATACTGTAAATCCATTGCAGCCCCAAGGAACATCTTTCCCTGACATACTTGTAGTCCTCGCTCTGCATCTTCAGGCCTGACAAAATTACAACAAAGAAAAAAAATTAAAAACTTCTACAACCTTTCTTGACTCAATGATTAAGAGGTAAAAAAAGGCTTGATAGCCCCAATTTTAGATCTTTGGCATTGGAAGCTGGATCCTGAAATTTATTCCATGGGTGTATGGATTAAAATAAAGTTGAATTCTCAGCACCTTCTGAAGTGTATGATAGCATATCTGCTAGATCCTTGTCCATTCACATAAATGCGAGACACATCCCCATGCTTCTTGAACTCATGATAAAGGCCATCATGAACACTGCTATCTACAAATGTAAAGAATACAAAGCTTCTTTAATTCAAACAAGACAAAGACCAGGTTTAAGGTAACTTCTACCTAATCACACTGTTTCTTGTTATACCTCCTGATCTGATAGAGATATTTCTTAAACAGAGTGCTGAACTTCTGTTTGCCTGAGGAGCATCTGGCACAGAAGCAACCCTGCGGACATTCTCATCCCTGCTGCCTTCCTCACTGCTGCTGCTACCACTGGAGCTAGGTGACTGGCTTCTGCTCTGACTGCTTTCAGTGTCGCTCTCACTGCCACTGGAGTGATCTGCACTGGGTTCTTGATCCCGGTATGCTTCTAAAAAAAAACAATTTACAGTCCAGATCAAACATGACAGTGGTCTCATGATCATTGATTAAATCAATCATTGGTCAAAGAATATTTAATGTTCACTGACATGACAATTGGTTCTGGGAAATGTTTAATCACATACCGTCGAATGTTGACAAATAAAAATATCAAAAGTACGTATGCAGCAGGCAAAGAAAGTCATGCTCCATAGCCTGGAACTAGTAGATTTTGCTATTAGGCTAGTGAATTCTGTTCTTCACTTGCCCAGCGGGCAAATGAATTTTTTACAAAATTCACATTACAGAAGAACTGTAATCAATCCTGCTCATCCAAAATTTTTTTCAGGCTAATCAAAATGACTCTCTCGCTACAAGTTAGCTGCAGCTTGCCCAACTGGCAAGCTGTAAAACTGACTTTCTCTGCACCCTGATATGTAGTGAGATGTCCTTTCAATGGACAGTAACGTTGTTTGATCGCCCAGTTTCCTTTACTGGAGACTAGACATGTTTAGTTAGTTAAGAATAATTGAAGCTAAAAAATGGACCTACCCACCCTCCCACCCAAAACAAGGACCTCCCCCCCACCCCCAAAACAGTACTGTAACATATAGGTGGCAATGAAATTAGAGGTTTTGAAGAGTTGGGAGGATACTGGCTGGAGCATCCTGTTTTAGGACAGATCTAAGCAGCACGCAGTATGCCAGTTAGGGTCATGCAACAGCTGTTCAGAAGAGAAGTCACCAATGGTGCCTAATCCTGACCCCAAACAATACTGAAACAATTGAAAGAATGAAATATCAATGTTTTCTGCGACCAATCAGGAGAGCAGCTCCTACACAACTGGCCAGTTTGGAAGGACCTGAAACAAAATAACTCAACACATACTTGGCTTATGACTGCTTCTATGAGGTTCTTGTCCATGGCTATAAGGCTGCTGACGTCGATCTCTACTGCTACTGCTAAGAGGTCTTGCTCTGTTAGTACTCCCACCACCACCAGAACTACTGCTTGGCATTCGAGCGCTTGTACCTTCTTCATCACTGTAGCCATCTTGATAGTAGGCTTGTGAACGACCACCGTATCTTCCATCTTGCGTATTTCTGTTGGATACAACATATAACCCCAATATTAGTCTTCTCAGACTTGAGATTGTCATACATTTTCCCAATTCCATCCCAGAAGATCAATTAGTTTTTAGAGCAGATGTTCACTGGAAATAGAGTACTAAAGTGTGACATCATAAAAATGAAATTTCTGAAATTATGGAATTTGTCTGGATATTCTGAAAGAACAATGTCCAAGACGCCTACTTGCCAAAAATGAGCATTTCGGGGCAAATTGTCTCTGAGATCTAGCCCAGCTATGCTTAGAAAACTCCATACAAACCCTTCTAAATTTTTTTGGGTCGACCCCAAAAAAAAATTGGAAGGGTTTGCATGGAGTTTTGTGAGTATAACCGGCTAACCTCTCAGAGACAATTTTCCCCCGAATTGCTAATTTTTGGCAAGTAGGCATCTTAGACATTGTTCTTTCAGAATATCCTGACAAATCCCATAATTTCAGAAATTTCATTTTTATGATGTCATCACTTCAGTACTCTATTATGATCATGTATGACCATATGATGCATATCCTCTGTGATAAGTGCTGCTGATGGTACTGAAACACACACTGCCAGAAAAGAAGGCTCACTGTAGATGTATTTCTACTTGTCACTTCTCTCTAGCCAAAAAGTTTCTTTTCTGGTGAGAAGTTACTTTTCGGCTAGGAGGGAGTGAGGATTTGAGAAACATCTGCTTTTACAGGCTAAGCTTGCTGTTGAGCAGGGTTTGAATTTAGAAAACAAAAAAACATTAGGGACTGAATTGTTTCTGAGAGTAAACCTCTTCTGGAAACCTTACAAGTAAACTAATAGTAAATGTTTGGGTTCTTTTACCAACATAAGACAACTAAATTTTCAACCCTGAAGGATACAAAAGAAATGGCACAAACTGGTTCAGCATATTTTATTTTTCATACAGTACTAACCTGGTTTTTTATAGCCCTAGCACATGTGGCTTGCCTAAGAACAACACATCAACTTCATGAAATGACCCCATCAAAGTATATGCTACACTAAAATCATCCACACTGATCACAATAAATTAACGCATCCTTGGATTACAAAGAACACTAGCAAGATAGCAAGATGACCACACACTTTTCATCAAAAGCTCTGTATTCAAGTTCTTACAAAGAAAACCTCCTACATGACACATTCCACACAATAATTTTTGGGGTAACGCCAAAGTTGAAGCAACACTCCTCTTGAGAGACTTAATTTTCAAAGGCATCTCATATTCCAAAACAAGATTGATGGTGTTCACACAGTTGAGGTGTGTCTTCCTCTGATGTCGCTGATGATCAAATTTGAATAGAGTATACAAGGTTTGGTGGTGTTTAAATCCAAAAAAAATGCCTTTGCAACAGAGGTGGAAAAACAAATAGCTTGTCTAAAATTTTGATGATAACCACATGTTTTGTCAAGTTTTCAAAACTGGTATTCAAATTTTGTTTGCAATGGAAAGAGCATTCACATCAGTATCTTGTAATTTATTCTGACCATTTAGTGTCAAGCTTTCAATCTGATCTCTGACAATAGACTCTCAATGCTCCAGATAATCTTGCAAAATTCTGCATCACAAGATGTTGTTTCAGGCAATGGGTATGACCAATACTTCTAAGATACTTGATGTCCATTTCTTACTGTCTTGCGATGAGATTAATGGATAAATCAGCAGCTAATATTTTCATCAAAGAAAAGTGGAATTGAAAAGAACGCAAACAATCACAGCAGCTACACACGACTTTTGACTTATGCAGAAGAGAACTGTGTCCAGTGAAGGTAAAAGTGTGAAAAACCTGGCACGCACGTTTTCCTTGAACCATATAAGAGGTGCAACACACCACACAATCCTCTGAAACTGTTTTTCTGATCCTTCAAGAGAAATTACTTGTATCACTTTGGAGCGATCTTCTGTTTAAAGCAAGAAAATCCATCCTCACTTCTTCAGAACTGAGAGCCACACAATCCACGACCACTTCTCCTTCACAGCAGATTTTATTCCAGCGTTGTTTAGGATAATCTTGATCTGATACTGTAGGATTTGATCCAAAACAGAACTGAGACTATTGAAAACCACACAATCCAAAACTTGTCTCATCCACATAGATGATGTTCTTGTGATTATTTGGGACAATCTTAAATCCAAAACGGCATGAACTCTGCCAGACAACCACACAAATGACAAGACTGAAATCCAGTTCACCAATTTTGCATGTCGTCCACATGGTGTGATTTTCTTTTATTTACCAGGGGAAAAAACAAAAATAGCTGTCCACAATCCTAACAGGCACTGTTGAAAATCCCATGATCCAAAATGGTCTCCTCAATTACACTGAGCTTGCTCTTCTTTTGCTTCAAAAAATCCATTGTAACACCACTGGTTGCCACATCTTGAAAATCCATAATTCTGACCACACAATCTCAATACTCCAACTTAACCTAATATCATGAAACTATCTCTGATAAAACTAACACAAAATGGTGAAGGATGCTGATCTGAATTCCATTTTAATTTTGATCACAAAACATTAACCAGAACAACAATAAAACAAAGCTTTACTTTACTTCCTTGCACCCTTTTGTTTGTTACTTTTAGTCATTAACCTCTCCCTATAAAATTTACCAGTTTGGCAACAAGTTGTTGTTGTTGTGGTGTTGGAACACTAATACTCTTGGTTGCCACAACTTGGGGATCCATTTCTAGCGATTTTCCACATATTACACCTTGTTCCGAAAGCTTCTTCATCTTGACAAACAACAGAAGCCACAAGTATTTTTAAGGCAACAACGATACCGTAAAAGTAAAATGAAATCCCAGCCATTGAAGACAACATGACTTTCCACTGAAGTTCTTTCATTTTGCCAGATGGGATTTTTTTCACACCCAATTCAATATTGCAAATCCCTCACTCCAAGTTTTTCTGCTTTTCAAGAGATACGCAAACCGCAAGCCGCAATCAAATATTGAGTGAAATACATACTTACAGGCAGAGACTTAGAGGTGAACTCTCAACTTTGCCATTTGATGGGCGGATAGCGTGTCTAGCTCACGTGACTGCAACACGAAGCAATGCGCTTTCTTATGAAATTAGCAATAAGAAGCTCACGAACTTATTCTCTAACTTACCCTTCGGTTCTTCTATCAAAGCGCCGTCTTTGTACAGGAGATCCCGGTGCTGAATTACTCGTAGGACGGGCGGGAGGATCCGCATGAAGCCGTGAAAGATTACTAGGGTTTCCTGGTTCATTGTAATCGGTTCTCATTTCACGATCGCCGATTCTATTAACAGATTCATGCGCTTTCGTTGCGCTGCGAATGTCAACGAAATCCACAAAAGCGGCTCGTCCACCTTCAGCGCTGCGTTTTGGTAGAATTTTGACGCTCTCGACGCGGCCATACCTGCAAACAAAGCGAAGCAAGTCGTTGGTGACGTGTAACACAAACCTTCCGAGAAAAAAACATGGCAACTTGTGATCACACTTCCATGCAAATTGAACAAATTTAACGAGACGCTTTCTGTCAGGTATAAAGTATTTTCTCACAATTCATCTGGCTCTAAAAATATTGATAGTGGATTTAAATTACCACAAAGAGATAAGAAATATCTAAAGTTTACAAGTACCACGATAGAGTAAAGTGAATTTTGATTTTAGCACCGCCGCAGACGGTCGAATGGTAAAATTTACTATGGCGTCTCGCTCTTTGTAAGGATGCCTAAAATGCATTTAGAAATTTAATTTGATGAGCAAGTTCAATTTCAGCGACTAATCACCATGAACTAAAAAGCGAAACGAAACGTTTTTTTATAGCTTCACGCAACATCGGCAAGGAGTATTAACCAGTCCAAAACGGAGCAGCGGTTTTTTTCTCTTACATGTGAACTGTCATTAAGAATAAAGTTTCCGCCATAAAGCACTGTTACAATTCCTTAACTTATTACAAAGGAGGAAAATTAAGCTGCATTAAAAAAATAATAACAAGAATAAATTCCCTGGCTTGAATACAGCGCGCCAAAACTGGTAAGCTAAAACCTTACCGGGCAAAATGCTTGACAATTTCTTCCTCCCGTATGTTTTCCGGTAGGTTTCCGACCCACAGATGGCGTGTTTCTCGCACCATTTTGTTTAGAGTTGTTCTCCCTTATTTGAATGCAGGTTTCAGAGCGGATTTTCCGCGACAATCATTGGTAAAAAGTGCATTTCGCTGTTAACTTTCGAAACTTCACCGAGGTGGGTAATTTGGCGATTCGTGCTCGCAACGGATGGTGGGAAATCGATTAGGATTGAAATATAACAGTGATTCTGATTGGTTATTTTTTCACCCTATCAGACGATCCTTTTCTGACCAATGGGATGCGGCGTGATATTTGAGGATCTGTGTTAATTCGCTGACTTTCTTGATTTCTTAGATCTGCGAACGTTTCTCTGCGCTTTTTGGTAGTGAGATCTCGGAATCTGGAGCTTCAGTAAATCGTAAGTTCATACTACTTTACTTTTGCTGTATTTACGCATCAAAGAGTTCTAAAATTGGCGTGAAATGCAGTCAGAAGCATCTCTACAAGACGACTGCATTTGCTCGATTTCCTAATTCGAGACCTCGGAGGAGACGTTCTCAGCTTTTTACAAGAAAACGATTTTGACATCTCTGAAGATCGTTAAATGATTCAGACAGTGGGTTAATTTTTCAATAGGATGTTTTTTCTGCAGGACAAAGTTTGGAGAGATCTTTGTCGCTAAAAACTAGCTTACACAGATAAATGTGACTCGCAGCACGCAAATCTGTGCCCTTTTCCTGGATTAAATTTTATGAATTATTATTTACTTATCAAATTGTATTTAATGTTTTCGTCACGGAAAACATGTGGCCCCAGGTTTCCTTTCGCTGTTAGTTTTTGTTTACTTTATGCCGGTCAAATGTTTATGAAGTTACCACACCCAATCAATGCTAGAAGTTTTGGAAATTTTGTTGCTACTGGGGACCTGTTTTTGATGGAAACTGATCTCTCAGAGTAACGTTCTAAACTCAATTTTTTATCATTCCTTAAAGCTTCTATTCAGAGCTCATTTACCTCTTATTTGTTTGGTTGTTTATTACACCACATAACATTTTCGTCAGTTTTTTTCTCTTAAAAAAGGGGAAATTACATCACCTACCTGCAAATCCTGAAAGAAAGTAAGAATTTAAGTTTCAGATTCTCTTAACCTGCACAAGTGGATAAGATTGCTGAAAGTTGTAAATTTTTCCAGAACTCCCTTTCTTAGTTTGTCAGGTTCTAGAAAGGAGGTACAATGCAGATTGGGGTACATGTATGTGGAGGCTCCACCACCTGTGATATAATACCAGTTCTTGTGGTGTCATGGTGGCTTTGTTGATGGTCAAAAGAACACAAATGTTTCTCTCTGTTTCTCTTGGAATATCTACAAAAAAATGTCTAGACTTGCCACAAGTCAACCTCACAAGTTTCAAAGCAAAAAAAGGGTTAAAGCAAGTTGAGAGAGCAACAAAGTCACATTGATCAAGTCCAAAAAGTCCATCCTACAGGCCAGATTAAATCTGTCCTTAGGTTAAACCAGAATTTCCTTTTTTTTTCTCGTATGAATAATGTTATTAGGGCTAGATAACGAAGGAAATTCTGAATCCAACTAGGTGAAATACTGAGTTAACTTGTAATTGACTTTACCTACATTATTTCAACTTGTCCAGGAAACTGGCCTTTGGTAATGAAAGCTTAAGGGCGAGGGTGCAAAATTTCTCTGTGTTTAAGGCTGTTTTTAGGTCTCTGGTGCTTGGTGTATGAAGTTAAATAAATAAACCATTGTTCCACCTCTGAAAATATTTACTCTGTACATGCAGGATGTTTTACTGGGAATACAAGTGTTTGTTGTGCTGAATGGAATGAATTTCCTAAAGTCATCCCAGTCCCTGGCCAGGCGAATAACTTTTTCCTCTTGCCAGTTCAGGCGTTATTTCTCCATCTCCCCTGTCATTGCACAAGGTGATTTTTCAACTCCCGTTATTTGGAGACCGTTCCCCGTAAACCTGATTAATGTAGATCACCACGTACCCACTGCGGTATCTATTGTATAAGCCACACACCTTTCAGCTTAGATTGACTTAAATGTTATCTGTTGTTGTAATTTCCTTATTTTGGAGTCATTGATTATTAACAAACATTTTCAGGGAATCCTCTGTTTTCTGACATTTCTGTTGCATGTTGTTTTTGTTTTTGAATTTTTCGTTGAGTTTAAGTCTAAACTAAATTGTTTAAATAATGTTTCTCCCTTTCAAAACTAGAAAAAGTATATAAAATAGTTTGGAAATTTACAGGGTATCAAGTGTGTCTTACAACTACTGTATCTTACAAAATCTTATTAATATTATCACCATTGAACTATAAAATGTACTGGTATTTGGCGACCTCCTTTTAAGGTTTTCACGAAGAATTCTAGTGGCAGGAGAAAGGTGTAACTTTACAGGAGAATATTATGAAAGAGGCTCCATGTCTAAATAGAAAATAGTCATAGGCTTTCGCATGTTTGCCAGAGAATTCTGTGTAGTAAACAGAGAATGTCTTTTATAATGCAAAAATGAAAATCAGAACCTCTTTCCTGTGTATTTCAAGGTTCTTCTGGGCTTAAGAAGGTTGTAATTTTCTGGGGTATATGTTACAGGTCAAAATTATATTCAGATTAAAATTTTTTGACCTGAGTTGATTCTCAATTTTCTTTGTCTCTAGCCCTATATTCATGAATAATTAGGGCTAGGAAACAATGAAAACTGAGAATCAACCTAGGTTAAAAAATTGTAACCTAAATTAATTTTGACCTCTAACATATGTATGCATGCATTTAAACTTTTTTTTTTTTTTTTCTAAATAATTTTTTGTTAATTTTCTTAGTAAATATGTCTGGTGTCAGCAAGATCCAAGCTCGTGAAATACTTGACAGTCGTGGAAATCCTACAGTGGAAGTTGATATCACAACTTCTAAGGGTGAGTAAGACGTTGCTCAAACCCCTGGAAGGGGGGCGGGTAATCTCTTGTGTGGCTGTAATGAGTGTGTTGCTGAACAGGGTATGGTTTGGGAGAATCCTAAGTCTTAAACGAGGTATGCTATTCAAAGGTGGACAGACGGGAAATTATTGTTGCTTGAAATATCTTTAAGAGGTTGTCTTTCTGACCAGATGTTTTGAGCTGGTTGTGAAGGTTTTTCAGCAGTGCATGGTCTACATGCATGGTAACAGTCCAATAAGGCACCTACCCTCTATCCAGGGAGGTAGCTGGTTAGTAACAAAATTGTCTTTATTGTCTGAACCAAAGGTGATTTTTTCTCTACAGTTGCCAGTCAGGGGCAGATCTAGGGGGAGGTGTAGGGGGTGCGCACCCCCCCCCCCCGAAATGACCTGCAGTTTTCTAATACAACTGGTTTTCTGCAAAAAAAAAAACTATGTGGTTTATTGGTGTTGAAGTAGCGCAAGAGACGAGTGCACTCCTCCTAAAAAAAATCCTGGATCTACCCCTGCCATTGAGTAGGGTTTTGACTGTATGTCATTGATTTTCAGGCCTATATCGTGCCGCAGTTCCTTCTGGTGCATCCACTGGGATTTATGAAGCTTTGGAGCTCCGGGACAAGGATCCAAAACGGTTTCTTGGCAAAGGTGATATTCCATACAGTTTTTAATTATTAAACTCATCAACAATGATTAGCATGCATGGGGGACTGGGGGCTGCTTGAGAGGCTGTTTCGGCCAAGAAATACAGCCTAGTGCAGCATAACCATGACATCCCTGTAAGGTGGTTCTGACTTTTGAGTCTGCAGTGGAAATCCCATAGTGTGACCATTCAAATAAAAGCTAGTGAGCAGTACTTTCCTTTGGTGCTGTTTATTATGTTGTACAAAGTGTTTCTAACTTTTAAGTCGTGGATGAAATCCTATGGAATGACCATTCAAATGAAAGCCACTGAGTAGTACTTTCTTGTGGTACTGTTTATTTTGCTGTAGAAGGTAATTCTAACTTTTTGTCCTCTAGATGTGTGAGCACTGTAGCTAAGTACTCTAATCATTTAAAACAAAAACTGCCAGGAAGAATTTACTTCTGGTGTCAGCTGTTTACAATGCTGGCAAGCAAAAGTGGTTCTGCGGATCAAACACTAATATTCAAACCATTTTTTACTTGTTGTTTGCAAATTGTAATAAAATATTTATTTAAACTTATAATGAAATTTATTATTGTTGCATTGAAGGTGTCTTGAAAGCAGTTGAGAATGTCAATAAAGTTATTGGACCTGCCTTGATTGAGAAGGTGCATGTAAACCATGTTCATATTGTACTGTTATAATCAAATAATTATTAATGTGTGGGGAATAGAACTACTTGAACTCATGTTGTCAGGCATGCATGGAATGTAATCCTATCTGGAGAATTCTTTCCTGAGGCCTTCTGCAGAGAGTGGTAGATAATGCAATAAGACATTGTCGAATTAATTTGAACCAAAAGTTTAATTAAACTTAGTATTTGCCATGTAATTTTGGTTGAAAAATGGGGCAATTTCCGGACAAAGTTTAAGTCTTGAGATGAGGCACATTATTGATACTTTTGTTTGGTTTCAGAATATTGATGTAACTAAACAAGCTGAGGTTGACAAAATCATGTTGGAACTTGATGGGACTGAGAATAAATGTTAGTTAATGCCTTGAATCTTCTCTACAAAGTACACCATCTACCATTAATTTTGTAGTACTAGTATATTACGGCACTTTTCAAAAACACACAAATTCTTAAGTTCAAAAGCCAACTAACATTTGCATTTTGCAATGCCATCAATCATCCTAGCAGACCTCTTAGGACGAAACAGAAGTTTAAAAAGTCATGGCTTTTGATTTGTGATTGATGGGTTGAGATCCGTTTTGTGTGTTTCTGTGTTTCAAGGTTCCTTGCTTGTGATCGAAATTATGATGGACGACAGCGAAAAATGCAATATTACTGTGAAGGTGGCTTTTGAACTTCAGAGTTTGCATTTTTGAAAAGCGCAGTAGGATCTACTAAGTAAGTAGTCTCCCTCGCAGCTGTTTTTAGTGTCGTCACGCAATGCTCCTCTGTGACGACACTAAAAGTGGCTGTGAGGGAGACTAATAAGTTAGCTGTAAGATATGAATGAGCAGTCTCTCGTCATTACCTAATAGCACAAATTGTAGCTATAATGGCTACCGTGGAACAAACCTCTGTTAGTACTGTTAGATTTTTTACAATGGTAGATCTTGGATGATTAATTGAAAAATAATAATTGAGTTCATGTAGGTGCCAACTACTTGAATGTGAAGTTTGGTTTAAATCCCCATGGTACACTTTACATTTTGTGATTTGTTCTACTTGATGATGAGTGAAAAATAAAAGCATCTGAAATGTCATCTACAGCTCTGTTTATAACAAGCCTGTCATAAGTAGCTGTCAGTGGGCTCTTTTATCTGACTACTGCAGTAAAATCAGCAGGCTGTGAAAAGGAGTCAAACATAAGAATAAAATATTATAGGAAGATTTGTGTTATAAATGACTGGCAACTTTAACTTTAACTTTTGAGTCTGAGAGACCAGCTACTTGAAACCTAAATGATAGCCTTGTATTAGTAATAATAATAATGATGATGATTATGATAATGACAATAATAAATTATGCATTATTAAAGACATTGACTATGACTGATTTGATAAGAAATGTACGTTTACACTTAAACATTATTTTGTTCTCTGCATTCTAGCTAAACTTGGTGCCAATGCAATCCTTGGTGTCTCCCTTGCTGTTTGCAAAGCAGGAGCTGCTCATAAGGTGAAAATAACTTAACTGATCATTTCTGCATATGCCAACAACTCTGAAAACCAGGGGCTGTCTCTATTGGGGTACTATTGACAGCCGGGAGATGTTGACCCTATTTTAGTTGACATAATATTGGGAATTGCAAGTGAAGTTGCGAATAAATAATATTATTAGCATACTGTCTTGTAAAATTTGAGGGAAAGTGAAGAAAGTCAATCAGAATACATGTAAAATTATAATGTGTGGCATTTGAATAATGTATTTGCACCCCTTTAAATTTTTGTATTATTATTAACGATGATGATTATTATTATTGTAATAATTTATTATTATAAAATTGCTGACAATTAGAGGTTTTATAAGTTTCAAGGACAAAGGAAATTGATGATGTAATTTATAATCCTATTTTTAAGGCAAACCCACCAATTATGAATAGTTCCTATCTCCATTTTACAAATGCCTCTGTAAAGTGGAGACTTGTCTCTGTGTGCACATCGGTGTCTGTACTAAGGAGGTTTACTAATTATTTTTTCAGGGAGTTCCGCTTTACAGACACATTGCAGACCTGGCTGGCAACAAGGAAGTCATCCTTCCCGTTCCGGCATTTAATGTCATCAATGGTGGAAGTCACGCAGGAAATAAACTTGCCATGCGGGAATTTATGCTGCTCCCAACTGGTAAGTGTTGCCAAATTTTTTTAACTGGTTCAAAGTAGTGTTTATTATATGATTCCAAAGTATTGATGGAAGCATACAACAGGAACTTAAGATAAAGCTGTGAATGAGTTGACCAAGTATGTTTTTCATCTTTATTCAAAAGGTGCAAGTAGTTTCAGCGAGGCAATGAGGATGGGTGCAGAAATCTATCAGAACCTCAAGAGCGTAGTGAAGAAGAAATATGGAATTGATGGTATTTTTTATAAACTTATCTTGCTGTTATTCAGTTCCATCACTTTTCCTGAGAAAAGGGACTGCAATACATGTGTATGAGGAACATTATGATCAAATGTGCTGGTTGCCAGCATAAAAAGGAATTTCTAAGTTTTAAAAGCAAGTTCACTTATCCATTAATTTTTGGACACTCCTGTACAAAGAGGAACAACCTGAAATAATGTCAATTTATGATTTTAGTTGTTTGTGTTGACTGTGATGTAACAGTTAAAGTCTTTGATCTCAGTGTTTTTTTTTTTTTTTCACTTTTCAGCTACCAATGTTTATGAAGGAGGTTTATCCAAAAGGTTAGGCTAAAGTCCTAGATATCCCAAATTAGAAACAATCTTGTTATCTGACATTTTTATGTCCTCTTCAAACATGGATTTCAAACACGGATCATTATTATTTGGAAACTAATCATGCATAATTATTTACCCTGCTGAATTTCTATAAATTTACCTTTACAACATTATGAGCTTGAGTTTTCCTTGAAGTTACAAAACAATGCTGAAAACTGCACTTACAACTGGAAAGTGAATTAAAACGAAAAGGTTAGGTCACAGTATGGTACAGTGGAACCTTGATATGAGAAAGTGCCAAGAGACTGCAAAATTTGTTCGCTGTAACAAGGTTTCATTATATCGAGGTTGTTTTTCATATGTTTTATATCTTCTGTTGCTGGGGTGAAGAAAATTTTTCGTTATACCAAGGACTTGAAACTTGAACGAACTTCGTTATATGGAGGTTCCACTTTACTACCACATGGGAAAAAATATTATTAATACTTTTGTATGGCATGTAAATTAACTTTGCAGGACTGGAGTTATTGAAGATTGCTATTGCAAATGCAGGCTATACCGATAAGATTAAAATTGGCATTGATGTTGCTGCCTCTGGTATGACTTTAGCTTGTTTTGATGATTTGCTTCCTATTAATAATTATTTTGACATTAGCTAGTACTAAATATGGCTAAAATGCAATTCTTCAAGAATCATGTTAGATATACCAATGTATGTTCCTCAGAACTATTAGCTCTTCTTGCTACCCTACAACTGCGTGAAAATAAAGTTCATGTGTGTATGTATATGTTTTCTATATGTTTTTGTTAAATATAATTGCGGAAATGTTGTTTCAATTTTGTTTAATAGAATTCTACAAAGAAGGAAGGTATGATCTGGACTTCAAGAATCCAAACTCAGATCCTTTAAAATGGGTAAGAACTTCATCAAAATTTGTTTTGCTTGAAACAGGGTCAGAATTAGCCAAATCTGGCTTGTGCTGCAGGTTAAATACATCATTGACTCCAAAGAATTTCTTCAGAAGTAACTTTGACTCCACCTTAGAATCCAGAAATTAATCCTGGAAATCTGTGTACATTTTTTTAATTATATTCTGGAAAAACATAAGCTAGCTGTTTACTGTATTTAAGATTCGGTAAATATCTCCTGACCTGTATTTTCTCAGTGTTAAAACATGTACGCTTATGTATGTAGCATAAGGAAAGGCATGCTAATACTTTCGGTATTTCCAGATTTCTGGTGTTGAGTTGGCTGCAATATATGAAGGATTCATCGCTAATTATCCAGGTAAGACTTGTGTTCTTTTAACTTAAAGAAAAATATTTTTTTTCATTCATTCTTAGCATGGAGAAGGCCACTGATGGCAAAAGCGCTTTAGGAACAGCAGTGTTCTTCTGGTGTCACTGCAGAATTTGCAAGTAATTTCTGGTCTGAACTTCTTGGATACCCAAACATGTTCACATAAGTAGAAAGACAAAAAATAAGACTAATATGGATACCAATATATGTGTTTGGTTCTATCAGGAAGTATTTACCAGTACCTAAGTTAATTTACACTCAGCAAATCAATATACAATGAATTGCTATTTTCATTTGAAAAGAAGTACCACAAAATACCCCAAGCATTTTTGCAAGGATTGTAACTGAAATGCAGTCAACTCTGTCCAAAAGACACCATTTTTGAGATGGACAGTCGATGGCAGAGGCTGGTCCCTGAGGGCGTCTGTTTTGGAGAGAGATGACTGTAGCAGGTAAAATAAATTTCCCTCTTTGATTTCCTTTCAGTGGTGTCCATTGAAGATGCCTTTCACCAAGATGACTGGAAGAATTGGACAGCCCTGACACAGAAGGTGTCCATCCAGATCGTTGGGTAAGGGCTTTCTGCCTTGCAACACCCTCCCCTCCTCCCCCTCCACCTCCCTCTCCCCTACCCTACCCCCTTGAGTATGCAAAAAAGATGATTTGTTAAAACCCTGTAAGGAAACATCCCTTTTAACTGGCTTTCTCTGTAAACCAACTTACATAATCAAGGGTTGGGAGGGAGGGGAGAGAAAGAGGTACATGGGGGATGGGGTACAAAATTTGTCAGAGCATGAGATTGTCAAGGTAAAATTAACATTGCTCTAAAGTCCTGAGTCAGGCATTAATTAGGATTTTTTTAGTTTTGTTTTAGGCACCCTTTAATTACAGGGTAGAGGTAACTGTTACACTGCATCTTTTGTGTAAAGAATATTTAGTTAAAAGTAGGTAGTGATTAACAGTGTCTGTGGGCATGCTTAATTGGCCCTTCTTCAACCAAAATACTTGTCATGGACATAAAACTTAGTTTTGTCTTTCTTTCCTTCTTCTTTTCAGAGATGACCTCACTGTTACAAACCCAAAACGGTGAGTTTAAGTTGAGTAACTATAAAATAAAAATCCAATCGTATGGTACAATAATGGTACAAGGGAAGTTGACGCATTTTGAGGCAAGCTTCGTGGTGTTCTTTACAACAATAAATTGGGCCATGTTTGAGTTATTATCTGTTGCAAGAATATATCCGAGAATATTTTCCTTTTTCTTTTCGTAGCATCAAAATGGCCGTTGAGAAAAAAGCCTGCAACTGTCTTTTGCTGAAAATGAATCAGATTGGCTCAGTTACAGAATCCATTGAAGCGTAAGTGTGAGATATGGGTAATTATTAATTCTCAACAGACTGTTGGTATCATTGTTTCATACTTATTACATTTAAGGTGCAAGAGTATTGTGTATTGCACAATAATATGTAGCGACATAAGCAGCAGATACAAGAGCAGAGCAGTTATAATATGTAGCAAAATTAAGGAACACAGTGAAGATGTGGAGGTGAATGACGTGTTGTAAAAGAAAGTCTGGATGTGTTGATAAAATTTCGTGCGTTTATGTATTCTGCTCACACGGAACGGCGTACGAAAAGTGAGACGCTTAGCCGAATATTAAACGGTCCCGTATCGAAATTCGGGACACCTGTGTCCAAAAAAAAATCTTTCCCCAAAACAACCTTGTATCTTTTCAGCTGTTAATGTTTGTTTATTTGTTTGTTTGTGTTATCAGATGTAAACTGGCGCAGAGCAATGGCTGGGGTGTAATGGTTAGTCACCGTCGTGGAGAAACAGAAGATACCACCATTGCTGATTTGGTGGTAGGACTGTGCGCTGGTCAGGTACGATAAGATTTTGAAAATTTTTCTTCAACAGAACCAATGCTTAAGAAATATTAGTTTTGTGCTACCTGTAAATGCTTCAAATGCGCTTCTCTTCAACATTTATCATTGTTTTTTTTATTTATTTATTCCACCTTCCCAAGGAGTTATACCCTGCGTCGAAGGCTTCATTTTCGCGGTGTGATTTGTATGAAAATACCCACCCATGTTTATAACGCCTTACTCGGTTCGTAGTTTGTGCTCAATGGAGTCGCTTCCTTTGTGATTGGCTGAAAAATTTCACGCCACTTTGTAGACCAATCAACAGTAAGAACAAGCGGTGACTTACGAACGTTTCCCGCGCTTGAGCCGACTATATGTAGTTGTATTTAGATCTGATTGGTTTATTCGTTTGTCTGGGCATATCGTGATTGGCCAGGATTGGCGTGATGGCCCTCAAATGAAGACTTTTCACAATGTCTTTTTTTTGTTCTAGATCAAAACCGGAGCTCCCTGCAGATCTGAACGTTTGGCGAAGTACAACCAGCTCCTCAGGTTACTACATTTACCAATAAAAATATGTTTAAAATAATATTGCCTAATTACGGTAGGTATAGTGTTCGAGTTTCTTCAGAGATATTGTTCTGAAGATGGATATAAGCTATTGGGCAGTACTTTGCTGCGCTGCTGTTAATTTTTCTATAACATGTGCGTTAAGCGTGAGATCAGGATAGCTAGATATTGGCCAAAATATTTTTTGCGTTTTTCTGGACGAGACAAAGTTGAGGTCAATAAAAACGCTAAAAAGAACAGGAACGAGAACTGTTACTCTTAATGAAAGCAACTAAACGAAACTAGTTACTGCTTGGAAATAACGTCTATCATTCTCTTAATAGATCGGATTTTCCTTATAAATTTGTTTTAGCTAAAATCTTATTGTACTATTTTTTGTTCCACAGAATTGAGGAAGAGCTGGGTGCTAACGCTAAGTTTGCAGGGGAGAAGTTCCGACGCCCGTTGGAGTAGACAGACAAAACTACAAACTACAAACTCAGCTCCTAAAACCTATCAGTTCAACGAAGTTAACGGGCCCGACATATGGCAAGCATCTTTTGTTGCAACGGTTCTAGGTTTTATGACTTCCAGGCATCTGTTGATTTAATTCTGTAGAATGAAAGGGTGTGAATAAATCATGAATTTAAAGAAAAATATGACCCGGTGTTTTTAGGCGGTCGTAATTCTCGGGACGTTTGTGAGATGAAATATACTCCGAGGGGAGGGGGTACCCCTGGGAATTCCTGTTGGAGTTGGCCAACAAATGTCACTTTCCACACCCATTTTCAGAACTGGCCTCTAAAATCCATACCCGTTTTCAGACCTGGCCTCAGAAATACATAGCCAGAAATTATGTCGTCCTTAGTTAGATAACGCCAACAAAAAGATGTCTTAAAATCTTTCTGAATTTGCATATTACTCTCTCCTTCTTATTCGTTTGGAATTGAAACGAAAATACGTTCATACACCTCCGTAGTTCCCTCGAAAGCCATGCCCGACCAAAATGGCTAAAAGCCATACCCGTTTTCAGGCCGAAACGGTGCAAAAACGATAACCTTTGTTGCGCCACAAACCTATATGGCTTGTATAAGTGAGTACCCCACTCCCTCCCAAAGAATGCACTCTATCTAGTGTATTGAATTTCTCAGAGCAAAGGTGATGCATTAGGGATAACATTAGGGAGCTCAGTTAAGCAAACTTCAACCTGAAGTAAGGCTTTTTACTGTTTAATATTCCTTGACGCTACCACATTCGTTTTGCCAGGTGTCTTTACTCTTACAGAGACGATTTGCCCGAAACTGTTGGCAGAAGCATTGCCCATGAATGAAAAACATCCACTTCCGGTTGACATGCGCCACTTCCTTCAGACTATTGTGGCCAGGTTGCATATTCCGGAAGAAACGTCGTATGTCGGGTTGAGTTTGTTGTTGGTTCAAATGGCCCTCCTCTAGCTAACCTGCGTAGCTTGCGAAATTGTTTTTGCGCTTTTAAGATTTTTGGTGGCGTGAGTTACATTAATAACAGCTTATTGTACTGGGTCATATTCACGAGTTGTGTCAAAAACCCTCACTCGCTCGCTACTCGCTCGTTCGGGTTTTGACACAAACAACTCGTGAATATAACCTCTAACGCCGTACTTTCCATGACTAAACTATATATCCACTCCCCTTAGGGCTTTTGCGGGACTCACTGCTTTTAGCTGTGTTTGGCAAGTAATAAAGGAATGAATAATGATGCGGCCCCTTATGCGAATGTAAATTGAAGAAAAACCTCCACACCGGGGACCGTCTGCGTCCCCTACTCTTTACGAACAGTGTATCGGTTCTTTAACGTCCCACAGAATTTATTTTATAAAGATAAGAAAGGGTTGTGAGTCTGGGGCCCACGGTTTATCTTATTTATCGGAGAACACTTGAAAGCCTAACGGTCTGTTATGTCATTTCAAAGGCAGCACTAGAAAATGTCTTTCTTCTAAGTGCTGATCCGGCCGAGGTTTGAACGGTCTCCCTCCAGCTGTCCCTCGGCAGACCGGCACTAATCCAATGTTAACCTTGCGGCAGACCTGGTGGCTTAGCTTCTTAGTAAATTATTTACGTTTCATGATGAAAAATCCACATTAAACCGTCACCTTTAAGCTACTGTTGTAGTGAAAGCTGTACAGGAAAAATTTGCTAGAGTAAAAAATTCTTCATGGTTTTCCATACAAATCATTATAAATTTTGAAATTCTCGCGGCTTTACCCACGTCTTCGCAGCCGCTCATCCAAAACTTTCCCGCCTCGCGCGAACGATCCCTCCGGCCACGCGGGCTATCCTCTATCCTGAGAAAAAAGCCGGTATTTCGCGACACTTCACTGGTTTCCCTGCGAAATGACGTCTGAGAAACCATACGGATGACGTGTCATTACCCAGATCTGCATAGCTCTTCTGATTGGCTGAAGCAAATTTTCAACTAATCTGGGTATTGACGCGTCATCAGTATTATCACTTGATTCTCTCGGTTGAGATGACACCATATGGCAATGGATCGTCAGCAAATAGCCTGACTAAGGATTTTGAGTTGTCAGACAGACCGTTGACTAAGAATAGAAATAGTAGTGGCCCTAAACTGTACCTTGCGGAAACCCTGATGTCAATGGTGACGGGATGGAGAATTTGCCATCACAGAAAACAGACCTTGAGTGCGGTTCGTAAAGAATGATTCAAACCAATTACTCATGAGACTACGAACACCATAAAATCTGTAACTTACCTAAGAGACGTTTGCGAGCCACCTTATCGAAAGCTGAAAATCGAGCATGACTTTCCATCTTGAATAGTCTTTGCCACATCGTCAATCGTCAAAATCAATACTGGATGTGTTACCGTATATTGTTTTGCTCATAAGGCCATGTTGCTGTGGACAGTATGTTCGAGATCTTGAGTCGCTTTGCATGTTAGCGAGATAGGTCTATAATTCGCAGGATTTAAGTTGTCTCCGCTCTTATGCACACCGCATTCTAGATTTCGGGGGGAAGGGCGGTTTGCTTATCTATTTTATTCTGTTAAAGGATCGTAGGACTAAGTGTTTTTGGATCAGCAATGGATAAAAATAGCATCTCTAAATTTTGTGATCATAAGCTCTACTTTTCCTGGACGACACTTTCGCTTTTTTAATGACTATTTCATTCAATCTTCAGCCCACCTGATAGCCAACCTCCGCCTCCTGGCCTACATCCTATTGTTCCCATCAGGATCGAGTTATCAGTTGTTACACTTTCTACTACTAGTCCAAAAAGACTTCTTTCTTAAACTGATCAGTTCTTTGGGTATTTGTCTCCAGGAAATCGGACAAGAAATCAGAAAAGAAATCGGAAAAAAGTGGACAAAAGATCGGACATGAAATCGGACATGAAAATCGAACGAAAAATCGGACAAAAGAACGGACAAGAAATCGGACAAAAACATCGGACAACAAATCGGAGAAAAATCGGACAAAAGATCGGACATGAGATCGGGCAAGACATTGGACATGAAAATCGGCGGACAAAAAATCGGACAAAAGATCGGACAAGAAATCGGTTATGAAAATCAGGCAAGAAATCGGACAAAAAATCGGACGAAAGATTGGACATGAACAGGAGCCTATCAAATCTGACATGAAACCGGACAAAAAAAATTGGACAAGAAATCGGACAAAAAATCGGACTAAAGGTTGGACATGGTATCGGAGAAGAAATAGGACACGAAAATCGGACAGGAAATTGGACAAAAAAATGAAATCGGACGAAAAATCGGATAAGGAATCGGACATGAAATCAGACATGAAAATCGGACAAGAAATCGGACAAAAAAATCGAACGAAAGATCGGACAAGAAATCGGACATGAAATCGGACAAGATTCGGACAAGAAATTGGACACAAAATCGAACAAAAAATTGGACATGAAATCGGACAAGAACTCGAATCTGAAACCAGGGCCAGATGATGTAAGTGCTAGATTTTTAAAAGAACTTGCTGATGACATTGCAGCCCCAATCACCTGGTTATTCAACCATTCACTCTCCAATGGAATAAAATTTTCCCGATTAGTTGGAAGGCCAAGCTTATTCCTGTTCATAAGTCAGGTCCCAAGAACATTGCGTCTAACTACAGAGGTACTGCACTACTTTCAATTCTGTCTTAGGTGCTGGAGAAACGTATCTTAGAATTTGTAATCATGTTAACCCAGTCTACCCAGTCCTAAATACTCTCCAACATGGCTTCCGACCCAATAGATCTTGTGTATCACAGTCAATACAACACGTTTATTTCTTGGCTTCATCCATAGATAATGGTGGTAAAATAGACAACATATATTTGGACATGGCGAAAGCATTTGACATGGTGCCTCATAAGAAGTTACTCTCCAAACCGAGGTACTACGGTTTCCGGGATCCCTTACTAAGCTGGGTTGCAGATTATCTAACAAACAGACGCCATTGTGTAATCATTGATGGCTCTTCTTCTTGCTAGAAACCAGTTACATAGGGTTTACTCCAGGGTTTCCTGATTGGCCCTATCCTCTTTCTCATTTACATCAATAAAATCAGCTCAAGTTTATCAGAAAAAACCATACTTCCGCCTTACGTTGATGATGCAAAATAATGTAGAGTTATAAATTCCCAAGGTGACTGTCGCATCCTGCAAGAGGATTTATTTTCCGTCTCTAACTGGAGCAACCTAAAATTTCATTTTAAACAAGAAGACGCCTGAAGCCGTTTACGCGGGATGTGTTGGTGTAAGTAAGAATTATGTTGAATGGCATTGGAAAGTTGAGCAGTGTACCAACAACAAATGTGTACAGGAGGGACGGAGATGTTCTGTTCAATACACTAGAAGATGAGTTACACACAAGGATCCTTTGTTCCTCAAAACAAAACTTACATCGATATTACCACCATATATGTTAAGAGTATGGGGTAGCTCACTAGCATTTGCTTTCCGGCTTTACTAATATCCCCAACAAATGTACTTCAACATTCAATCATAGCATGTAACGTATCAGACTTCCAATAACTTCAGGACGCAAGGCTGTGCTCTAAGGAAAATTTCAAGGGAGCCCTCCCAAGCCTTTAAGCTGAGGTGCCAAGGCCTAAACGATGGTCGCCCATATAAAACTTTCGGGGAGCCTTTCGGGCTCCCAAACATTTTAGCTGGGGTGCCCAGGTCTCCAAGTTAGTCGCCGTAATTAATAAATCAGTGAACTGTTATATGACTGTTAAAAATTAATCAAATTATTTTCTCAGTAAGTCAAGCAGAACTTTGTGTTTTGATTTTTTATTTCCATGAAAAATCACATCCTTTAACCTCCTGAGCGTTAGAAAAAAACCCCGCATGTTGTCATAAAAAAGAAATGAAACCCGTCGAAGTTTTCACGCTACATGAGAAGCAAGGGCACAAAGCCAAATATTTCATGTTTTTTAAATGGAAAAGGAAACACAGGGGACACAAGGGGACACAGGGGACACAAGGGGACACAGGGGACACAGGGGACACAAGGGACACAGGGGACACAAGGGGACACAGGGGACACAAGGGGACACAAGGGACACAGGGGACACAAGGGGACACAGGGGACACAAGGGGACACAAGGGGACACAGGGGACACAGGGGACACAAGGGGACACAGGGGACACAGGGGACACAAGGGGACACAGGGGACACAGGGGACACAGGGGACACAAGGGAACACATGGGACACAGGGGACACAAGGGGACACAGGGGACACAAAGGGACACAAGGGGACACAAGGGGACACAGGGGACACAAGGGGACACAAGGGGACACAGGGGACACAAGGGGACACAAGAGACACAAGGGGACACAGGGGACACAAGGGGACACAGGGGACACAAGGGGACAGGGGACATAAGGGGACACAAGGGGCACAAGGGGACACAGGAGACAGAGGAGTCAGCAAGTAAGTTTGTGGTCTGTTTATGTAATTTTTATAAAGATGTTTGGGTCAAAAATAAGGAGACTATTCTTTTACTAATCGTTTAGGTTGAAAAGAAAATTCGCTTAAGATCCTGTGGAGCATTTTTGGAAGGCTCCTATGGGGACACAGGGGACACAAGGGGACACAAGGGGACACAGGGGACACAAGGGGACACAGGGGACACAAGGGGACACAGGGGACACAAGGGGACACAGGGGACACAAGGGGACACAGGGGACACAAGGGGACACAAGGGACACAAGGGGACACAGGGGACACAAGGGACACAGGGGACACAAGGGGACACAGGGGACACAAGGGGACACAGGGGACACAAGGGGACACAAGGGACACAAGGGGACACAGGGGACACAAGGGGACACAAGGGGACACAGGGGACACAAGGGGACAGGGGACATAAGGGGACACAAGGGGCACAAGGGGACACAGGAGACAGAGGAGTCAGCAAGTAAGATTGTGGTCTGTTTATGTAATTTTTATAAAGATGTTTGGGTCAAAAATAAGGAGACTATTCTTTTACTAATCGTTTAGGTTGAAAAGAAAATTCGCTTAAGATCCTGTGGAGCATTTTTGGAAGGCTCCTATGAATTTCAACGAAACCGTTGCCTCCGCAAAACTATTATCTCTCTTGAATAGATATTCTTGTTGGAAAGTCGTCGTTTTATATTATCGGTGAATTGTTTAGGATAAATGAGCTTTTTGTGGATTCGGTAGCCAACTAGCTCTACTTTGACCGATAAAATTAGCTTTTGCGTATCTGGTGGTATCTATTTGTAGTACGTGATACGTACTTGTCACGACACCAAAGACAATGGGGGACTTTATAGATTTACATACCTTTTTCTAAAACAATCACAAAAATACTCGTATATTTTCGTTTTTTATGCATCGTATCAGTGCTGGAATAAAAATCTTAAGTTATATTTTAGCCTCGCAGACACAGCAGTAAAAAACAGGTAAAAATATATCATTATCACAGAACTGAGGTGACGCCCGTGTTTATTCGGAGATTTTTTAAAATACGAAACTTTTGTTTTGCGTCGCCGAACGTAGTTCACCCCTGTCAGAGCAGAAGTAACAATTTCTTTTGAAAATCTAACTAATGAACCATCCTAATATTAAGAAAAAATTTCAATGCTATTTTGAAAAGCTGTCAAAATCGAAAAATGTGCAGCTTGTCACGTTCATACAAGTTGACCTCAAGAGTTTCTTAGCAAGCGGAACGTTCTTTTTAGGCCGCGAAGCGTCCGAGCGAGCTACGAAGTCGCAAGTAATAAATTCTAGCTTTTTTACTTTAACTGGGTGACCTGGACAATATTTTCAGTCACCCAAGGTCAGGCAGCCAGGCGCTTTACATGTAAGTTAGGCTACAGCCTTGACTTTGTCCTCCTGTACGCAATAGCTTACTTTTCCCTCCTTTGCTGACGCAGTATCTTTTTTCTGCTTGTGCAATCCAATCTGACTTGCACATTATTCGAAGTTGCAGCCAGTAAAAATCAAACAATTTTTCGGGACAGGTATTGGATAAGCGAAAGTTAAAAAAAACAAGGAAATTTTTGACTGCAAAGAAAAATACGAAAGGAATGCGCAACCGAATTTATGACGCTGGCTGACCATAAGTCATCCCGCGTAAAATCGCAAACATTTTCGTGTAACTAACAAGAAAGACGCTATCACTTTTAAGTACCAGCTTGGGCCTAACATGATTTCATTGTCTAAAGAAGAAAAGGATCTGGGGATATTCCTTTTCCATAATCTGGCCTGGCGTTGCCCAGTTCCGACAAATATAGCAGGATGTTATGTGCCATTTAGATTGCCATGGTGAGTAGAAAAACATTTTGGCGACTAAAATTGCAGCACCGGAAAGTTGCCAATTTCGGCGGCCGTGTGCCAAGTAGAAACTGCTTTTATTAGTTGTGTTTATGGTCTTTCTAAGGCTGAAGTGATGAATATTGGCACGGAATAGTATTAATGCTCCATTTTCTAAATAATTTGTCCCTTCTACCCTTCTTGTCCGGGCATATTTAATAAAGGGGATCTATTAAAAGCTTTAAAATGGCGCGAAAACCTTCAAATCAATAGCAATACAGTCGACTCTCGCCTTACGGACACCTCGATATTACGGACAAGAGCCAGCTCCATGGCGAAACGCACAAAGAAATGACCGAAACAAACTCCCGCTATTACAGACTCTCGCTATTTAATACGGAAATGCGGACACACTTTCCTGCCCCCAAGCGCGTCATTTCACTTGTTTTTTCTCTCGCTATAGCGGACACTTGAGTACTTCGTCAAAAATCCCGATTCACATAACATAAAGAATAAAGCGACGTTACAATAAAGGAAAAATGACACAAAACACTATCAACCGCTTCTTTGTAGAAGAGTTAACAAATTACTGTACTGTACAGCATTTTTAGAGCTTACAAACATTTTACTTTATTGTAACACTCTACTGTCAAAGTTGTTAGACAGGTTCCTGTTACCATGATGAGTACACCGTGCAGCACGTCTGTGATAAAGAGCTGCCAAAAAAAATAAAACATTTGACAGCAAGTTAACATTCATAGCCATCCACGTTATTGGATGAGTTTCCGTTTGTGTTTTTAAGCCCTTCTTATGTATCCCTTGTGATTGAAGGAGCTTGGAAGTAATAATACAGCACATTTATAATCTTTTACGGTCCATAGTTAAAAAAAGTAAAAAATTGTAGAAACTACAATGCCTGTGGGACTTACATGTACAGAGAAATGTTGTTTTTCTCTCGTACCCCGCTATTACGGACTCTCGCTATTAGGGACACTAAATCTCTCTCTCCCCCCCCCTCCACCCCCCCCCGAGGGTGTCCGTAGTAACGGCAGTCAACTGTAGTTGGTCAGTTATTTCCAACCTCGTCCCCAGGGATTTTCCCCTCCCATTTGTTTTAGGGAAAAGCCCTGGGAACGAGGTACGAGGTTAAGCCATTTCCTTTGGACTTAGTCAAACCCTCATGTAGTATCACACAGAGTGTTTTTCTTTTCTCTTTTTTGTGTGTTTGTTTTTGTCTTGGCTACCAACATTATTGTCTGTTGACCATTTCACAATTTCAGGTCCCCCATGAAAAAGCGACTTTACACAAATTGGTGTTGTTTAGGTTACATTATCTTTTCATGTCTTGGCCTCCAATATTCATGTGTGGTGACCATTTTAAATTTGAGGTGGTCTAAGGGCGACTTTACCCAGTGTTTTGTTGTTGTTCTTTGGTTATTTGTTAGCCTGCGTAGCAGGCGCCAGTTTTGAGGAAAGAAAACTAGAGGACGCGATTGGGAGGCCCACGCGTGTTCTCCTCGCGCGACCTATCAAAAAAACATAACTTGACCATTTTATAATTTCAGGTCCCTAAAAGGCGACTTCGAAAAACTTTGACTCCCGAATAAATGAGATGCACTATGTGTAGACCGCACAAGTTACATTGAAGAATTGATCTTTATTGACTCACATTTCACAATGACAATATAAAGTCGGTTTCACGACCAGAATGACACCTTTAGGCCATTGACTGCTACCAACAGTAACATACCCTACGAGTTACTCCGCTTAAGCATGACAACAGCAAAGGGTAGAGATGAACTGGTATTACAAAACAGAAAGATAAGCTTGTCCTGTCACGACTGAGGCAAAGAAAAACATGCAGTCCATGGAATTAGACCAAAACGGAAAAAAATCTTACGGACATGTTTTTTTCTGGTCTCTCTTGGAACTGGAAAAAGTTGTCACCTAACAGGTATTTGTTTAAAACAAACAAACAAAATTCGGCAAGTAAAGTGTGTAAGCAAGACCTGCACATGAGGCGACAGGAGAGCATCTTTTTTCAACCTAATGCAAGTTTCACAGCCACCCTTTCCAAAGGTTTTAATCAAGGAAAAGAAAAATTGCATCTAGCCGATGGATTCTTTTTCTTCAAGTGCTAATTCAAAACCAAGTTACTCATCAAAGCATTTTATATATTAAGGTCTCTTTATGTAATCAGCATTCATTTTTTGCCAAACCACCGCTGCTTCATCAAACAAGACATTACTAGCCACCTTGATTCCAGTATTACTCCATCACAAATCCATGTAGAACAATATGGAGAATGTGCGGATTTTGTGACAGAAGGGTTAGAAATCAAGGATGCGCAACCAGGCAGTGTTTAAGCAGAGCCCTGAAAATTACTCCACAACCTGTCAAACACTTAGGGAGATTAAAAGAAACTTTCGAGATAAACAAGGATAGGGATTTGTGTTAGTTGAGCGATTCCAGTTCCTTCGACCCACTGCTGCTGTTGTTTGCACAGTTATTTTTTTACACATAGCATCATGACAAAGTTGACACATAATATCAATATTCATATTCACAATTTCTGAAGCGACAGGAGCAGAATACACAGACCAGAAAACAAAACTTTATATTTGTGCACATTATAGTTATTGGCAGAAATACTTTATAGTAACTCTCTTATAGTTTATAGCAGTCACTTCTGCCGCAGGTAAATTATTTGAGAAAAACCAAAATGTAAATCATGTATCATTTTCCTAATTAATACCTAATAGTATAAGTATAGTCATCTATGTAGATCTGCAAGAAATTTAATTTTTTACATTGACAATTCATTACAATGCGCATCTTCTGCTCGCACAAATCTAAGTAAGGTTGTTGTTTTTGTGATACAAGGTGACTCAAACGTCCCTTGGCGAAATGTAAAGGACAGCATCACAAATACTGTCTCTTTAAGTGTAAGATCTAAAATACAATAATTCATTGACAGGCAATGGCGACACAGACAAGCAGTGTACATGTCATTCAAGGCTTGCACCATCCAATGAAAACCACAACTTATATCGCAATATATAAAATATAAACACTAAAACTTTGCTCTTAGAAGTAGGGAGGGGAGGAGGGGGGGTTCACCAAGATCAGTTCCATATCTTCAAGAAACTGTCCCAGCTTCCTGTGGAGACAGCCATTCCATCTTCAGTAACACCCAGACAACTGACGCGGTTGTCGTGTCCTGCTAATACTCCGGCTCTCTCTCCCTTCAATGTGTCCCACACATTGCAGTTGAAATCATCATAACCTGCTAACAGCAGACGGCCACTCTTGGAGAAGGCCACTGAGGTAATTCCACAGATAATATTGTCATGGGCATACACCATGAGCTCCTATTTTTGACAAAACAAAACAAAGCACAGTGGATTAGAAACAGATTCAGTGCTTCAAGATTACCAAACATCTATGTAGGAGACTGACTCATTCCAACTGACGATAAATACTGCTCAAAAGGGAGGGTGCAAAGTAGCCTGCGTCATAGACGAAACTAAACTCTGGTTACATCCATCTTTGAAATATTTGTTCTGGGCCCTCACCTGTGTACTAGGATTTGAGTACACACCATGATTGGTCTGTTAAGAAGCCACTCTCGATTTGCCAATAAAGATGGAAGAGAAATTCGAAACGTACCTCTGGTAATTTGCTCAATCCATTAGGGGGCCCAAAACAGCCAGAACAAGGATATCAGTGTTGCTTCACAGATGATACAGAATGTACTAACCAAATTAAATTACATCTGCAATGCAGCCTTGGTGCAAAGAAAGTCAGAGTCACAGTTTGCCTTTCTGACAAGCCAGTTTGATTGCAGTTCTTCTGCAATTTAAATCCCCAGCCTGATAGCAAAATCCACTTGCTCCGGGCTTTGGACACCACTTTCATTGCACGCTGATGGAAGGGAACTTAACCCTCTAAGTCCCAATAGTGCTCAAAATCAATTTTCTCCTAACGATATCCATAGACTATCATGAGCAAAGTCTATGAAAATTAACAAAATGATCACAAAGAGAAAAATATTTGATCTTTTACCAAACTCTCTCAACTAAGTCTTCAAGGAAATGTATGGAGATCAGTTTAGAGAATTTGTATGTGGATATTGGGACTTAAAGGGTTAACTAAAAGTGAAGCCTCACCTGATCGGCGCGGACGTCAAACAGCCTACATGTGGCATCATCAGATCCTGTTGCAAAAGCTGATCCATTGGGGAAGTACTAAAAACACAATAGAAAATCAGCAAGAATGCTAAAGAAAACAAGCTTCGTACACAAACATGACATCATGTACAGCTGAGACAAAAAGTGAATCTTCAAGACTCTTATGAAAAAATGTTCTGAATACTTACTGCTACTGCATTGATGTCTGATTCATGTCCAGTAAAAGTTTGCTTACAGATACCATCTTGTATACTCCACAGCTAAAGAACAGGAGAGTAATGTTAATGTATATTTCCCAGAGCTAAAAGAAAACTCCCCCAAAATTTCCTAGAAGTAGTAGCATTACCCATGGAGAGCAACACGTAACAACAGATTAACAAGAGTAAAGAGATAAACGCAAATAGATTCATCCCTTCAGTAAAAGCACATGACAACATCGGCAAGGAGTATTAACAAGTCCAAAACGGAGCAGCGTTTTTTTTCTCTTACATGTGAACTGTCATTAAGAATAAAGTTTCCGCCATAAAGCACTGTTACAATTCCTTAACTTATTACAAAGGAGGAAAATTAAGCCGCATTAAAAAAATAATAACAAGAATAAATTCCCTGGCTTGTATACAGCGCGCCAAAACTGGTAAGCTAAAACCTTACCGGGCAAAATGCTTGACAATTTCGTCCTCCCGTATGTTTTCCGGTAGGTTTCCGACCCAGAGATGGCGTGTTTCTCGCACCATTTTGTTTGAAGTTCTTCTCCCGTATTTGAATGCAGGTTTCAGAGCGGATTTTCCGCGACAATCATTGGTAAAAAGTGCATTTCGCTGTTAACTTTCGAAACTTCACCGAGGTGGGTAATTTGGCGATTCGTGCTCGCAAAGGATGGTGGGAAATAGATTAAGATTGAAATATAACAGTGATTCTGATTGGTTATTTTTTCACCCTATCAGACGATCCTTTTCTGACCAATGGGATGCGGCGTGATATTTGCAGATCTGTGTTAATTCGCTGACTTTCTTGATCTCTTCGATCTGCGAACGTTTCTCTGCGCTTTTTGGTAGTGAGATCTCGGAATCTGGAGCTTCAGTAAATCGTAAGTTCATACTACGTTACATTTGATGTATTTACACATCAAAGAGTTCTAAATTTGGGGTGAAATGCAGTCAGAAGCACCTCTACAAGACGACTGCATTTGCTCGATTTCCTAATTCGAGATCTAAGAGTAGACGTTCTCAGCTCTTTACAAGAAAACGAGTTTGACATCTCTGAAGATCGCTAAATGATTCAGACTCTGGGTTTACTTTTCAATAGGATGTTTTTTCTGCAGGATAAAGTTTGGAGAGATTTTTGTCACTAAAAACTTGCTTACACGGATAAATGTGACTCGCAGCACGCACAACTGTGCCCCTTTTCCTGGATCAAATGTAATGAATTATTATTTACTTATCAGAATTGTCTTTCATTTTTTCGTCACGAAAGATATGTGGCCCCAGGTTTCCTCTCGCTGTTAGGTTTTGTTTACTTTTTGCCGATCAAATGTTTATGAAGTTACCACACCCAATCTATACTAGGAGTTTTGAATTTGTTCTTACTAGGACCTGTTTTTGATGGAAACAGATCTCTCAGAGTAACTTTCTACACTCAATTTTTTATCAGTTCTGAAACCTTCTATTCAGAGCTCATTCACCTCTTATTTGTTTGGTTGTTTATTGCACCACATAACATTTTTGTCAGTTTTTCCTTTCTTAAAAAAGGGGAAATTACATCACCTACCTGCATATCCTGAAAGAAAGTCAGAATTAAAGTTTCAGATTCTCTTAACCTGCACAAGTGGATAAGATTGCTGAAAGTTGTAAATTTTTCCAGAACTCCCTTTCTTAGTTTGTCAGGTTCTAGAAAGGAGGTACAATGCAGATTGGGGTACATGTATGTGGAGGCTCCACTACCTGTGATATAATACCAGTTCTTGTGGTGTCATGGTGGCTTTGTTGATGGTCAAAAGAACACAAATGTTTCTCTCTGTTTCTCTTGGAATATCTACAAAAAAATGTCTACACTTGCCACAAGTCAACCTCACAAGTTTCAAAGCAAAAAAAGGTGTAAAGCAAGCTGAGAGAGCAACAAAGTTGCATTGATCAAGTCCAAAAAGTCCATCCTACAGGCCAGATTAAATCTGTCCTTAGGTTAAACCAGAATTTCCTTTTTTTTTCTCGTATGAATAATGTTATTAGGGCTAGATAACGAAGGAAATTCTGAATCCAACTAGGTGAAATACTGAGTTAACTTGTAATTGACTTTACCTACATTATTTCAACTTGTCCAGGGAACTGGCCTTTGGTAATGAAAGCCTAAGGGCGAGGGTGCAAAATTTCTCTGTGTTTAAGGCTGTTTTTAGGTCTCTGGTGCCTGGTGTATGAAGTTAAATAAATAAACCATTGTTCCACCCCTGAAAATAATTACTCTGTACATGCAGGATGTTTTGCTGGGGATACAAGTGTTTGTTGTGCTGAATGGAATGAATTTCCTAAAGTCATCCCAGTCCCTGGCCAGGCGAATAACTTTTTCCTCTTGCCAGTTCAGGCATTATTTCTCCACCTCCCCTGTCATTGCACAAGGTGATTTTTCAACTCCCATTATTTGGAGACCGTTCCCCATAAACCTGATTAATGTAGATCACCACGTACCCACTGCGGTATCTATTGTATAAGCCACACACCTTTCAGCTTAGATTGACTTAAATGTTATCTGTTGTTGTAATTTCCTTATTTTGGAGTCATTGATTATTAACAAACATATTCGGGGAATCCTCTGTTTTCTGACATTTCTGTTGCATGTTGTTTTTGTTTTTGAATTTTTCATTGAGTTTAAGTCTAAACTAAATTGTTTAAATAATGTTTCTCCCTTTCAAAACTAGAAAAAGTATATAAAATAGTTTGGAAATTTACAGGGTATCAAGTGTGTCTTACAACTACTGTATCTTACAAAATCTTATTAATATTATCACCATTGAACTATAAAATGTACTGGTATTTGGCCACCTCCTTTCAGGGTTTTCACGAAGCATTCTAGTGGCAGGAGAAAGGTGTAACTTTACAGGAGAGTATTATGAAAGAGGCTCCATGTCTAAATAGAAAATAGTCATAGGCTTTCGCATGTTTGCCAGAGAATTCTGTGTAGTAAACAGAGAATGTCTTTTATTATGCAAAAATGAAAATCAGAACCTCTTTCCTGTGTATTTCAAGGTTCTTCTGGGCTTAAGAAGGTTGTAATTTTCTGGGGTATATGTTACAGGTCAAAATTATATTCAGATTAAAATTTTTTGACCTGAGTTGATTCTCAATTTTCTTTGTCTCTAGCCCTATATTCATGAATAATTAGGGCTAGGAAACAATGAAAACTGAGAATCAACCTAGGTTAAAAAATTGTAACCTAAATTAATTTTGACCTCTAACATATGTATGCATTTAAACTTTTATTTTTTTTTTCTAAATAATTTTTTGTTAATTTTCTTAGCAAATATGTCTGGTGTCAGCAAGATCCAAGCTCGTGAAATATTTGACAGTCGTGGAAATCCTACAGTGGAAGTTGATATCACAACTTCTAAGGGTGAGTAAGACGTTGCTCAAACCCCTGGAAGGGGGGCGGGTAATCTCTTGTGTGGCTGTAATGAGTGTGTTGCTGAACAGGTTATTGGTTTGGGAGAATCCTAAGTCTTAAATGAGGTATGCAATTCAAAGGTGGACAGACGGCAAATTATTGTTGCTTGAAATATCTTTAAGAGGTTGTCTTTCTGACCAGATGTTTTGAGCTGGTTGTGAAGGTTTTTCAGCAGTGCATGGTCTACATGCATGGTAACAGTCCAATAAGGCACCTGCCCTCTATCCAGGGAGGTAGCTGGTTAGTAACAAAATTGTCTTTATTGTCTGAACCAAAGGTGATTTTTTCTCTACAGTTGCCAGTCAGGGGCGGATCTAGGGGGAGGTGCAGGGGGTGCGCACCCCCCCATGAGATGACCTGCGGTTTTCTAATACAACTGGTTTTCTGCAAAAAAAAAAACTATGTGGTTTATTGGTGTTGAAGTAGCGCAAGAGATGAGTGCACCCCCTCCTAAAAAAAATCCTGGATCCGCCCCTGCCATTGAGTAGGGTTTTGACTGTATGTCATTGATTTTCAGGCCTATATCGTGCCGTAGTTCCTTCTGGTGCATCCACTGGGATTTATGAAGCTTTGGAGCTCCGCGACAAGGATCCAAAACGGTTTCTTGGCAAAGGTGATATTCCATACAGTTTTTAATTATTAAACTCATCAACAAAGATTAGCATGCGTGGGGGACTGGGGGCTGCTTGAGAGGCTGTTTCGGCCAAGAAATACAGCCTAGTGCAGCATAACCATGACATCCGTGTAAGGTGGTTCTGACTTTTGAGTCTGCGGTGGAAATCCCATAGTGTGACCATTCAAATAAAAGCTAGTGAGCAGTAATTTCCTTTGATGCTGTTTATTATGTTGTACAAAGTGTTTCTAACTTTTAAGTCGTGGATGAAATCCTATTGAATGACCATTCAAATGAAAGCCACTGAGTAGTACTTTCTGGTGGTACTGTTTATTTTGCGGTAGAAGGTAATTCTAACTTTTTGTCCTCTAGATGTGTGAGCACTGTAGGTAAGTACTCTAATCATTTAAAACAAAAATTACTAAGAAGAATTCACTTCTGGTGTCAGCTGTTTACAATGCTGGGAAGCAAAAGCTGTTCTGTGGATCAAACACTAATATTCAAAACCATTTCTTACTTGTTGTTTGCAAATTATAATAAAACATTTATTTCAATTAATAATGAAATTTATTATTGTTGCATTGAAGGTGTCTTGAAAGCAGTTGAGAATGTCAATAAAGTTATTGGACCTGCCTTGATTGAGAAGGTGCAAGTAAACCATGTTCATATTGTACTGTTATAATCAAATAATTATTAATGTGTGGGGAATAGAACTACTTGAACTCATGTTGTCAGGCATGCATGTAATGTAATCCTATCTGGAGAATTTTTTCTTGAGGCCTTCTGCAGAGAGTGGTATACAATGTAATAAATTGAATTGAATTTGAACCAAAAGTTTAATTAAACTTAGTATTTGCCTGTAATTTTGATTGAAAAACGTGACAATTTCCCCATAAAGTTTAAGGCTTGAGATGACAAACATTATTGATACATTTGTGTCATTTCAGAATATTGATGTAACTAAACAAGCTGAGGTTGACAAAATCATGTTGGAACTTGATGGGACTGAGAATAAATGTTAGTTAACGCCTTGAATCTTCTCTACAAAGTACACTATCTACCATTAATTTTGGAGTACTAGTATGTTACGGCACTTTTCAAAAACATGCGCATTCTTAAGTTCAAAAGCCAACTGACATTTGCATTTTGCAATGCCATCAATCATCCTAGCAGACCTCTTAGGACGAAACAGAAGTTTAAAAAGTCATGGCTTTTGATTTGTGATTGATGGGTTTAGATCCGTTTTGTGTGTTTCTGTGTTTCAAGGTTCCTTGCTTGTGATCGTAATTATGATGGATGACAGCGAAAAATGCAATATTACTGTGAAGGTGGCTTTTGAACTTCAGAGTTTGCATTTTTGAAAAGCGCAGTAGGATCTACTAAGTAAGTAGTCTCCCTAGCAGCTGTTTTTAGTGTCTTCACGCAATGCTCCTCCGTGACGACACTAAACGTGGCTGTGAGGGAGACTAATAAGTTAGCTGTAAGATATGAATGAGCAGTCTCTCGTCATTGCCTAATAGCACAAATTGTAGCTATAATGGCTACCGTGGAACAAACCTCTGTTAGTACTGTTAGATTTTTTACAATGTTAGATCTTGGATGATTAATGTAAAAATAATAATTGAGTTCATGTTGGTGCCAACTACTTGAATGTGAAGTTTGGTTTAAATCCCCATGGTACACTGTACATTTTGTGATTTGTTCGACTGTATGATGAGTGAAAAATAAAAACATCTGAAATGCCATCTACAGCTCTATTTATCACAAGCCTGTCATAAGTAGCCATCAGTTGGCTCTTTTATCGGGCTGCTGCAGTAAAATCAGCCGGCTGTGAAAAGGAGTCAAACATAACAATTACAGGAAGATTTGTGTTATAAATGACTGGCAACTTTCCCTGAGAGACCAGCTACTTGAAACCTTAATGATAGCCCTGTATTATTAATAATAATAATAATAATAATAATAATATTTTTTTTAAAAATAAATAATACAAAAATAACTTTATTCATAGATTAAAAAAAAATAGACTTTTTACAGATTCAAGAATATGAATATTAAAATATATACCCTATGTACATTCTTCTTTTGTACGAAAGAGAATTGTCGTAAAATGACTATCCAAAAAACTACTAATAACAATTATAAAAAGCATCAAAAAGTTAATACAAAAATAAAACTATCTAAAAATAATTCAAACTGATATAAATAATGATGATGATGACAATAATAAATTATTCATAATAAAAGACATCGTAATAAAAGACATTGACTATAACTGATTTGATAGGAAATGTACGTTTACGCTTAGTCATTATTTTGTTCTCTGTGTTCTAGCTAAACTTGGTGCCAATGCAATCCTTGGTGTCTCCCTTGCTGTTTGCAAAGCAGGAGCTGCTCATAAGGTGAAAATAACTTAACTGATCATTTCTGCATATGCCAACAACTCTGAAAACCAGGGGCTCCATTAGGGTACTACTGATGGCCGGGTGATGTTGACCTTTTATTGGGAATTGCGAACAAATAATTAGCATAGTGTCTTGTAAAATTTGAGGGAAAGTGAAGAAAGTCAATCAGAATAAAATTATAATGTGTGGCATTTGAATAATGCATTTTCACCCTTTTAAATTTTTGTATTATTATTATTGTAATTATTATAAATTGTTGATAATTAGGTTTTATTAATTAGTTTCAAAGACAAAGGAAATTGATGATGTAATTTATAATCCTATTTTTTAAGGCAAAACCCACCAAGCATGAACAGTTCCTATCTCCATTTTCCAAATACCTCTGTAAAGTGGAGACTTGTCTCTGTGTGCACATCGGTGTCTGTACTAAGGAGGTTTACTAATTATTTTTTCAGGGAGTTCCGCTTTACAGACACATTGCAGACCTGGCTGGGAACAAGGAAGTCATCCTTCCTGTTCCGGCATTTAATGTCATCAATGGTGGAAGTCACGCAGGAAATAAACTTGCCATGCAGGAATTTATGCTGCTCCCAACTGGTAAGTGTTGCCAAATTTTTTTAACTGGTTCAAAGTAGTGTTTATTATAATCCACTGTATTGATGGAAGCATACAACAACAACTTAAGACAAAGCTGTGAATGGGTTGTTCCAGAAAAAATCCACACACCCCCGACGGATGGGATTCTGGAAATTCTCGCGGGAGGGGGGGTCGAAGACTCCGGAAATCCAGGCGGGAGGAGGGGTTGACCTTAAAAAAGTCTTCTGCAGGGGTCATTTCGACCGATAGTTGATACAAATCAAACGTTTAGTTCGATGACACTTAAGCGCTTTCAGACCCTGAAAATAGTCAAAATGTTTTCTTCATATATTTCTCACCTGACATAAATGATAATCTAAGTTGCTTTACAGGTCCTTTTATAGCAGAAAACGCAAACAAGATACTAAAGAACGGGCCTGAAGGAACTCGTCGCAACGTTGTTGTCACGAAGAGCGCCAAACGCCTGACACATTTCTACTGCATCCAGAGCCCCAGCCAAGAGCTTAAGAGTGATTTTTATAAGCTAAGAAATTATGTAAACACTGTTCAGGTGTCGTTCGCATTTTTGTTTTTTGCTCCTTTCGTTTTTTAGTTACACGCGATAGAATTCTTAGTTTAATATAAGCTGAAGCTTTAGAAATTAAAACAAAAACATTTAGACGTGTTTTGCGTGTATTTTCATTAAAAATAAATTAAATTTAAGCCTTTTATTTTTTCCCGGAACCAGGCGGGGGGGGGGTCTTCCACCTTGGAAATCCAGTTGGGAGGGGGGGTCTTGTGCTTCAGGAAATCCAGGTGAGAGGGGGGGTTAAAAAAGGACCCCATCCGTCAGGGGGGTGTGGATTTTTTCTGGAATAACCCAATGAGTTGACCAAGTATGTTTTTCATCTTTATTAAAAAGGTGCAAGTAGTTTCAGCGAGGCAATGAGGATGGGTGCAGAAATCTATCAGAACCTCAAGAGCGTAGTGAAGAAGAAATATGGAATTGATGGTATTTTTTATAAACTTATCTTGCTGTTATTCAGTTTCATCACTTTTCCTAAGAAAAGGGACTCCAGTACATGTGTATGAGGAACATTATGATCAAATGTGCTGGTTGCCAGCATAAAAAGGAATTTCTAAGTTTTAAAAGCAAGTTCACTTATCCATTAATTTTTGTTATAACTACTCCTGTACAAAGAGGAACAACCTGAAATAATGTCAATTTATGATTTATAGGTGTTTGTGTTGACTGTGATGTAACAGTTAAAGTCTTTGATCTCTGTTTTTTTTTTCACTTTTTTCAGCTACCAATGTTGGTGATGAGGGAGGTTTTGCCCCCAACATCCAGGACAACAGGGAAGGTTAGGCTATAACATACTTCATAGTCTTAGATATCCCAAATTAGAAACAATCTTGTTATCTGACATTTTTATGTCCTCTTCAAACATGGATTTCAAACACGGATCATTATTATTTGGAAACTAATCATGCATATTTACCCTGCTGAATTTCTATAAATTTACCTTTACAACTTTATGAGCTTGAGTTTTCCTTGAATTTACAAAACAATGCTGAAAACTGCACTTACAACTGGAAAGTGAATTAAAACGAAAAGGTTAGGTCACAGTACAGTACAGTGGAACCTTGATATGAGAAAGTGCCAAGAGACTGCAAAATTTGTTTGCTGTAACAAGGTTTCATTATATCGAGGTTGTTTTTCATGTTTTATATGTTCCCTTGCTGGGGTGAAGAAATTTTTCGTTATACCAAGGACTTGAAACTTGAAAGAACTTCGTTATATGGAGGTTCCACTTTAGTACCACATGGGAAAAAATATTATTAATACTTTTGTATGGCATGTAAATTAACTTTGCAGGACTGGAGTTATTGAAGATTGCTATTGCAAATGCAGGCTATACCGATAAGATTAAAATTGGCATGGATGTTGCTGCCTCTGGTATGACTTTAGCTTGTTTTGATGATTTGCTTCCTATTAATAATTATTTTAATATGGCTAAAATGCAAATTCTCAAGAATCATGTTAGATATATATACTAATGTCAATCTTTGAATAAGTTTCTTTTTTATTTTGTTGATGTTGCTCAGTACTTTTAGCTTTTCTTGCTACCCTACAATTTGTGTGAAAATGAAGTTCATGTATGTATGTATATGTTTTCTATATGTTTTTGGTAAATATAATTGGGGAAATGTTGTTTCAATTTTGTTTAATAGAATTCTACAAAGAAGGAAAGTATGATCTGGACTTCAAGAATCCAAACTCAGATCCTTCAAAATGGGTAAGAACTTCCTCAAAATTTATTTTGCTTGAAACAGGGTCAGAATTAGCCAAATCTGGCTTGTGCTGCATGTTAAATACATCATTGACTCCAAAGAATTTCTTTAGAAGTAACTTTGACTTCACCTTGGAATCCAGACATTAATCCTGGAAATCTGTGTACAATCATATCAAAACATAAGTTGGCTGTTTACTGTAGCTAAGATTCATTTAAAATCTTCTGACCTGTATTTTCTAAGCGTTAAAACATGTAACTAAGGAAAGGCATGCTGATACTTTCCGTATTTCCAGATTTCTGGTGTTCAGTTGGCTGCAATGTATGAAGGATTCATCGCTGATTATCCAGGTAAGGCTTGTGTTCTTTTAACTTAAAGAAAGATATTATTTTCATTCACTCTTAGCATGGAGAAGGTCGCTGATGGCAAAAGCACTTTAGGAACAGCAGTGTTCTTCTTGTGTCTCTGCAGAATTTGCAAGTAACTTCTGGTCTGAACTTCTGATACCCAAACATGTTCACATAAGTAGAAAGACAAAAAACAATAATAATATGGATACTGGTATATGTGTTTGGTTTTACCAGGAAGTATTCACCGGTACCGAAATTAATTTACACTCAGCAAATCAATATACAGTGAATTGCTATCTTCATTCAAAAAAAAAATACAGCAAAATAACCCAAGCATTTGCAAGGAGTGTAACTGAAATGGAGTCAACCCTGTCCAAAAGACACCATTTAAGATAGACAGTGGATGGTGGAGGCTGGTCCCTGAGGGTGTCTGTTTTGGAGAGAGATGACTGTAGCAGGTAAAATAAATTTCCTTTCTTTGATTTCTTTTCAGTGGTGTCCATTGAAGATGCTTTTGACCAAGATGACTGGGAAAATTGGACAGCCCTGACACAGAAGGTGTCCATCCAGATTGTTGGGTAAGGGCTTTCTGCCTTGCAACACCCTCTCCTCCTCCCCCTCCACCACCCTCTCCCCTACCCTACCCCCTTGAGTATGCAAAAAGGATGATTTGTTAAAACCCTGTAAGGAACCATCCCTTTTGAATGGCTTTCTCTGTAAACCAAATTGCATACACAAGGGTTGGGAGGGAGGGGAGAGAAAGAGATACATGGGGGGGGGGGGACGGGGTGCTAAATTTTTCAGAGCATGAGATTGTCAAGGTCAAATTAACATTGCTATAAAGTCCTGAGTCAGGCATTAATTAGGATTTTTTTAGTTTGTTTTAGGCACCCTTTATTTACAGGGTAGAGATAACTGTTACAATGCATCTTTTGTGTAGGGAATATTTAGTTAAAAATAGGTCGTAATTAACAGTATCCGTTGGTATGCTAAATTGGCCCTTCTTCAACCAAAATACTTGTCATGGACATGAAACTTAGTTTTGTCTTTCTTTCCTTCTTCTTTTCAGAGATGACCTCACTGTTACAAACCCAAAACAGTGAGTTTAAGTCAAGTAACTATAAAATGAAAATCCATTCGTATGGTACAATAATGATACAAGGGAAGTTGACGTATTTTGAGGCAGGTTTCGTGATGTTCTTTACAACAATAAATTGTGCCATGTTTGAGTTTTTATCTGTTGCAATAATATATCCAAGAATATTTTCCTTTTTCTTCGTAGCATCAAAATGGCCGTTGAGAAAAAAGCCTGCAACTGTCTTTTGCTGAAAGTGAATCAGATTGGCTCAGTTACAGAATCCATTGAAGCGTAAGTGTGAGATATAAGTAATTAATTAACAATTATTGAATAATTATAATAATTATTATTCCTCGAGCCCAAATGGCCTCATGGGCTATTGACTCAGAGACCATGAGGGCGAGAGGAATAATTATTGTTTTAGTAAAATCCAACTAGTTGGTCAAAAATATCAAGAATAAAAAAATTTTAGCTAGTTAAAGCTAGACTTTAATCCTCTTTTGCCGCCAAAAAGCGCATGCTTTTCGCTACTAATAGGCTATAACATGTAGCCTAGTAGTAGCTCAACCAATCAGAACGCAGCATTGATAATAGACCACTATGTGGATTTTACTAAAAGTGATTAATTCTCAATAGACTATCGGTATCCTTGTTTTGTACTTATTACATTTAAGGTGCAAGAGTATCGCACACTTATGTAGCGACATAAGCAGCAGATACAACAGTGATGCAATTATAATATGAACACAGTGATGTAATAAGATTAAGAGGTGAATGACATGTTGTAAAAGAAAGTTTTTTTTTCCCTAAAAGTCAATGTCAATTTAAGAACTTTAATTTACACTGTTTTTAAGTTCTGTTTTCATTTATGTTTACAGTTGTTGCATGTGTCTAGCCTTAATTTCATGCAATTTAAACTGAAATGGCAGCAAGCCATCTTGGGACTTGTGGAAATTCTGAATATAACTTATTTGAGGTACCTTGGGTCTTGGTTTAGGAAGCAAGAATTGGTGCGCGAGAACTTCGAAACTATGTATCTTTCTTGTGGCTTAACTAAAAACACTTGCTTCTGTAAGAAAGTTTTCGAAAGGAATCATGCCCTTGATGGGAACCAAGAGGGAAAAACACACTGAGCGATTCGACAATTACCACAGTTAGGGTCAGTTGACCATAGTGTGAGTGTGTAGCTGTTATCAGTACTTATTTTAAACCGTTTGAATTAGTGCGTTTATGTATTCTGCTCACACGCTCACACGCAACCACCTTAACCGGCGTACGAAAATTGAGACGCCTAGCTGTTCAAAGGTCGTTTTAAACAGAGTTAGAATATTGAACGGTTAGGTGTCAGAATTTGTCCTGTGTTGTAGACAAAAGTGTGTAAATGCGATATGCCTCGCGGGCAAATTGGGACACCTGTGTCAGACAGAAAATAAAGTATCTTTCCCCAAAACAACCTTGTATCTTTACAGCTGTTAATGTTTGTTTGTTTGTTTGTGTTATCAGATGTAAACTGGCGCAGAGCAATGGCTGGGGTGTGATGGTTAGTCACCGTAGTGGAGAAACAGAAGATACTACCATTGCTGATTTGGTAGTAGGACTGTGTGCTGGTCAGGTACGATAAGATTTTGAAATTTTTCTTCAACAGAACCAATGCTTAAGAAATATTAGTTTCGTGCTACCTGTAAATGCTTCAAATGCGCTTCTCTTCAACATTTATCATTGTTTTTTTATTTATTTATTCCACCTTGCCAGGGAGTTATACCCTGCGTCGAAGGCTTCATTTTCGCGGTGTGATTTGTATGAAAATACCCACCCATGTTTATAACGCCTTACTCGGTTCATTGTTTGTGCTCAATGGAGTCGCTTCCTTTGTGATTGGCTGAAAAATTTAACGCCACTTTGTAGACCAATCAGCTGTAAGAACAAGCGGTGACTTACGTGTAGTACGTTTCCCGCGCTTGAGCCGACTTTATGTAGCCTGCGTGCAGACGATAACTAAACTCTGATTAGTACCGTCTGCGAAGCAGCGCAGAGATCCTTGTTCTGGACCCCCAACGGACTCAACGGATTACCGGAAGTGCGTTTCGAATTCCCCTTCAACCTGATTGGCGATCACGACAAACAAAACTAAGGCCTTTTTTAACTGGCCAATCGTGGCGCGTACTCAAATCTGGGTACACAGCTGGAAGTCCAGAACAAGGATTTCGGCGCTGTTTCGCAGACGGAGTTAACCAGAGTTTAATTTCGTCTGCGCGCAGGCTAACTTTATGTAGTTGTATTTAGATCTGATTGGTTTATTCGTTTGTCTGGGCATATCGTGATTGGCCAGGATTGGCGTGATGTCACTCAAATGAAGAGTTTTCGCAATGTTTCTTTTGTTCTAGATCAAAACCGGAGCTCCCTGCAGATCTGAACGTTTGGCGAAATACAACCAGCTCCTCAGGTGACTACTTTTTACCAATAAAAATATGTTTAAAATAATATTGCCTAATTACGGTAGGTATAGTGTTCGAGTTTCTTCAGAGATATTGTTCTGAAGATGGATGTAAGCTATTGGGCAGTACTTTCCTGCGCTGCTGTTAATTTTTCTATAACATGTGCGTTAAGCGTGAGATCAGGATAGCTGGATATTGGCCAAAATATTTGTAGCGTTTTTCTGGACGAGACAAAGTTGAGGTCAATAAAAACACAAAAAAGAACAGGAAAGAGAAGTGTTACTCTTATTGAAAGCAACAAAACTGTACTTGTTACTGTTTGGAAGTAACGTCTATTTTGTATTCTCTTAATAAATCGGATTTTCAGCTAAAATCTTATTGTACTATTTTTTGTTCCACAGAATTGAGGAAGAGCTGGGTGCTAACGCTAAGTTTGCAGGGGAGAAGTTCCGACGCCCGTTGGAGTAAACAGACAGAACTCCAAACTACAAACTCAGTCCCTAAAACCTAACAGTTCAACGAAGTTAACGGGCCCGACATATGGCAAGCATCTTTTGTTGCAACGGTTCTAGGTTTTATCTCCTCCAGGCATCTGTTGATTTAATTCTGTAGAATGAAAGGGTGTGAATAAATCATAAATTTAAAGAAAAATATGACCTGATGCTTTTAGGCTGTCGTAATTCTCTGGAAGTTTGTGAGATGAAGTATACTCCGGGGGGAGGGGTACCCCTGGGAATTCTTGTTGGAGTGCGCCGCCCGGTTCTCCAAATCCTGCCCCTATTTAATTTCAGACCGAAAAGTGTCACTTTCCACACCCATTTTCTGAACTGGCCTCGAAAATACTTAACCAGAAACTATGTCGTCCTTACTTAGATTATAACGTCAACACCAAGATGTCTTAAAATCTTTCTGAATTCGCATATCACTTTCTTTCTTATTCGTTTGGAATTGAAACGAAAATACGTTCATACACTTTCTTTTCTGCTGGCTTTGATTCCGGCAAACCCAGACGTTATCAAAACGTTTTTCAGCTTGATTTACACAAACGTCACGATTCCTTATTTTTTATATGCTTAAGAAAAACAGTTCGCAACGTATTTTGAATTAATTGGCTCAAAGTACAATTATGCGCAATTTCATTGTTTAGATCTCGACTTGTGATTGGCTAATTTCAAAATTGTTGTCTCAAATTTTGTTTGGAAAGCCTCGGTTCGTTTGGTCGACGCACTGTAATTTGCCTCGACGCTACCACTTTCAGTTGCCAAGTGTTTTTATATACAGACAATTTGCCCGAAAATTTTGGCATAAACATGGCCCAATAATGAAAAAAGTCCACTTCCTGTTGAAGTGCGTCGCTAAAAAAAGTCGATGTTTAAACATCCGCAATTTCCTTCAGACTATTATGGCCAGGTTACATACTACGGAGGAAAGGTTGTATATGGGTTGAGTTTGTCGTTGGTTCAAATTGTCCTAGCTAGCTAGCGTGTTTTGTCGCCCCAATCTTTTTGCGTTTTTGAGAGCCAGCGGCGATTTCACCATTCTCCAGCCAAAACCGCCATGCTACTCAGGCTAGAGGAAAGACCGTATGTGGGTTGAGTTTGTCGTTGGTTCAAATGACCTTCCTCTAGCTAGCCTGCGTATCCTGGAAAACATCCGGCATTTCGCGACACTTCACTGGATTTTGCGAAATGACGTCTGAGAACCATTCTGATGACGTTTTCCCCAGATCTGCGCAGCTCCTGATTCTTCCAAAATTTTCCGCTAATCGCGAACGAGTTGTTCCGGGGTTAAAATAACGCAGGGTTATCCGAGATTTGAATCAGATTTGAGAAAACAGCCGACATTTCGCGACTTTTTGACAAGTTGGATTGGAAGCTCTAAAAATAGCACAGAAAATTATCCGGATGACGTGTCATTAAACAGAATAAAATAAACACTGATTGGCTGAAGCAAATTTTCAACTGGGCCCAGGGTTATTGACACGTCATCGGTATTATCGCTTGATTCTCTCGGTTGAGATGACACCACACGGCAATGGATCGTCATCAAATAGCCTGACTAAGGATTTTAAGTTGTCAGACAGATCGTTGACTTGAAGGAGAAATAGTAGTGGCCCTAAACTGTACCTTGCGGAAACCCTGATGTCAATAGTGAAGGGATGGAGAATTTGTCATCACAGAGAACAGACATTGAGTGTGGTTCGTAAATAATGATTCAAACCAATTACTCACGAGACTACGAACACCATAAAATCTGTAACTTACCTAAGAGACGTTTGCGAGCGACCTTATCGAAAGCTGAAAATCGAGCATGACTTTCCATCTTGAATAGTCTTTGCCTCATCGTCAATCATCAAAATCAATACTGGATGTGTTACCGTATATTGTTTTGCTTATAAGGCCATGTTGCACTTCGGTTTTGTTGCAAATGTTTTATCGCGTTGCTGTGGACAGTATGTTCGAGATCTTGAGTCGCTTTGCATATTAGCGAGATAGGTCTATAATTCGCAGGATTTAAGTTGTCTCCGCTCTTATGCACACCGCATTCTTGATTTCGGGAGGAAGGGCGGTTTGCTTATCCATTTTATTTTCTTGAAGGATCGTAGGTCTATGTGTTTTTGGATCAGCAATGGATAAAAATAGCGTCGTCTTGTGATCATGAGCTACTTTTCCTGAACGACACTCTTGCTAAAGCCAACCTTTTCAATGACTATTTCATTCCATCTTCAGCCCACCTAATAGCGAACCTCCGCCTCCTGCCCTACATCCTATTGTTCCCATCTTGAACGAGTTATCAGTTGTTTCACTTTCTACTACTAGTCCAAAAAGACTTCTTTCTTAAACTGATCAGTTCTTTGGGTATTTGTCTTTAGGAAATCGGACAAGAAATCAGACAAGAAATCGGAAAAAAAGCGCACAAAAGTTCGGACATGAAATCGGACATGAAAATCGAACGAAAGATCGGACAAGAAAGCAAAAACAATGGACAAAAAAATCGGACAAAAATCGGACAAAAGATCGGACATGAAAATCGGACAAAAATTTCGGACAAGAAATCGGACATGAGATCGGACAAAAGATCCGGACAAGACATTGGACAGGAAAATCGGCGGACAAAAAATCGGACAAGAAATCGGACATGAGATCGGACAAAAGATCCGGACAAGACATTGGACATAAAAATCGGACAAGAAATCGGAGAAGAATTCCGACATGAAAATCGGACAGGAAATCGGACCAAAAATCGGACGAAAGATCGGATAAGAAATCGGACATGAAATCAGACATGAAAATTGGACAAGAAATCGGACAAAAAAATTGGACAAAAGATCGGACAAGAAATCGGACATGAAATCGGACGAGAAATCGGACAGGAAATCGGACACAAAATCGAACAAAAAACTGGACATGAAATCGGACAAGAAATCGGACAAGAACTCGAATCTGAAACCAGGGCCAGATGATGTAACTGCTAGAGTTTTAAAAGAACTTGCTGATGACATTGCAGCCCTACTCACCTGGTTATTCAACCAATCACTCTTCAATGGAATAAAATTTTCCCGATTAGCTGGAAGGCCAAGCTTATTCCGGTTCATAAGTCAGGTCCCAAGAACATTGCGTCTAACTACAGAAGCATTGCACTACTTTCAATTCTGTCTTAGGTGCTGGAGAAATGTGTCTTAGAATTTGTAATCATGTTAACCCAGTCTACCCACTCCTAAATCCTCTCCAACAAGGCTTCCGACCCAATAGATCTTGTGTATCTCGGTTAATACAACACGTTAATTTCTTGGCTTTATCGCGGGATAATGGTGGTAAAATATACATGATATATTTGGACATGGCGAAAGCATTTGACAGAGTGCCTCATCAGAAGCTACTCTTCAAACTGAGGTACTACGGTTTCCGGGATCCCCTACTAACCTGGGTTGCAGATTATCTAACAAACAGACGCCATTGTGTTGCTGGAAACCAGTTACATCGGGTGTCCTACAGGGTGTCCTGATTGGCCCTATTCTCTTTCTCATTTACATCAATAAAATCAGCTCAAGTTTACCACAAGGACCCATACTTCCGCCTTACGCTGATGATGCAAAATAATGTAGAGTTATAAATTCCCAAGGTGACTGTCGTAGCCTGCAAGAAGATTTATTTTCCGTCTTTAACTGGAGCAACGTGGAATTTCATTTTACACAAGAAGACGCCTGAAGGCGTTTACGCGGGATGTGTTGGCGTAAGTAATAATTATGTAGAATGGCACTGGAAAGTTGAGTAGTGTATACAACAAATGTGTGCAGGAGAGACGGAGATGTTCTGTTCAATACACTAGAAGATGAGTTACACACAAGGGTCCTTTGCTCCTCAAAACAAACTTACATCGATATTACTACCATATATGTTAACATTTGCTTTCCGGCTTTACTAATATCCCCAATAAATGTACTTCAACATACAATCACAGCATGTAACGTATCAGACTTCCAATAACTTCAGGACGCAAAGCTGTGCTCTAAGGAAAATTTCAAGGGAGCCCTCCTAAGCATTTAAGCTGAGGTGCCAAGGGCTAAAGGATGGTCGCCCATATAAAACTTTCGGGGAGCCTTTCGGGCTCCCAAACATTTTAGCTGGGAAGCCCAGGTCTCCAAGTTAGTCGGCGAAATTAATAAATCAGTGAACTGTTAGTTGACTGTTAAAAATTAATCAAATTATTTTCTCAGCAAGTCAAGCAGAACTTTGTGTTTTGATTTTTTATTTTCATGAAAAATCACATCCTTTAACCTCCTGAGCGTTAGAAAAAAGCCGTCATGTTGTCATAAAAAAAAATGAAACCCATCGAAGTTTTTACGCCACATAAGAAGCAAGGGCAACGAAGCCAAATATTTCAAGTTTTTTAAATGGAAAAGGAAACACAGGGGACACAAGGGACACAGAATATACAAGGGGACACAAGGGACACAAGAGGACACATGAGACACAAGGGGACACAGAGGACAAAAGGGGACACAAGGGGACACAGGGGACAAAAGGGGACACAAGGAGACACAAGGGGAAACAGGGAAAATAAGGGATTCAAGGGGACACAGGGGGAAAGGGGACACAGGGGGACACAGGGGACACAAGGGGACACAGGGTACACAAGGGGACACAGAGGACACAAGGGGACACAAGGGGACACAATTGACACAAAGGGACACAAGGGACACAAGGGGACACAGGGGACACAGGAGACACAGGGGACACATGGGGACAGGGGACACAAGAGGGAACAAGGGGACCCAAGGGGACACAGGGGAAACAAGGGACACAAGGGGACAGGGGACATAAGGGGACACAAGGGGCACAAGCCGGGACACATGGCACACAAGGGACACAAGGGACACAAGGGACACAGGAGACAGAGGAGTCAGCAAGTAAGATTGTGGTCTGTTTATCTAATTTTTATAAAGATGTTTGGGTCAAAAATAAGGAGACTATTTTTTTACTAATCGTTTAGGTTGAAAAGAAAATTCGTGGAGCTTTTCTGGAAAGCTCGTGTGAATTTCAACGAAACCGTTGCCGCCGCAAAACTATTCCCTCTCTTGAATAGATATTCTTGTTGGAAAGTCGTCGTTTTATATTATCGGTGAAATGTTTAGGACAAATGAGCTTTTTGTGGATTCGGTAGCCAAGTAGCTCTACTTTGACCGATAAATTTAGCTTTTGCGTATTTATTTGTAGTACGTGATACGTAATGACTCGTCACGACACCAAAGAATAGATTTACATACCTTTTTCTAGAACAATCACAAAAAATACTCGTATGTTTTCGTTTTTTATGCATCATATTCTACTGGAATAAAAATCTTAAGTTATGTTTTAGCCTCGCCGAGCAGTAAAAAACAGGTAAAAATATCTCATTATCATAGAACTGAGATGACACCCGTGTTTATTAGGAGATTTTTTAAAATACAAAACTTCTGTTTTACGTCGCCGAAAGTACTTTACTCCTGTCAGAGCAGAAGTAACAATTTCTTTTGAAAAACTAACCAATGAACCATCCTAATTTTTTAAAAAAAATTCAATGCTATTTTGAAAAGCTGTCAAAATCGAAAAATGTGCACCTTGTCACGTTCATACAAGCGAGCTACGAAGTCGCAAGTAATAAATTCTAGCTTTTTCACTTTAACTGGGCGACCTGGACAATATTTTCAGTCACCCAAGGTCAGGCAGCCGGGCGCTTTACATGCAAGTTCGGTCATAGCCTTGACTTTGTCCTCCTCTACGCAGTAATCTTACTTTTCGCTCCTTTGCTGACGCAATATCTTTTTTCTGCTTGTGCAATCCAATCTGACTCGCACATTATTCGAAGTTGCAGCCAGTAAAAATCAAACAATTTTTCGGGACGGGCATTGGATACGCGAAAGTTAAAAAAAACAAGGAAATTTTTGACTGCAAAGAAAAATACGAAAGGAATGCGCAACCGAATTTATGACGCTGGCTGACCATAAGTCATCCCGCGTAAAATCGCAAACATTTTCGTATAACTAACAAGAAAAGACGCTACCATTTTTAAGTACCAGCTTGGGCCTAACATGATTTCGTTGTCTAAAGAAGAAAAGGATCTGGGGATATTCCTTTTCCATAATCTGGCCTGGCGTTGCCCAGTTCCGACAAATATAGCAGGATGTTATGTGCCATTTAGATTGCCATGGTGAGTAGAAAAACATTTTGGCGACTAAAATTGCAGCACCGGAAAGTTGCCAATTTCGGAGGCCGTGTGCCAAGCAGAAACTGCTTTTATTAGTTGTGTTTATGGTCTTTCTAAGGCTGAAGAGGGATGAATATTGGCACGGAATAGTATTAATGCTCCATTTTCTAAATAACTTGTCCCTTCTTCCCTTGTTGTCCGGGCATATTAAAGGGGATCTATTAAAAGCTTTAAAATGGCGCGAAAACCTTCAAATCAATAGCAATACAGTCGACTCTCGCCTTGCGGTCACCTCGCTATTACGGACAAGAGCCACCTCCATGGCGAAACGCATAAAGAAATGACTGAAACAAACTCTCGCTATTACGGAAATGTGGGCCTTTTTCTACCCCCAAGCGCGTCATTTCACTTGTTTTTTCTCTCGCTATAGCGGACACTTGAGTACTTCGTCAAAAATCCTGACTCACATAACATAAAGAATAAAGCGACGTTACAATAAAGGAAAAAATGACACAAAACACTATCGACCGCTTCTTTGTAAAAGAGTCAACAAATGACTGTACTGTACAGCATTTTTAGAGCTTACAAACATTTTGCTTTATTGTAACACTCTACTGTCAAAGTTGTTAGACAGGTTTCAGTTACCATGATGAGTACACTGTGCAGCACGTCTGTGATAGAGAGCTGCCAAGAAAAATAATAAACGTATTTGACAGCAAGTTAACATTCATAGCCATCCACGTTATTGGATGAGTTTCCGTTTGCTTTTTAAGCCCTTCTTATGTATCCCTTGTGATTGAAGGAGCTTGGAAGTAATAATACAGCACATTTATAATCTTATTATCTTTAATCTTTTTCTGTCCATAGTTAAAATAAGTAAATAATTGTAGAAACTACAATGCCTGTGGGACTTACATGTACAGAGAAATTTTTGTTTCTCTCGTACCCCGCTATTACGGACTCTCGCTATTAGGGAGACTAAATCTCCCCCCGCGCGCGCCGAGGATGTCTGTAGTAACACCAGTCAACTGTAGTTGGTCAGTTATTTCCAACCTCGTCCCCAGGGATTTTCCCCTCCCATTTGTTTTAGGGAAAAGCCCTGGGAACGAGGTACGAGGTTGAGCCATTTCCTTTGGACTTAGTCAAACCCTCATGTAGTATCACCCAAAGTGTTTTTCTTTTCTCTTTTTTGTTTGTTTGTTTGTTTTTGTCTTGGCTAACAACATTATTGTCTGTTGACCATTTCACAATTTCAGGTCCCCCCATGAAAAGGCGACTTTACACAAATTGGTGGTGTTGTTTAGGTTGTGTTCGTTGTGTTATATTTTCATGTCTTGGCCACCAATATTCATGTAAAGTGACCATTTTAAATTTGAGGTGGTTTAAGGGCGACTTTACCCAGTGTTTTGTTGTTTTACTTCGGTTATTTGTTAGCCTGCGTAGCAGGCGCCAGTTTTGAGGAAAGAAAACTAGAGGACGCGATTGGGAGGCCCACGCGTGTTCTCCTCGCGCGACCTATCAAAAAAACATAACTTGACCATTTTATAATTTCAGGTCCCTAAAAGGCGACTTCGAAAAACTTTGACTCCCGAATAAATGAGATGCACTATGTGTAGACCGCACAAGTTACATTGAAGAATTGATCTTTATTGACTCACATTTCACAATGACAATATAAAGTCGGTTTCACGACCAGAATAACATCTTTAGGCCATTGACTGCTACCAACAGTAACATACCCTACGAGTTACTCCGCTTAAGCATGACAACAGCAAAGGGTAGAGATGAACTGGTATTACAAAACAGAAAGATAAGCTTGTCCTGTCACGACTGAGGCAAAGAAAAACATGCAGTCCATGGAATTAGACCTAAACGGAAAAAAAATCTTACGGACATGTTTTTTTCTGGTCTCTCTTGGAACTGGAAAAAGTTGTCACCTAACAGGTATTTGTTTAAAACCAACAAACAAAATTCGGGAAGTAAAGTGTGTAAGCAAGACCTGCACATGAGGCGACAGGAGAGCATCTTTTTTCAACCTAATGCAAGTTTCACAGCCACCCTTTCCAAAGGTTTTAATCAAGGAAAAGAAAAATTGCATCTAGCCGATGGATTCTTTTTCTTCAAGTGCTAATTCAAAACCAAGTTACTCATCAAAGCATTTTATATATTAAGGTCTCTTTATGTAATCAGCATTCATTTTTTGCCAAACCACCGCTGCTTCATCAAACAAGACATTACTAGCCACCTTGATTCCAGTATTACTCCATCACAAATCCATGTAGAACAATATGGAGAATGTGCGGATTTTGTGACTGAAGGGTTAAAAATCAAGGATGCGCAACCAGGCAGTGTTTAGGCAGAGCCCTGAAAATTACTCCACAACCTGTCAAACACTTAGGGAGATTAAAAGAAACTTTCGAGATTAACAAGGATAGGGATTTGTGTTAGTTGAGCGATTCCAGTTCCTTCGACCCACTGCTGCTGTTGTTTGCACAGTTATTTTTTTACACATAGCATCATGACAAAGTTGACACATAATATCAATATTCATATTCACAATTTCTGAAGCGACAGGAGCAGAATACACAGACCAGAAAACAAAACTTTATATTTGTGCACATTATAGTTATTGGCAGAAATACTTTATAGTAACTCTCTTATAGTTTATAGCAGTCACTTCTGCCGCAGGTAAATTATTTGAGAAAAACCAAAATGTAAATCATGTATCATTTTCCTAATTAATACCTAATAGTATAAGTATAGTCATCTATGTAGATCTGCAAGAAATTTAATTTTTTACATTGACAATTCATTACAATGTGCATCTTCTGCTCGCACAAATCTAAGTAAGGTTGTTGTTTTTGCGATACAAGGTGACTCAAACGTCCCTTGGTGAAATGTAAAGGACAGCATCACAAATACTGTCTCTTTAAGTGTAAGATCTAAAATACAATAATTCATTGACAGGCAATGGCGACACAGACAAGCAGTGTACACGTCATTCAAGGCTTGCACCATCCAATGAAAACCACAACTTATATCGCAATATATAAAATATAAACACTAAAACTTTGCTCTTAGAAGTAGGGAGGGGAGGGAGGGGGTTCACCAGATCAGTTCCATATCTTCAAGAAACTATCCCAGCTTCCTGTGGAAACAGCCATTCCGTCTTCAGTAACACCCAGACAACTGACACGGTTGTCGTGTCCTGCTAATACTCCGGCTCTCTCTCCTTTCAATGTGTCCCACACATTGCAGTTGAAATCATCATATCCTGCTAACAGCAGACGGCCACTCTTGGAGAAGGCCACTGAGGTAATTCCACAGATAATATTGTCATGGGCATACACCATGAGCTCCTATTTTTGACAAAACAAAACAAAGCACAGTGGATTAGAAACAGATTAACTGCTTCAAGATTGCCAAACGTCTATGTAGGAGACTGACTCATTCCAACCGACGATAAATACTGCACAAAAGGGAGGGTGCAAAGTAGCCTGCGTCATAGACGAAACTAAACTCTGGTTTTATCTGCCTGTGAAATCTTCGTTCTGGGCCCCCACCTGTGTACCAGGATTTGAGTACGCACCAAGATTGGTCTCTTAAAAAGCCATTCTTGATTTGCCAATCAAGATGAAGGGAAATTCGAAACACACCTCTGGTAATTTGTTCAATCCATTAGGGGCCCACAACAACCAGAACAAGGATACAAGCATTGCTTTACAGATGATACAGAATGTACTAACTACAGTTAAATTACATCTACGTCGCAGCCTTGGTGCAAAGAAAGTCAGAGTTACAGTTTGCCTTTCTGACCAGCCTGGTTGATTGCAGTTCTTCTGCAATTTGAATCCCCGGCCTGATAGCAAAATCCACTTGCTCCGGGCTTTGGACACCACTTTCATTGCACGCTGATGGAAGGGAACTTAACTAAAAGTGTAGCCTCACCTGATCAGCGCGGACGTCAAACAGCCTACATGTGGCATCATCAGATCCTGTTGCAAAAGCTGATCCATTGGGGAAGTACTAAAAACACAATAGAAAATCAGCATGAATGCTAAAGAAAACAAGCTTTCGTACACAAACATGACAACATACACAGCTGAGACAAAAAGTGAATCTTCAAGACTCTTATGAAAAAATGTTCTGAATACTTACTGCTACTGCATTGATGTCTGATTCGTGTCCAGTAAAAGTTTGCTTACAGATACCATCTTGTATACTCCACAGCTAAAGAACAGGAAAGTAATGTTAATGTATATTTCCCGGAACTAAAAGAACAAAACTCCCCCCAAATTTCCTAGAAGTAGTAGCATTACCCATGGAGAGCAACACGTAACAACAGATTAACAACAGTAAAGAGATGAACACAAACTGGATTCATCCCTTCAGTAAAAGCACATAACAACCTGACCCCCATGAAGTAAGGCTTATATATGGTGTATCCATAAAGGTGTCAAGGTTAATACCTTCGCTGAGGCATCACAGGCTCCAGATACAAAAGACTTGCTGTCAGGGGATAATGATAGACTCATGACATCTCCAGTGTGTCCACTGAATGTCGTAGTTTGTTGCCCAGTTTCAATATCCCAAAGCGCACTAAAGACAAAAAAGAATACACCTGTCATTGTGACAAATCACTACAAACTTCACCTTTACCATCACAACAAACAACACAGTCAACCTTAATGAGCGTATGGATCGTGGGCAGTCTTAACAATCAGAGAAATCATGGCCCTTATGTGGAAACAAGCTTTAAAAACATATCAGTCCCTAACTTATTTTTCATTTATCATTGATACCTTTGGTAAAATCCCAAATAGTAGTTGGCTTCTCTTTCAGTAACCATAGCCACCTTATGGGAAAAGTTCTCCGGTGTTGCCAATTGACAGCAGGGCTGTGCTTTGGCAGAGCCTTATGACCCCCAGCGCCCAGCTTTTGCTCTCAAGCAACTAGAAAATCTTAGTTTCATACAAATCATAATGATTATAATGATGGACACCCTAGATTTTACAGTTTCAGAGCACTGGGTTCCTTTCAGTTTTCCTTGGAGCATGGCGTTAGACAAAGCCATTGTAAGAGCATCTTTTACTTTTCTCTGAATCTATCATCTAGTGATGTGCTGATCATTGATTATGATCGACCATTGATCAAAAAACCTTAAGCGATGCAACTATGCAAACTGTTAAATCGATTATTGGGGAAGAACAAAAAAATATTGACAACAAATAAAAGTAATAAGAGCTTGTGTTCTTTTTGTGATTGACTCATATTGTAGCAATAATCCATCCATCACCCTTTTCTGATACATTTCTTGTTTTCCTCTCATTCTACACCAAGGTGCAGCGGCCATGCTCGATTCCCTTTATTGACTTGAAAGAGTTTTCAGCTGGGTCAATCTGATTATTTTGGATAATTGATCATTTAATCTCAGCTGATTCCCAGTACAATACTACTATCTTCACATAGCATCAACCAACATACCAGGTCATATCTCCAGAACTAGTAAGAATCTGATTGTCATCTGTAAAACGACAACATGACAAGTATCCTATAAAATGAGAAAACAGAAATATTAGTATGAAAACGTGGTGAAACTCCAGGGCCATATGAAAGTGGTTGTCTTAACATTTACAGTATAAACTTTTCCACCTCTATGGTGACATTGCATACCTGTATGTCCCGGTAACTCTCGACTGACTCTAACATTTCCTTCTCTTGTTTTTAGACTGTAAATTGAGCAGATGTTGTCCAAACCACCTGACAACCAAACATTATAAAAACAGTAAATATAAACCCATTGACCCCTTTACCCAAATAAATACTTCTTTCTTGTTTTGACAAAAGTATACTTTGACAGCGGTGGAGAAAGTTGTCAAAATGCAATGTGAAATGTTGAAGGAATTCATCATGGCTTGAAATGTATGTAACAGGGAATTTTTTCTAACTGATTTTGGTCCATAGATAAGTTGAATCAAGAACTGTGAACTTTAAAAATATGTCTCCCCCCCAAAAAAGAACACAACCTTACCACATGCTACATAATTTCCAGACGGCGCATAAGCACAGGTCATTACCCAGCTGGATCGAAGAGGTATCGCATGAACCTGGGGGAGGGAAGGAAAGCCATAATTATCAGTTCACAGCTGAAACTAACCAAATCCTCTAATAAGCTCCCCTTTTCAGGGGAAGAAAGTTAATAAGCCCAACTGAATTAGCACAAGCTCAATCCTGAAAGCCACTACCATAGTTTTAAACTAAATCTATTTATTGCTGCATTTTTCAGCAGCTTAGTATGTTGGAAAAAATCATGACAAATACCTTGTTTGTTGTGTAAGAATCCCATACAATAAGTTTTCCATCTTGAGAAGCACTTACTAAATTTCTGAAATGAAAAAGAAAGTTTGCGTCAACAGAAATTGGTTCTGACACTACGGAAAACATTTCCAAGAGGAAACCTCGCACATCACCAAGCCAACAGCCACCTACCTTGAGTCGGTTGCCCAGTGCATAGCATATATTTTTGCCAAGTGACCTCGGAGTGTTCTCCTAGTTCTCATCTGTATTCTACCAACAGGTTCGACATTGTGTGTTACCTGGAAGATAAATAAAAGCACTTTACTATGACAAAGTTATTAAATTAAGCACTACAGTCAACTCTCTACAAGTCGGACATCTACAGCATTGACGCAACTGTCCGTCTCAGATAGGTGTCCGGTTTCTAGAGAGACAAGGTAAAGTGACACCAGTAAAAACTTAAGCTGAACCCACTTGCGATGAATGCATGTCTGTTAACTTATGCAAAACAGCTAAAACTGGAACACCATAACAGAAAAGTGGAATCAGTTTCTTATTATGCAATCAAACATTCATTACAAGCAAACATTCAAGGCTTTGTGGTCTAATAGCATAATTTACTATTGTGTAAAGCACCTATATTTCCATTTAGAGGTATCTTTCACTGCATAAAGCAATTCTTTAGCATTCGTTGACAGTTTCAAAAGAATCCAGTGTCCGCCTTATGGGGAGCATAGTTAAAATAAAACGACTGAAAAACAGCAGGAACCAACACCAGGTGTTTGTCTAAGAGAGGTACAGTCAAACCTCTTTAATACGGACACCAAAGGAACAGAACCAAGTGTCCACTTCACAGAAGTGTTCGTATAATAGAAGTAGGGAATGCAAGATTTTTGTTCTTTCTGGGACCAAACAAACTGTCTGTAAGAGAGGTGTCCGTAAGGAGAAGTTAGACTGTATCCGTTTAGAAAGAGCTGACTGTAGATTTTAGTCATAACTTTTGCAAAGCTCTGTCATGTCTGTGGGTAAAACTCACCAAGGGATATAGGCGGACAATGTGTTTGAACCAATTAATGACGGGTTTACAAACAACTACTTGAGACAATTTCCATCAGGTTATACTGACAATTAATTATGTATGTGCATATCAAAAGGAAGCGGAAATGCCTATTTTATGTCACTAGGCACTGTTACATTCATTATTTGCCTCCTTCAAAACAATGACCAGCAATTTTTCTAGTATCCTGCTTTTTAAACTGCAATGAAGCCAATATCATCGTAAACTTACTTGCGCCAGTGATGTGTCACATACTGCTTTTCTTGCATCCTGCAAATACAAAAGTTAACACATTATAAAGTACAGTCCGTAAAATTTGCACACTGTAAAAGTATGCATTCGAAATTATCCCGTTGACCAGGACCATTATGTAAACTCCATCTTCTTTGTAAGAGCTTATACCATACAGCCCCAAAATAATAATTGAAGTGTCAAGACTGAAGTGCCACCTGGGTGATTCGTACACAGTAACACCAAACAAAAATGCGCCCCACTCCTGACAATACCCAGTGAATATCAAAGGTACATGAACGTGCATTAATGCAATGGTGGCCAGACTTCTCTGCTCAAAAAAACAAAACTGGCCTCTTTAAGTTGGTCCACATTTCCTTTGGCAAACTAGACATTTCCATGGCTACAATTTAATTTTGCTATCTTGAGAGCCTTCAAGAGGGCCTACATCAAACTCTGTTTCTCACACACCACTAATAGCCAAATTGAGTCACCTCGCATCCACCCAAAATGGGTGAAGATACAGATCAAAGTGACAATCTGGCTCGACATAAAGATTTCAGCAAGCTTCACCTCTCAAAGTCAACATTTTACAGAGACATAAATCAGTATACTGTACACCCCACTGCTATAACATTGAATATCAAATAAACTAATCTGGTAAAATCTGAAGGACAAGAACAAAACATCAAATGAAGGGTAACACTGTTACGAGAGCCATTCTACCCATATATATTTCAAGCATCACCAAGATAACGTTATGTAACCCAGTTCAAATCTTCAAATGGTTGTCTAAAAAAATAGCGATTTTTAACAAGTATAAGCCATAAAACATGTGAGCAGTAAGTAAGTCACGTGAATTTTGCTTAGTCACAAATAATAGCAACACTTCCCCATTGATATGTTTGTGGCCAATGGATTGCTACGTCTCACGGCCAATTGAAACATGCAATCAAAATTTCATTTTTTAGGCCTAAAACCTTGCTTTTTTGGTCAAAATAATTCTTTCACTTTAGTTAACATGAAACTGATTTCTGTTAAGAGGAAATACGGTAAACACATAACACGGAACTCCAGGTCTTCAACGGATCTAACCAACCTCGTTCAGGCTATAAGAGCAATGAGTACTCAATATCATGCAAAAAACATCTCACATCATGGTTTACACAGTGCAAGATACCACACCATTCAAATCATAACTTAACAGAAGAAAAAAAGGAACTCTGTAAAAAGCAATTTTGTCTTTTTAGAAGGAACAGCGAGCTGGAAGTTCATAGCAAAGCTGCATTGTTTATTTCAGATAAAAAAAACAACTGTTTGCGTTTATGATAAAAGACCTTGAAGAACATATACCCGCTACAGACGTTAACAAACGAAGAATTTTTAATTCCTAGGATACAACCAAAGAAACGATGAGTAAAAACCACGGACACACCTTTGGAAAGGAGAAAATCGCGTCATGATTCATGAACGCATGATTATCCGTCGCAAATTGGGGACAAACTTATAAAAGCTATTTAATCTTTGAAAGAAAAAATGTTTGTTCTGTTTTCTTGCCTTCCTACACTAAGCTCAGAAGAATCGTTTTTAATTCAGCTCTGCTATAGTTTGACGAAGAGATAGATGCTATTCCACAAGCAGTAAGAAAGGATACGACAATCCATTATAACTTGCTTCCGTTTCGTTCATCTAGAGCGAACACAAAAGGAACGAGCTTTCAATTTCGAACGTCTCGAGGATGTAAAAAAAACATTCTCGCGCGTGAGGGAATCGCTTCAGATACAGAAATTATTTCAAAACCCAAGGTAAAAGTTTTTCTTCCTTTGATCGTTTTAAACGCCACCAACTATAACGCAAAAAGATATTGTAATCAAGGAGCGAGCGACACAAACTCAAAACCTGGACGACGAAATATCGCACCGTAATCGATTTTAAGCACATGTTTTTAACCTTCCTTGACCAAGTCCAGGCCAAACTAAGCCTTAACGAAATTAACGAGGTTCGAAACCGGTCTGAATAGGCAAATCTAATTTTTCTGACGTTGCTTTCGACAACATTAGCTTTGCCATTTTTTTAATGATCAAGCTGCAATCGAGTTTCTACTGCGACGATGCTAACTTGTCATGGCAGATTAGCTACAGTAAAATTTCGACCTTGATCCACATATTCGAAGTTTTACTCCACTTTATCAGCTAATCGTGATAACAAACTCTCACAGACAGCGTTTAAGTTGTATCACAAGCATACTTTCCTTCCTTCTGTTGCGGCCTAAGCTATAAGCTTAATGAATACAATATTCTTTAGGGATATTGAAAACTGCTCCCGGCTAACAGTAAACACACAGCAAGAATAACTTGCTTGGCATAAACCGAGCTTTTACGGGTTAAATCGAATCAATACAGCGCGAAAAGGCACAAATTCTTTAACTTGGAACGATATTAGAATTCTAATCTATATTTCGGTGAAACAATACTGCATACACTGGCATAGATCGCGTGGCATTCGATTGAGACATCTAATGGCGACCCCCACCAACGACGAACGATTTCGCGATCACCGACAACAAAACGGCGTTAAAAAGACACAGTGTACATGTAAAAGACCAAAATGCGACATATTTCGAAAATATGCTCGCATTTGGGCTAGACCGAGCGGTTTATGATTGTATACAGCGTAAATACCACATTTTCGAAAGCGATCAAACTTTGTCATCTCTGCCTTCGATGTTTCACCCACTTGCGGGGTTGTTATGTAGCAACACAGTATATACTTACCCTGATCTGCGCCTTGAGTACTTCAGCTTCTTGCCTGAGAGCTTCTATTTCGTTCTGACCGTGGCTCTGGGTTTGTTGCTGCATCTTTTGGCCTTATTTTTTCTTCACACTTGCGCCGAATGTTACAAGGCAAATGGCCACAGTCGTCACCAAACGCCTGCCGCCGCTCCTAATCCGGAGATTCGCCGCTGATTCAACACTGCAGCAAGCCCAAAAACCGCATCAAATGATAAAACAGTGATAGTAAATGTCCCTTCTTCGCAAAATAAGTTATAACACACAGGAGAAGCGCTCGCTACAGTCGTTGGGAGTGGTTCCCTTTCCGCGGATTGCAAACGAAGGCGCGCCCCTGAAAAGCCGAGCAGTGCCTCCCGTATATAAGGCATGACCGCGAAGTGTCATGGGCAGCTCTTCCCGTTTTTCACTTTCCTTCTTTCTTCCTTTTTCTTTTTTCTTCCTTCTTTCTCTTTTCTCTTTTTTTCCTTTTACCACTTGAATCACATGCTATGCGCGTGTGATTTAACAAAAAGAAAAAAATCCCTCTTTAGCAAAGATTCCGGAGCTACTTTTAATGTTGGACGGCTTTTCACAAACCTGTAAAAAACAAAAATAAAAAATACTAAAGACCGTTTATTAACCTAATTGTAGCAAAAAAAAAAAAAATGAATTACAGGGTTATAATACAATTTTTAATTACTAATCAAAACTATGTCCTACCATATAATATTTACAAGTCAATATTCTAATCATGATACGGAATTAAATGCGTTTTAAAAGAACTTGAGCGTTGTGTGCGGCAGAAGCTCCTGTCTCCGGATACTACCTTATGCTTGGAAGAGGTTTTCTCAGATTATATCTACTCACAGTTCTGGTATCCTTAGGGGCTAAAAAATGAATTGGGTGCCTATTTTGTGAGATCTTGGAAATATAGGTTGTTTACCATTTACTACAAATTCCGGTTGGGATGTCACAATGGTAATAAACGATTATTTGCTTCTTCCGACTAGAAAATTCCCGGGACAAACGGAAATTCTGAAAAGGTAGTCCTGTTTTCCCGATTTGGACTTTCCAAATGGGAATTCGTTTACCATATTTACAAGTTTCTGGAGTTTCGTACCAGTTTCATGTTGTAACTAGCATCCAATCTAGCGCGGCGCGACAATCCGGAAATTTTAGGCAAGTGGTAAACGACACGTACCATTCTTACCGACCGAAAATTCCGGGCTTGGTTGTAATTAGCCGAGCAGGAAGCTTCTTGAGAATAGGCGACGATTATTCGTTTTGTTGAATTCCTCGATAACTTTGTTAGTGTTCACTTAAAACTCATTGTGAAGGTTCATAAATGCTGGGTGGGATAGACGATCCTCACTCAACTCTGTTCCTTAAATACTTCTTTAGTCGCCGCAGATATGCAAGAAAAGGAACGCTCTGCACCTGCATTACCTACTGGAAGGGTTACCAATTCTAAACAGCGCCTTGATGTTGGGGAAACGGTCCTCAACGGCAGCGAGGTAACACTCGAACAACCTAGTCGGGTCTTCTTGTGGTTCCTGTAGGGTTTAGTGACACTTTCATAATTTGATTTCATTTAGTAATGATAACATATATGAATAGGGATCTCGTCCTTCGAAATTGCAACTCTTTATTCATGTTATGTAGATCACCGCATTTACGTAAAACAGAGGGGACCAACAAGAAAAGATCACGACCTTAACGGTTCAGTTTCCTTACAAACCTTAAACTCGATCGTTTTTTGGTCGATATGGTCCAAGAAAGGTACGCCAACTGCCACTGAGCTTGAAGTATTGTAATGGGGTGTCTGCTGGTGCATTTGCACGATGTTGTTGGCAAGCTGAGTAACGTGGTACCTTTATGTCCTCTAGCGCTCCTTCTTCATTAGCGATTTGTTTGGCTTCTTTAACATGAACAGTCTTGGAATTCTTTGTCAATGCTTGTAAGCATTTCTTTGAGAGTGCTTCGAACATCGTCGATCATTCTCTCTTGCCTCAACAAGAGAGTTCTCTCGTGGCCTCAAATATATGGCCCATTCTTTTTTAGGTTTGCTGCTAAACCGTTTACAATTCTCCACCTTGTCTTATATTTTACCTCAACATCAATAAACCACAAAGTTTTTTTTTTGCAGAATACCAGTTGTATTAGAAAGCCGGGTGGGGGGGGGCCTTGCACCCTCCCCCCCCTAGATCCGCTCCTGTACCAATCACCCGCATATACATTTCGTCATAAATTTGTAGACTGCCAGACCAGCGAAAGATGATCATGGCAGAGCTAGCTAAGGGGTTCCTTTAAAAAAAAATTGATACATGGAACATTTATAAAAGAAGGTCAATGAGCTGAAGCATTAGTACTCATCAAGAGAGAATAAGCGACACCCAACGAGAATATAGTTCAAACCACTTAAACACCGCATTGTTAAACGTATTTTAGTATTTAAACGGTATAGTTGGGCATATTTTTATCCCCTAAAAATTTTTCATCTGTTCGGATTTCCTAGCTGAAAGTCTAGTGATCCGAAAATTATAGGGATCAAAACTTACCTTTTCGAAAATTTCAGCCAGTAAAAAGGCTCCCGAAAATTCTAGGTGACCTTTTTAGGGTAAAAATCCGTTAAAAATGGGCAATTATGCCACTTTTTAGATGTTCGAAAATCCTAGTAGAGGCAGGCAAGCAAGAAATTTTACAACAAAAGTTCCGAAAATTCTAGATCTCAAATCGTCTTCCGAACAGATATTTTCCGAAAATTGACGTTGGGTGCCCTGAGAGAATGAGCTATCATTCTCTCTTGCACATGTACTCATGAATGATTTTACAGGCGGCTCCCAGACACTTTTGCCCGCAAACGTAGATTTGCCTGTTTTGCGGGGTAGTAAAAATAAATCGAATTGAAAGTCAGTCAGCCCCATTGAGATCCCAGAAAGGAAGGGGGATTGAGGTGCGTGTACGGGGCTAAAAATTCCATTTTCCGATCCATTCCGGGACGGGTCAGTGTGGGACGGTTGATAGCCGTGTTCCCGACAAAAAAGGCGGGAAAAATTGGCGCGACCAACTTACCACCGACATTTGAAGCAGGGAAACCAAACTGGTCACTGTTTGTAGAATGTAAAGACAAAAACAAAAACGCACGATGTACCAGCAGCAAAAAATTGCTTAATTTTGAAAATGCAGGTGTCAGATTTGGGTTCTCCAGTTAGCCCTCAAAACCTACTTGCAGAGCATCGACAAAGTTCGCCTGAAATTGACAAACTCATCCAGAAAACAGGTGATTTTAATATTTAGCTGACGTCTTTGCGCTGTGTTTGGGGTCTACTCTTTATTTTCAGTGTTACAGATTTATAAACTTTTAAATCAAAATATCTTTAGAGAAACAGTTGATTCAAAGTTACAGTTATCGTTTCTCAAGGAAATAGAAGCTGTAAAACCACATTGAGACCTTATCTTTCGTTGCTAACATCTTGTTGTAATGACAACAAAACTACCTTTAGCAGTTAAAACAGATTCTTTTAAGCTTTACCAGTCAGCAACAACCTTCTTTGTTTAATTCACCTCATGACAGAATTTGAAAATTTGGAGCAAGTGAAACTAATAGAAACAGAAAGAGAACGATATGCAGGTAAGTCTAAGTAAAAAGAGCATTTAAACTTATCAAAAGCCCAATAAAAAAAGAGCGAAGTTCGTTTGCTGATAGTTGTTTATATAAGCTTAAGCTTTAATAAGTTTGTAGCAATTTCTTTGAAAAAGTACTACCTAAGAATGAAACAAATAGAGATATCATGCAAGAATAGTGTAGAGGCATCAAGAAATCGAGATGAGGTACAAATCTATTTTAATGTACGATATTTTGACTAGCAGAACTTAAAATTACTGGCCCTTGAAAAAGACTCTTCTTACTAGTCAGTGAAAATATTGGCCCTTCAACTGAATTAAAACCTTGCCCATTTTGAATTCCGTTGCGCTGTCCCTGCATATTAATTTTTTTTACTCAAAGTGCAAAACAGGCTGTTGTGCACGTAGAGTATAGGCAGGTACACGGGTACAGCGTTATCAAGCGGTCCTCTTGCGGACCGCCACACTATAAAAGTAACGAGAGCCAATTTGTCTTGGGGTACTGAAAAACTGTTGACGTCGTTTTCATTGTCAAAAACACAAAGCTCTCTTAAGACAAGTGGAAGAAAAAACGCGCCAAGTTGAGGAGTTAGAGAAGTCCACAACTCAGCTTGACGAGGAAGCCAAACAATTACACAAACAGTTCACACAGAACAGGGAGATATGCGAAAGGTAAGCAATTTTTTATTATTTTACGTATGCCTACTGAATTTCGCGAGAGGTGGTCGTCTTGCGACGAGGTCACCCAAGGTTATCCTGTCAAATTCGGAACTGGTTTTGTAGTCACCCGAAAAAAAAAAAGACACTTGCTATTCACACGCCCGCCCCTTGCATTCGTGAGGCGATTTCGCCTTTTCCACCCGTCTTTGGAGCACGTGTAACGAAAACTCTTACCTTAAAATGTTAAATGGTTTGTCAGAATGGTATTATAATTCTTTTGATCTACAGCTTGAAACGAACAAACAGTGTTCTTCAAGAGCACGAAGAAGCTTTAAAGAAGAAAAAAGAAATGGTCCTAAATAAGACGCAACTAGCCAGGCAAGACTATTAATTTTAAAGGCCATTTAAATGTCGCGCACTGAAAATTGTTGCTTCCATTGGTATAGCTGTACATCAGAGATAACATCAATGACTCGACGTCTCGAGTTTTGATACAATGAATTTCCTTTCAAAAAAATCTACACCTGCTAAAACAAATAACTGGCACATGCTGGTTTCTTGTTTAGCCTGCGTACAAGCTCTCCATGCGAGGAGCGCGCGGCTCACTTCGCTCGCCAAAATAAGCAAACCCTACTAAGGAATCTAAGCAAAGTGCCAACTCTGAATGGATTATTATTTTACTGAAACTGTCCAGGAAGAGAGTTATGAACATTTTAGGTGATTTCTGACTAAAAACCTTACACCATTAATTAATAATTTAAGGTTGGAAAACAATGCTGTCCTGGAGAAGTATCAGGCCATTTGGGAGACATACAAAACTAAGTATGAAAGTAATGAAAATGCAAAGGAGCTTGCTAAGATAAAGAGGGATACAATGCAAGAAAAGGAACAATGTGAGTTACTGTTTAACTTCAAGTACTTATAGTAGCGTTAATACTTAGTGGCAACATAGTTAATTTTTACATACATAGACTGCATACTATGAAGGCTAAATTAGTAGTAATTGCAAATAAAGGGAGTGTGTGTTCGATGGGGATAGGCGATAAGTACAAGGGCGGGGGGGGGGTGGGGGGGGGGCAGTGAGAGGGGACCTAAAATGTGATGTGCTTGTATGACTGAATACGTTATAGCAATGAAAAATTAATGCTCTCTTAATGGTTAAACCAGTGAAAGTATTTGTCAATAATCACCCTTAAATTGTCTCAAAAAACTCCTTTTAATAAATTCCCATGTCACCATATTTTTTCCCTCATCAAATGGCCAGGAAATGTTCAGACTAGACTGGCTTCGAGCAGTCCCTCATTTCCCTCAGGGGTAGTAGGGAAAGCAGAATATGAAGGCATGCGTGGAAATTGAGGGTCAGCTTCCTCGGGCTGAGCAAGCTCTACCATACCTGAGGTAAATTATGGCTACTTGAAGTCTTTGTTTATACACCAGGGGGTATTTCCTTGTTGTTACAAAGTAAAGCACTTTTAACAGGATATGGAACTTACCGCATTTAAAACCACTCTTAATTATTTTTATTCATGTTTTACATGTCTGATATCCCTTGTAGTGGAGGAGATAAGATCCACAGTTCAACAACTGGAAACTGGCATTTCAAGTATGGAAACAGAAAAGAAAAAGATTCAAGGTAGAATATGATATGGGCCACTTTCTACCACCTAGTGTTAATGCAAATCCGAACAAAGTAATATGAACTGGTCGTGTTACAAGTACTTGAACCACATGCTTTACATGTACTCATCAGAGTGAATCTGGAGATCAGCATCAAAGGTCATAGTTTTAGGTAGATGCTGTCAGCCCACTCTTAAGCTAAGGCAAGCATTCCTTCCCTTGAGGCCTCCATTCCTCAGCACAAATGAACTAAACACTAATATATATACTGCAACATACACTGGGTAAAGTCGCAGGCCATGTTTTCTTACATTTGCAGTGGTTCTCTACCACTCCTACAGCTGTGGGAAAATCTTAGAAGCATCGGAAAGTGAAGTAAAAGACATCTTTCTTCCTTAGGGGAGACTCTTCACTCTGTTTAAACTGGACTGGGTTCACCTCTAGATCTTTTTCTTTCGTACTTTAATGAAACAAAAAAGTTGAAAACTAATAATTTCTTTTCATTTCAGAAACAATTAAAAATGGACTCAGATCAGCTATCCCAGTGATCATCAAACTGTATCCACTGCAAAAGGGGTTTACAAAGGATAATATGAAAAATAGAATACAAAATGCCGTGATACTTTGGGGGAGATGCAGTATTAATACTTGACACCTCATTATGAAATAATGCCTAAAGCAGAAGACATTTTCATTTTTCTTCTTCATAAGCTACTTCTGTAAAGCCTTTTATAGTGTCATTGTTTACCATACAAGACATTTCACCCAGGTTATATTCTTTAACAACACGAAGAGCCCAGCTAAACCTTGAAACAAGAAAAACTGTTGACAATATACAAGAAGTCAACACCAAAGTAAAACACTCACGAGAAGAACAAACCAGGATGTCTGCAGAGAAAAGGCACCCAAAAAGGTCTCCAGAGAAAGGTACCGATATGTAACAGAGTTTTCTCAATTTTATGAGCAGGAGCTCAAGAAAAAAGTATGTATGAGGAGAATACCTTAGCTGAAACTTAAATTGTATGACTCAAGATATTTACAAAAGAACACTCTTAGTGACAATGTGGTGTTATAATAATTTATTAATTAATAGCCAGAACTATGAAACATGTAAGTAAGTAAGATAGAGAGAACGGTTCAATTTTCTCTTAAAAGTTCCATAAACAATTTGATGACAATTTTTTGCATGAGAATCTCTGATAGTCACCAAATACAGTAAGAAAGTATATGAAAGCCAAAATGAAAATAATGCAATTAATTTTAATGAAACTATTTCTTACAAATTAGTCCCTATAATAGAAACACCTGAAACATCTACTGGCATCCCAGTGGGGACATCTTTTCAGCTAGAGGGACACCCATCTTCTAACACTAAGCAACCACAGTCAGATAAAAATATGGATGCAGAACAGTCTACAGATGAAGACATTGCTACACAACAGCAACGACAAGAAGTACTTGTATCTGAAAGACCTGTCTCTCAGATGCAACAATTGCCTATGGTGATCTCAAGTCAGCAGTCTAGCAAAAGTATAACAGAGGACCAAGTTGTTCAGACATCAAGAACAGCTCGCAGTGAATGCCACCCACAACAACTTCAAATCTCACACAATCAACCATGTAAGTCAAAGACTACTGCAGTTGTAAGTACATTATTACGGTATTTTCAATGCAACCTCAGTTCAAAATTTATTTGTTTACATTGTTGAGGAAACAAAACCACAAACAGCTATAGAAATTAGTTTGTGACTTTGAGGTTTACTGGTACTTAAGATCACGTTTCCAGGACATTAATTTTGTTTTATTGAATTGTCAGAACAAAATCAAAGTACTCTACAGTTTTTTGACTTGCACTAAAAAGGTTGGCTGGATTAACTTATTCCATGTGTTGTGCACTCTGTTATCAGTAAAACATTTCGATGTTGTCAGATACAGTAGAACCTCCATGTGTGACCACCCTCCATAAAAAGCGACCAGCTATTCAAGACACCAAAACTTTCCCAACCAAAGCCCAGTTAAAGGAGCTTTCATAAATGAACACCTTCTGTAAGCAACCATGACTACTTTTTGGGGCTGACAGTTCAATTTTTTTCCATTGTTTTTAACCTTTCTGTAAGCAACAACTTGACACATAAGTCTGATCTGTACGTTTGCTGTAAGTACTATGCTACTTAGATTAGTATACAAAGAACTTTAGTAACAACATGGAATTGCACATATCACAACTTAGAAATAAACTGCATGTAATAAATTATCTTCCATAAAGTAGATATGTCTGGACATCTTATCGGAAAAGACCCCTGTGGTTCTTTTCTCATAAGCGACCACCTCAAATAAGCGACCACTAGTCTTCGTATTTTCAGTGGTTGCTTACAGGAGGTTTGACTTGAAAATATGAAGGTGTTACAATTTGATGTTGGTTTTTACATTACATCTCACAGCTCGTAGTCCACAGCAAATGGACGAAGAAACAACCTTCCCTTGCACACCCACAACAGCACATCAACAAAACTCTGGTTTTGTCCCAACTTCAGAGGCAACTAACAGCCCATTCAATTTTGAGATACACTCAAATTTCATCCAGCAACTAACAAAGTCTCCAGGAGATGGTTTTCTTTTTCAGAGCAGGCCAATGTTTGATAATTCTATGGAAGGAGACAAAGAGCAGGTCAGTTGATTAGCAATAACATTAATCTCTCTTTTCTATAATAGCCTAGCCTGAAGGAAGCCCCTCCGCCCCCAGAGAGCTGGCTTGCAGGCTATTACCTGTAATAGCCTATCATTCGTTTTAATCAATACTAACATGAAAAATAAGCTGATGCAGGGTGTTCATTAGGCATCGGAGATCGGAGAATTCTCTGTTTACTAGACAACAAGACAGAATTCTCTGGCTCACATTTGGTAGCCTATGCCTACTCTTCATTCAGGCGTGTAGCCTTTTTCAAGATATTCTCCTGTAACGTTACACCTTTCTCCTGCTATAAGAATAATTCTTAATAAAAACCCTGTGATGTTTGAAAAACATCCATGGACCATGGAAATTTAAGCCTCTACACTAAAATAATGTGTATGCTCAATATTACAAGGCTGATGCATTTGCAGAAAGGAAAATAATAGTCTTTAGAGCAAACTTCTTAATGCAGCTTTAATTCTGAACACTGACCACATTAGGAAATTCTGCTGAAACAAAATGTTATGCTCATGTTTTCTTTGAAATACTGCAGGCTAACACAGAGAATACAAATTTCTTATTCAATATGCAAGAAGTGGGAAATTTTCAAACAGGTTAGTAAAGCATTTCACCAAATAAAAGAAGTGAAAAAGAACTATCTCTCTATTGCATAATTTTTGTGTGTATACTGTAGTACAAGAAGCCTTAAAATAAAGCCAGCGTATAAAATATAAGTCACTGTAACCATGAGTTTATCAAAGGTTTTGGTACCAACTTTAAGGCACCTTGATCAGTTGAAAAAAAAAAATTTCCAAAGAGCTTTAAACACCAATCCAACCATTTGGGATTTTACAGAGTGAAGTATAGGAGTGAAGATTTGCCAATATGAACTTGAGCTCAACCTTTTGAGAGTTCTGGGCCTTATTTGAGAGTCCTGCTGTGTCTTATTTGCTACAAGCTTTTCTAAAATATTGAGTTCAAATTCCTTTTCACTAAAAACTTGAAAATTATTTTAACTTTACTTGGTCCCTGTTAAATACGTGATACCAAGTATAGAATATGACTGAAGTAGGCAATTACTGACAGTTCACATAGCTAAGATATCTAATAACTGGACTCAATTAGTAGTTGCTTATTGGTATTTATTTTGACTTAAGTCCTCCTAAATATTTCTCATAAAAATATATGAAAACTAATACCCTTATTGAAACTTATGTAATAATAAACTGCCTGGATAAAAGGATTAACATTATTGTGCAATTAACTACCTCAATGGGATTTTCAGATAAATTAACTTACAGTTGTGTACATGCTGCAGTCTGGGCAGAATGTAATAACAATGTTTCTTCTTTCAGAACATTGGTTATACATTTGTAACAAACACTTAGTAGATAACTCCGTACAGAATCATTTCAGGAATTTAGTGTACTTGATTTTTTCCATCAGATTTAAATCTACTACTTTAGCACTCCCGAGGAAAGCAATGTTAAAAGTGAACATTTTAGACCTTGAACTTTGCATGGTAGTTTGCAGCAACTAACTAAATTATAAATAAATAAATAAAGTGTCTTTATTGTTCAAAAGATAAAATTACATATCTTATGTTACATTTAAATATAACGATGTTAATGGGCTAAAGTATGTCTCTAAATAAGATTAGTATATACATAGAAACAAATACGAAAGTCGAATACAGAAAGTACACCATTTACAAAGCTACATTATACTTAAAGACAATTCTATTAAAGAATGTATTCTTGAAATGGTCCGTGTGAATGGCGGGCATTGCGGGAGATTTATTCCTTAAGTTGTATCTTGTAATCTTAGTCTCAGGGATAATAGACACTTGGCTTTGTATCACCAAGTTTTTTTCAATCTAGTGTCTAAAAATCGCCCCATGTAAGGTAATATGGATTCTGAAATCGGGGAAACATTTGTTTGTGAAATCTGTAATCCAGGAAATTTTTGCTTATGGAATCCAGAATCTGTTTGGCTTTTGTACATTATGCTTTTGTTTCCCCACTAAAATGCTCCACCTTAATGCTCCATTTTTCCCATTAAAATGCTCGGTAGTCCCCAAAAAAGTCACTGAATTGCTCAATAATACTCATAGAGAGGCCTTTTTTAAAATTAGTTCTAAACATTTTAAGGGCGATTATTTTAAGGCTAACAAAGTGGTATGACAACAATGTATACAAATAAATAGTTTCAAAATAGCAAAAAAGATTGTCTTCATAGCTGTATGGAGGTAAAATTTGAATATAGTGTTTTGAATATTATTTTTAAAGTCATCATATCTCTTCAAAAATGTTTCAATTTTTATTCTCTGTGAGAAAAAAAAAACCTAATTTTCTGGAAAAAGACCACTAAAATGCTTTAATAATGGTTAATGCTTTTGCCTCACTAAAATGCTAAAAAAAATGTTGGTACAAAGCCCTACCAGAAATCCTGGGATTGGAACCTGTAATACAACTAAACGAATCCCAAATCCTGCCTTCAATTGGAGTCTGGAATCCAAGTTCCACTGACAAAAAATCTGGAATCCACAGCGCGGAATCCAAAATCCAAGTCTGTCGAATCATTATACGTTTTTGGGAAACTGCCCACATACCCCTCCCCTATTAAAGCCATCATCAACACTTACTTTTCACTTAGGGCAATATGTTGGCTTAAGGGAGGGGTATTTGGGCAGTTTCCCAGAAATGTATAATGATCCAGACTGTCTTGGATAACCTTACATGGGGCGATGAGAACACTAAAAAGCATTGTTAAGCCTGGTTCTCACATGCCGCCAATGCACCTGTGACATGGCTGCCGGTACTGTCTAGGATACTGTTCTGATATGAGAACAGAACTGGCTGGCAACATTGGTCATCCCAGTCTTTACTGCAGCATGCCTGTGAAGTTGACTTGAGTTCAACTTCGAAGGTATGTCGGTGGTAAATCTCTGCGATGGCTCTAATTGCTGGCGGTGCATGTTCTCATTCATCCAAGAAGTAGCCCAGGCGGTACCAGCAGCTACGTCACAGATACATTGGTGGTATATGAGAACAAGGCTTTACACAGTGAATCACACTTGAGTACTTATCTCCAAGCAGGGTCTGGAGCTGATCATTTCCCTGTGTCAAGACAGAATTCAAACCTGTTTGGGTCACCAGTGTCTGGAGAGAGGAGAGCAGGTGATGGGTTGTTTGGAACAAACCCATCAACTTTCAATGGATGTTCCATCTTTGGAGATCCTAGTCCTATTCAGTCTAATCAACAACAAGCACTCACTGGGCCTACTGAATTTAGTTTCTCCTTTGGAGCTAAATCCCCTGATGATGGGAACAGTACTTTAAACAGACCGGCTGCATTTAGCTTATTCTAGAGCTACACAACTTTTATGTTGTAGATTGCCTGTGCCTTTTTCTTCACTGATTCTGTGAGTTTACAGTAAAATTTAATGAATGTACAGCAAAAAAGTTGTATGACATAAATAAGCAAAATTTACGACATTCCAATAAAAGATGAAACCTTGCCAGAAAAAGAAACAGTTTCTCCTTAGACTATCATGTTTTTATTGTCACAATGACAATGAAGAGACTAATGTGTTTTTAATGCTATTTTTTCCTAGCCCCTAGGCGTCATTCAGAGGCAATGGAGCGTTTCTAAACGTGCGGGGGGCGGGGGCTCATCTTTCATTCAGCCATGTGCTTACCCCTATTCAAATTTCCCAACATGCCCTTTCCGTTGTCCGTTGCCACAAGCAAACCTTTTTGTAACAGTGTCTAGTAGCATGTCCATAATCAATTTGTGACAATGCATCAGTTCCTAGCAGATGCTGTGGAGGGACTGGTGAATTAAGCCCTTTTTCCTAAAGGCAGTCTGACCTGTCAATCTTTTTCTTATTCTGAGCAGTTGTCTGAGTATTGCTGAAATATTAAACTCAAACCTTATTTTTCTCTTGGCAAAGAGAACCCTATGCAAGACTACAATTGTCTGATTTCTACTTTCTCCAAAATGGTGATTTATGTGATCAGCACGTGAGCAGCCAAACATGGAGGTGTCACAACTGTGATTTCATACTCTCCTGCAAACAACTCCCTGCGAAACAGGGTGCATGTAATATCTTAGCTATTTTATCTAAAGAATGAAAAATCCGATTATAGCGAACTGTCATTTCCTACTCTCTTACATTCATATGGAACACTGATTCAGTCAATTCAACCAATCATTAGCTCTCTTGGATGCACGGCAAGGCAAGACTTGGTTTATCTACAACTCAAGACCTCTTTAAGGGATAAGCAGGTCTAAGCTTTGTATTTTCACATTTGTCAAATTCCACATGTAAATAGATTAAATTATAGAAGTCACGGATAGTACTCTGGTTTTTGATAAAAAAAGAAAGTGATACTCTCATCTTTTCAGATAAAAATTCAGCCCGGACATCCTTTGAACAAACATAGTGTATAAAAAAATGTCTTGGAATAATTATAGGCCAATAATATATATTTATTTATTTACCCCCCGCATTTTCAAACTGCTGGGGAAAGACCATTTAACAGACATTTTCCAGGTTAAGTTACGGCATGTACCAAAATATAAATTCCAAAGAGCCACAAGCTACTGACTGATTCCAGCAGAACTTGAAATAGTACCATAAAGCTCATTATTTTAATACGTCTCGGAAAATTCTTATCGGTAGGGCACATCCGAACTGACGTGTTAATAAAATTTTTTGCCCTTCGGTAGCCGGACAGTTCGCGTTTGGGACCTTTTACCCGCGGGAAACATGAGTAGGGAGAGTAATTAATCAAACTAATCGGATCAATTAACCTATGTCAGTGAAGAAATCTTCCTCCGTGACAGTTGTGTACGGTGTTGATTTCATTGCTTACCACTCACACTCACTCATTTTCGCGTCAACACGCAATAGTCAACATTACGGTGAGTTGCAACTTACATTAGCATTCGATTAGCGGCCGATCGCAAAGGCACACACCAAAAGTGAAGTGTTTATTTTATATTTAAGGGTACACCAAATACCTCAAATGATTCTGTGACAGATCTCTGTCTTCTGTTATGATCAACAAGACGGAGGCCTCTAATAAAGCAACGTAATGCTATTAAGTTTCCTAAATTTCTAAGATTGAATTGATATGCTGGCTGAAGAAATCAAATGAACCATGAAACGTTTCAATTTAATTTTGCGGCATTGGACTCCAAACCGGCGGCGGAAGTCCTTTGTGCTCAACTTGACGCGGAATGTGCGACGTGCGTAAAGCGTTTCGCGTCAACCCGTCTTCGATTACTGAATAGACTGACTGTAACTAGTCGTTATTTACGAAACTTACCAATGCTTTGACTGCCAAAATTTTTGCCAACAAAGGTTTATGGATCATGTCACGGGCAGCGTGATCGGCAAAAAGTAAATTTGGTATTTTGTGATGAAAGTGCTCTTGTCTGGGTTTATTGTCTTATCCCGCTGTTTGATTGGTCCGACTTGCGCCACGTGACGCCTCAGTGATTGACATCAAGGCATGCAACAGAAGATCTCGGTCAAGTTGGTGTGGTGTACACTGAATTGAGCCGAAATGGACGAAACGAAGGTTATTTATCACATTGATGACGAAGATACACCTTACCTTGTTAAGCTACCCAAAAGTCCTGCTGAAGTTACGCTTTCTGACTTCAAAAATGTACTCAATCGGCCGAGCTATAAGTTCTTCTTCAAGAGTATGGACGACGACTTCGGGTGAGTTTGTGTACCAACTAAGCGCTCTCTGTGTAGATTCATTTCTTAGGCACTGTTTGCATTGTCTCTCTTCGTCGTACAGTTCTTTCTCAAGCGGAAATGTTCCGATTTTCAGCAGGTTATATATCTGTATAAATAGTCTTTGAAATACATTTGTTTAGGAAAACACCGACCTGCCTCGTTCTTCTATCCAATGATTTCAAATCCGTCTTGTTTTGCTTTGAAGCCATACTGTGTGAAAGTTCGCTCGCTGTCAGCATGTTCCGTGACTCGCTGTGTATAGCTACGACTGTACATAGCCTTTTCTTGTATAATCAATTTTCCGTTATTTCAAGCGATCCACGGCGAGTCATTGCTGGCGAGTTTTGGCGCAGATCTCAGGCATTCCATCCGAACTTTTCTGATGGCTTTCTCGATTGTAATTGATACCTTTTTCGTTCATGATAACTTCGATCTCGTTTGCAGTGTGGTCAAAGAAGAGATAAGCGATGAAGAGATGAACTTACCATGTTTTAATGGAAGAGTAGTCGCATGGGTAAGTGGTTTTGCTATTTCTTTGTAAGTTCCGATTGTAGCTGTGAAATGAATTACCGGCGAAGCCATTCAAGAGATCGGGTTTGTTGATATATTTTCGTAGCATGAAATAAAGTTTATTTTAAGTTGTAACTCAGTCAAGGTCGTCGATTGCCTTTAAGAACGTAGATTTGTAAAAGAAATGATCTGATTGTCTTTGTAGTGCGTTTTCCTTCCTCGTGATTCCACAGAGAAGGATATCCGTCTGGCGCCAAGGTTCATGTTTATGCTTCTTAGGATGATCTTGATTTAAAGCCATTATTATACGAAAAGCAACTGTAGAGAATTAGCCTTAAACATAAACATGTTTTGCCGGTATTTATTGCCCAGGCTTTAAAATTTACTTCCTTTTTTACTTGTCGCCCATTACCCCAAACCTCAAACTTCTAGCAGTCATTTGTTATCTCAAAAAAGATATTGGCTCTCCGATTGTGCTTCAGTAATAAAGTTTGGTTGAATGTACAAGCCTCATATTTTATTTACATCTCATCGATTTCCTACTGAGGCCATTGTTAAGAAAGGAGATTTAATCAAGGTTATATGGACGGAATGGTAACTGTTTCGTAGATTTTAACTCCGTCCTTTTATCGCAAATCAGACAATTTTTTGTTCAAAAGGCTTCTAGCTGTCATTCCAAAATGAATTATTAGGGTGATTTGCATTCTTCTTGTTTGTCAAGAGTAAAAGTAATTTTTTTGAGTGAATGATTCGGCCAATGCGAGAAGTACTGGCTCTTTGAAGGGAAAGTGCTATTTAATACTAGGTTTGCAATTAGGAGGCTATTCATTAAATTGTCATCAGTGTGAAGGATGCCGTTCTTTGAAAGGCCAGTCGCGTATTTTTGTTTTTTAAGTAACTTGCCCTTCATGATTTTGAGGTGCAAGTGTCGTGGCCAGACAGTTTTTATGGTCAAATTTTATCACTGAGAAAGGTAGTTGTAAATTGTTAAACTTCCTAGGGCACTGTTCGATATTTGAAAATCACCATAAAGCACTGACGCTAACTCCTAGACGATTATTTTATTCAAGATTTCTAAGTATGATTGTAAAGATTGTTTGCAGTCCTCTTTGGATGGCTTCACATTGACGAACATCTAAGTAAATGGATCTGTGAGAAACAGATGGTTTGTCAAAAATACCAAAAAAATTTACTCTACAGCACACGGAGAGCATAGATTATTGAGAGATTGGTTGTATATTTCGCTTTTTCATCTGATCTTCTTCTATGGTGTGATTTTTCCACCTGTCTGTTAATAATTTTGGGTGTTCTACTTTGTCAGTGAGGCCGAGATTTCAATTTTGGATGGATGTGCTAATTAGTCTGTTAGCCTTGCTCATTAGTACCCTTTATGTTGGATTAGAACAATAAGAGCCTTTTTTCTTAGACAAGACCATGAGAAAGAAAGCCCTTTTGTTCTTATATCTTTATGCTGAACCAGAGAGTCTTAGTGACGATTGTTAAATTGCTTGTGAGCTTGGATGATGTAAAAAGGAGATTAACGACCAAGTATTTTTTTTATCATAAATTTGCTTTTCAATCCAGCCATTGGTTTTGCTTTTTAAAATAAATATAGCATATTTTGTGGTTTATAATAAACCAAGTGTAAACCACATGTTACATCCTTTTATATTTTTCTATATTCTGTTAAGTGGTTCTATGCCCCACTAAAATATTATGCAGAACCGTAAAATATGTTGGTGAAGCTATATTGTTCACTAAGTGACCTAATTACTAGTGTATGATAAGAAGAAACGTTTTTGCAGCCAAAACAATCAGAGCAATATATAAATGTCTAAAATTTATCTTTATTTGTTCAGTGAACAGAATAAAATATCGTAATAAAGGGACTTTAGTACTGCCTTAAATACATTCACTTAAATTTACTTTGTCTGTGGTTTGACTATTTTAATGCTTAATTGAGCTGTTTGCCTAGAGACTGTTTGGCAGTTCAATTAAAATACTGTAACGAGGGCATAAAGAAGTAAATGCAAAACAATATATTTTGACGTAATCTTAATGTTGTCGTATGCCTTGTAATAACTCCTCCATGTACTATGTTTGGCTTTACTCTAGAAAGGGTGTTCTCAGTTGACTGTTTGCTAGAACAGAAATAGTAATTAATGCCATGCTCTCTGGAGATTGTTCTTCTGAGAGATTTAGTTGTAACCATAGTAAAGCCCTGCTTATGTGCAATATAAGAGTTACATAGTAATATAGTGCAGTCCATCAGCTCTGCTAATGGAAGACACTCCGGATATTAAACAAGGCAATCACTGTATTCTAGGCAGTTTCATGAGGCCACTATAGGGGTGGGGGCCAGTTTCCCTCTTTTCTGTTTTCACAAATTGAGAGAGAAAGCAAGTTCCTGTCAGCCTTTTTTACTTTGTGTTTTGTTACCATTTCTTCAACTTGTGTTGCTTATTCAAAGCTCTTTATATTGTGGTTCAATTTTATCCTTGGTTTAAGTTGGTTAAGTTTGTACTTTGGTTTTTGGTATCTTAATGAATGACAGTGAAACAAGGGAATGTCTTGTCTTGTCTACTTTTAATACAATAACAGGTCCTTTTTGATAATAATGTTATTAATTATTAATGATAGTAATAGATGATTAACCTGTGATCAATTTATTGTTTTAGCTTGTCACATCGGACACAAGTAGTGTATCAGATCAAGGCAGCAGAGATGACCAGCAGTCTGTTATATCAGCTGGATCTGATCTTCATCCCCCTATGCCAAGAACAGTTGGTATCGGGGATTCAAGACCACCATCCTTCCAGTAAGTAAACACCATGATGTAGAGTTGCCTGGCCCCGGTTTTTCAAACACTGGATAGTTTTATCCACCAGAGAAGTATTCAAGAAACCGATGCAGTATCCAAGGGATAGAAGTTTACCCTTTGGATAGCATTATCCATGTTTTGAAAAACTAGGGCCTGGAAGAAAACCATATCTTGTGCTGTTAAAAATATAATATTGTATGTTTTCAGTGTCTTCACATGAAAAAAATTTGAATCGATCCATCGTTATTTGTGTCCTATGGGATGCATGCCATGAATTATTTTGCGTCTTTTCTGGATTTTTTTGTGTAAGGGATGCAGGACGCAGAGGTGACAAAATCACTTAGTACCACTACTTTGTTTTCATAGTATCTGGATCTACTTGCATCTTTGACAAGTTGCATTACAAAACATTTTGATAACATGACTGGTCCTTTTGGAAACTAGTGCATTTTGTTCTCTGATAAGCCAAAGATTCTGGGGAAACAACATTAATAATGTTATTGTTTCCCTTGGGAGCTTTTTTTATGACAGAAACTGTATTAACACCCTAGGTTCTCCACCCACTCTCTCCCATTGTCATTGTCACAATGATCACAATTTACTTTGATTTTCATTTATTAAATTGTATAGTGCAGGGTTAATCATTGTCTTTCAGTGAATCAAAAACTCCAGAAATGTTTCCCATGCTTTTTAGGATTATTAAAGGTCTGGCCCCAGTTGTTCAAAGCTAGATAGTGCTATCCACTGTATAAATCTCTATCCAGTGGATAGTGCAATTGGTTTCCCTAATACTAATCCACTGGATAGAGATTTATCTGATAGAAAGCTCTATCCAGCTTTTGAACAAATGGGGCCAGCAGGTTATATGACCACCTAAAGTAACATTTAGTGGCCACATGATTTCTGTATCCTATTTTTTTTATCTGTTAGAAAATGAGAACTATTCTTATCATGTACTGAAACTAAGGAGTACAGTCAAGATTAAAGCTGATTATTGTGATCTGTCAATTTTATATTTGTTTTTTTGCTTGTTCTAGTCATGGAGGTCACTCCACTACAGGGGATTTTGATTCAGAAGTCGATTCTACAGTTAGTTCTAGAAGAGGTTCCAGAAGACGGGAAAAACATAGTATAAACAGAAATGAAGGTGAGTTTGCTGAGCTGGATAAAACAGGGCAGACCTACATGTTGATATATAGGGCTAGGATGTAAAAGTAGGTGGCTTGGGGATCAAGTACCGTAGACAATTTGAGGCTTTCAGTCCCTCATTCGACCCATTTTCCCTCAAAAGTAGATGGCTCAGACGTTGAAGTAGCTGGTTGTTTAGCCAAATGCTGGCTCCTAATGAGAAACCTGTAAAACCACAATGTTACAGTTGGGTCCTTCAAAGTGAAATCTGCAGAGTATTTTGACCTTGCAGTCTAGTACTTTTGACATTACTAAAATGGAACTAATGGATTGTTAAATTTTCCATGTGTTACAGTGATCCATGGTCGGCGGCGGCATGATGGGGATAGATATGAAAGTGCTTCTATGATGAGTAGTGATATTGAAACAACAAGTTACCAAGATTCCTCAGATGATCAAAGCAGGTAAACTACATGTAAAGCTGTACTGTAAGAAAATTTGAAGAGAGCCCAGTGTTCTGAACCTGTGACCGCCAGGGTGCAGGGGTATGGTTGCTATGAAAAAACTAAGGGTGCTTTCCATTCAACAAAAATTCCAGTTTGAAGTTTTGGAAATTTCACATGCCCAATGAAACAGTACATTCCGGTTGCACAGCCCCAACGTAAGCCATCACGCATTTGGTCATTGTTCTTGTAAGCAGGATACAAAAGAGCAGTACTGGGGACAACAATTTTGTCAAATGGTCCAACCGACTGAAATGATTCCTGGTACATGTATTTGTTCAGACTGTTTTCCGTGACGGTGGCTTTCATCTTACTTTGGTCAAAGAACACTACATTTTTCCTTTTAAAAGCAGCGTAATTTTTCTCTTTGATTACATTTTCTTTTTTCATAAACTGAAATAGTTAGGAGGGAGGCAAAATTTAACATTTGTCTGAAAAAGAAAATCAGAAAGAAGAACAAGGGGATAGGGGTTTGGTGTTCCATTTAATTGCATCCCAAGATTGTAGCTTTGGCTAGAAACAGTATTAAAGATTTATCTTTATCTTTGTAGTGTTTCTAGGTTTTCAAGCACAACAGAAAACTCTCAGCTCTTACGTGGGAGACATAGAAGAAGAAGGAGGAGACCCAGGATGCCCAGAGTTCAAAGAGTGAGTACTTGGGCCTTTTTTGATTAGAGATCATCTTGTTTGGTCCTTTCAGCTAAAATAGAGTGGTGAATTGTATACATTTGTACCTCCAGTAAACTATCACCCAAAGTACCAAGTTTTTATTTTAAGATATTTCAAGAAGTGTCTGACTTGAATTTTAGGTGTTCAGTGATGTTAATTAACATTTATTAATTTCTTTTTTTAGTGTTCGTCCTTCAGCACAATTACAGAATCAACAATGTCTCTGAACATTATCACAGTCACTCTAAATATGGGTGAGTACCCTGCCCCTGGTTTTAAAACCAGTCGGTGCTGTTGATGCTCTTAGAAATAAGATTTCTGCTCAAATTCCTACAGAATTTTCTAGGAGGTTCTTGCAAAGAAACGATGAATCTATCTGTATTTCAAAGAGCAACTGTGATCCTTTCTGCATTCTAATCATCTTTAGTAGTTGAGAGTCGTGAGAACTTGTCATTTACATAACTTCAAGGATTACATTTAACATCCATGCATGCGTCATTGTGGTCAAACATATGTTAAGTATATGTTTAGTGCACACCTACATGTTGATATAATATTTATCATATGAAGTCTAGTCTTCTATAAATAACAGAAATCTATACATTCCACAGAACGTTAAAATAAAAGTTGATGTTATTTTTGTTTTCAGATAAAGTCAATTTTCTAGGAATTAGTATTGTTGGTCAAAGCAACAAAAGAGGGGATGGTGGAATTTATGTTGGTTCAATCATGAAGGGGTAAGTGTTAACTATTTCTGTGTAAATGAAATTCATAGTTTTGAACCGGTCATTCAGGATTAATACCTTTAAAAAATGCTAGTCCATAACCTCTGAAGGGAGTGTTTAGATCAAAAATCAAAAGTTCAGAAATGTTTTTGTAAGTAAGGTTTAGAATGCAATGCTCTTACAACTGTTGATGCCAAATGTCATTTTCAAGTAGTAATGAAGTTATTATTTACAGTTTTTCTTTGTATTGAGTATTTGTAAATAGGTCTTCTGTTTTTTTTTTCTTTTCGACTGAAAGTGACATTTTTGTCAATGTCAAAATGTTGTCCTTTTTTAACAGTTTTTTAGTTTCTGAAAAAAAAAATTACAGAAAAATCTTAATTGCCAATTTTACCGAAAAACCATCTTGTTCAATTAACACAGTTAAGTGAAAAAGTAGTTGTCATGTTTGAGGATTATTTCTAGGTTTGATCAATCCACATAGTTTATTGCAATCAGAGAAGATAACAATTCACTGATTCTTGTCTCATCTTCCCCTTTCTAATGTAAACAGAGGTGCAGTTGATTTGGATGGTAGAATAGAACCAGGAGATATGCTCCTTCAGGTATGTGCAGCATTTCCTGATTTACTGTACATCCACTTTTAAGCCTAGGGGGTTTATTTATTTTGAGCACATTTAAGCGGTGGTGGTAGTGGTGGTGGTGGGGGCAGGGGCTTGATGGAGATGGGGGGCTTATTTAATTTAGCAAACCCAAAGGTGATGGTATCAGTTCTCCATAATGAACTAGAATGCAAAGTGGAATGCTCAAGTAGAAGAAGTTGAAGTCATTGAGCCAAGGATCAAGTCAACAAATCCATACTTCCACCTTGTGAATAAACCATCCTAGATCAGTCCACACAAAGTTACAGTGGTGATTGATTAATGCGGTCTAACATTTTATTGGTCAATAATAATAAGGGAGGGGAGGAGGGGCTTATTAACTTTCATCTTCTGAAAAGGAAGGGCTTATTAGAGAGGGGGGGCTTAATAGAGGATTTATGCTACTTAAAGTACTTGATCATTCTTTTGTCCTTCTAGAACATTATTTTCATTGTAAAAGAATGTTGTATAACACAGGTTTTTAGCTACCTGGTTGTTATGAATGAACAGTTATAAAAAGGTTATTAAAATAATAGCCAGTTTTTGACCTTGATTTCTGATCCCTTTCCTTTGTTCCAGGTCAATGATGTTAATTTTGAAAATATGAGCAATGATGATGCTGTGCGGGTGTTAAGAGAGATGGTCCACAAACCTGGGTAAGGCTCTTAACAGAATTGTCCCAGATATTAAATGTGTGCCCCTTTTGAAGGCGACAACAAAAATAATCTTGTTGATGTTTTACTTATTCACATTATCCTCTTTGGCCTCCTTTTTAAACCAGATTCAGGAAATCCAGTATCATTTTCGTGAATTAAGAGATGATTTATTGCTCTTTACCATGTCTTATTTCGTCTCATTTGTAGTCAGTTCAATATGGTTTTAATAAAAGGAAACTGTTAATATACTGTATGCTTGAAACACTTCATTAAACCATTTAGTTGTTTACACTTGAAATTTGAAGGACTTCTTTCATATTTGAAGGCTGTGAATGACAATTCTACTTGATCTCAAGGCTTAAATGTTTATGTCAGATGCAACACTATAGAAACAGATTTATCATCTGGTAAATACATATAAAAAATGCTGCTTTTACGCATGTTTCTCATTTATCCTATTATAAATTGTTTTTCAGACCTATTACGCTGACTGTAGCAAAATGTTGGGATCCAACCCCCAAAGGATACTTTACGTTACCTCCAAGTATGTATCAATTTTTTGTACTTTGTAATAGGCCTATTTCCCTATGTGTTATGTGGTTTAAATTTTCTTGTGAACTCGTAGCAGAAATTTGAGCTTTGTAATACACAAGGGAAAGATTTTACAACAATTTGAAAATGTCAAAATTTATAAGGATTTGTATGAGAAACCACTTAAACGTGACTAGGTGGCAAGAGTTGTTTTTCCACACAATCCTTTTAATTTTCTGTAACCTGTGTTTCAAGATATACAACAGAAAATGTACAGGTTACGTAATTTTAATATGCTCTTTCAGTTCCTGCTAACAATTTCCAAAGTGAATTGTTTTCATGTTTACCAAGAGTTGAATGTGTGATCAACCATTGCAAAAGGCCCAGGCTGACTTAGTTGTGTGCAGTGTGCTAACATTTGGGTTACCTTTCTGTTTTCTGGTCTAGGTGAACCAATTCGTCCTATCGATACGTCTGCGTGGGTCCAACACACAACAGCGATGGCTCGTAAGTACTTTAAAGTCACCTCCGAAGTTGAAATTTTTTTGTAGGAGGTTATCCCTGCATGAGTAAAATAAGGGTAAAAAGACATGAAAAAAATCTCTTGCTTATAATTTTCTCATGGTGTTGTTTTCTACTGAATTTTAGAGCTTGGTAACCCAGCAGTCCAATATGGAAAACAGCCGAACAGCCAATCACTGACCACGATGACGTCTACAAGCTCATCAATGACAAGCTCCCTACCAGAGTCGGACAGTGAGTTGCTTTGTGGTTCTCAACCCTTTAAACCATAAAATAAAATATCAAACTTGAAATTCCCATTTGTTGCCCCCGTACATTTCCTAAAAAGGAGTGGGGAGAATTTGTTCAAGGATCAACAAGAAATGTCTTACAAAGTGACAGTCTACAGCTGTAAATGTTTGTAAGTTCTGTTGGCTTTATTTAGTGTTTATTTTCTCTTTTGTTCTAGGATATACGGAGCTTCCAGAAGGGGAAGGACTCTCAGTAAATACAGACATGAGCACTATAGTAAAAACAATGGCAGCTCCAGATTCAGGTCTTGATGTCAGGGATAGGATGTGGCTTAAAATTACTATTCCTAATGCTTTTATAGGTGTGTATAATCTTTGATGCTTTCATCAAACTTTACTGTTGAGCATAGGGTAAATAGGGTTAGCCTGTGTAGCTGGCAGAATTGTTTGTGTGTGTGAGAGTGTTGGCAGTTAAGCCATCAATCTTTAAGCTTTGTCGCAAGAAGCAAGCGCCACAGCTCCGTAGCTCCTCTGCCAAAACGTTGCTCGTACTAACAATCCTGCTGGCTACATGGGCTAAACCAGGATTCATACAGGTCATGGAAAACGTGGAAAGTCATGGAATTTAATAATTTTGTTTTCCAGGCCTGAAAAGTCGTGGAAAATAAGTAACTTGTTGAAGTTATGTTTAGTAGATTAGTTACTGCAATTATTTCAAAGCAAGGACATGGAATTTGGAGACAGAGTGCAAATGACACTTCTTTTGGACATCAGAGTTCGTCTCTCTTGAACTGAGTTAGATAAAAAAATCACCAAAATTAAGAATAGTTTAGAAAATGTTTGAAAATTATAGTCAAACCTAAGGTCGTGCAAAAAGTCAAGGAATTTTAAGAGCTCAAAACATTAAGAAATTCTGGGTAAAGTGCATGTTTCTCACAACACCTTGTCTAATTTCTTTATTATGTTTACACTGCAGGTTCTGATGTTGTAGACTGGCTTTATTCACATGTAGAAGGATTTCAAGACAGACGTGAAGCTAGAAAGTATGCTTGCAATCTTTTAAAGGTAGGTCTGTGCCTTGTCACTTCTGCTCACTAGTACATCAGGGGCGGATCCAGGATTTTTTTTAGGAGGAGGTGCACTCTTCTCTTGCTCTACTTCAACACCAATAAACCACATAGTTTTTTTTTTTGCAGAATACCAGTTGTATTAGAAAACTGCAAATCGTCTCAGGGGGGGTGTGCACCCCCTGCACCCTCCCCCTACATCCGCCCCTGTACATAACACGTCCTTAGCACAAACTTGTGAGGTCTATACACTTAAAAAGTGTTGTCTTTGCTCTAAATCAACCCATGGGCTAAAGTTTAATTTTCTTCTGAATAATTAAGAAAGTAAACTACGAATTAGATTACTAGACTCAAAATATTATTATCAGATAATCTTGTCAATAACATATGTGGTAAATGATTTGGTAATTATTCTAGACCTTTCTACCTTTTTTTATCGTTAAAAATATTTCTTTTTTTATTGCCTACAGGCTGGCTTTATTCGTCACACGGTGAATAAGATTACCTTCTCAGAACAGTGCTATTATGTTTTTGGAGATCTTTGTGGAAGTAAGTTTTTTATTTTCTTTCGTTTTATTTTTTAGTCCGTGCCTTAGGGAGGAAAATGTAAAAGAGTTAATTTTCCAAAATCATCAGAGTTATTTTCTTTGTTGTATTATCAAGCCAGGTTATCTATCTCCTATATTGCCACTAATTTAATTATTTAAATTTTCAAATATATTAACAGTCTTGTTTATAGCCTAGAGCTATTTTGATACCCCATACCACTCCGGATGCTTCTAGTCTGAAACTAAATTGGACTAGCAGATGTGCTGACTACTTATTTTTGTGATGATTACTAAAATATTATTTATTGCTGAATTTCAAAGCTGGAAACTGTCTTTGAATATTTGATTTCTGAATTGGCTTGTGGCTTGTGGATTATTATATTCTTATGCTAATTCTCAAGGCTGTGCTCTAGTAAGATAAATCAAAAGAACCTAGTGCCCTGAACCTGTGAACTCAAGGGTGTCCAGTGTATGATTTTCGTGAACAAAGAAAGAAAACCTAAGATTTCGTAAGGTTTCCCAAGAGTAAAGTGGGGGGCCATGGACCACTGGGCAATGCTTGGTGTACAGTCCCTGTGTTGTTATTCCAGTTGCCAGTCATTTGTAAATCAGAAGGTGGCAAAAGATCAGTTTTGTTTTTACAGTTTTCGCAAGAAATGCTAATTCAACCCCAAGATAAAATTATCAGATGATTATTTGTTATTATTTACCTAAAACTTGTAATAATATTTATTTCTGCTAGAATTAAGAATATCCTTTATGAGAAGGCTGGGTTTAGTGGATTTTGCTATCTGGCTAGTGAATTCTGTTCTTAACTTGTGCGACCGGAAAGGGAATTTAAAGGGAATTGTAATTAATGCTACTGGTCAAGAATTGTTTTGGGGCTAATTAAAACTGCTCTTGGGCTAGTACATTCTTGATATGGCTTGCCCGAAGGGTAAGCTGTAAAACTGACTTTCTTTGCACTCTGGATTTACTGCTTTAATTTATAAAAGGCATCCTTTGCATGCGTTTTCAAATTGTTTCTAGAAATCAATCCTTGACAATTGCTCTGTGTTTGTGGTTTTAGATATGGCATCTCTTACAATTCATGAGCATGAAGGTGATGGTGACAATGACACTCTGGGACCCCTCCCTCCACACCAGCAAGGAATCTCCTGGATGGCAGGACCCCCAAGTTATGGCTATCATCAAATGCCTCCTTACCCCACCGCTCCCCCACTCATGGTTGATGCACAGACCCCAGGGTATGCACAGTCATTTTACAGTGCACACAGTGGTAGCCAAAGCCCTCACAGTGCTAGTGGCAGCTCTAAAAGAAGCGGCGGTGGCGGTAACCGTGGAGATGGTGACAACAGAAGTAGTGGTGGAAGCAGCAGTGGGAAGAGTGGTAGCAGCAAGGGAAAGGATCGTGATGCACGCAGCGTGGAAGGGTCAGCTGCTCCAATGCTCCCTGCACCACCCCCGGTTGGGGTACCCATGCCCGGGACGCCTGGACTCGCTATGATACCGAGACCACTTGATCAAGTCCCTGATAATCTGTCAGCGAGTAGGAACAGTTTTAGAATGGCCATGGGTAATCCTTGTGAATTCTTTGTAGATGTCATGTGAGGTGAATTGGATATAATACTGGCAAGTTGAGTCATGGAATAAGTGGCAGCGATCATGCCCTGTGACAACAGCCCACAGTAGCTGGTCAGAGTCCCAGCTATGAGCCTCCCATGCTACTTAGCAACACCTGTCTGCAAGATCCTGTTTAAGTTTTTGTTCTTCTGCCGACAGCTGAACAAAAGACCAGTACAGTAGTCATCAAGAATTAGCTGCCTTCTCAATTCTAAAATAGCGAATGAGGTCCTGTGGTAAATTTCCTACGACTTCCAGAGCAATAAATTAATTGACATAATTATTAGTTATTATTTCCATTTGTACATAGTGTGGCATTGGTGCTTTTGAGATGTTAGGTTTGTACATAAAATGCAGCATGAGTTATTTTTAATGGCAAAGAGACGTCATTTTTATCTAGCAAACTTTTGAGGTACAAGAAAAATTTGGGGGATCTTGGACGATCCCGTAGTAATTGACGCGATCATAGCCTGTTTTATCTTACCGTGAACCTCAGATTTTACTCGAGGAAATGACTTATTGAATTCTCAATATAATAAAGTATTGCGGAGCTTTAGTCGTCTCGCATTATTTGGAGAGTTTTCAAAAGTAGCCCACACCTATACTTCCCATGCGTGATCAAAGGTGAAAGCCAATCCCACGGTTCATTTAACCCTTTTAAAAGTGATCAACATAAAATTTCTCCTTGTAATATCTATCTTTTATAAGACTGAGTGGCCAAGAGAACTGAGGACATGATCACTCTATTTGATGCTTAACAAAATCTCCCCACTACTACTATTAAAAACGTATGGGGACAACAAATGAGAATTTTTAATTTGGTATAAGGGGGTTATAAATGGTTAAATGCTGAACATTCCACCCTGCAAGTACGATGCCAAAGAGGTTTTCGTTGGTTGCGTAGTAAGATACCGTCCAAAAATATTGGTAGGATACTAGGCATGTCTCTCAATGCCTTTTTGTGTGAAAGGGTCTAGATTAAACTTTATTTGAGACATACCGGTAGTCATCACAAACTTCTGATCCGTTGCATGATAGTGGCTTTCAATGGAAACGTAGCGTTAGTGAGAGACAATTGGAAAATCATAGGATTCTATAATTCAATAAAACAATTCAAATGAGCACAGTTTTACATTGTAAAGGAGGGAGAGGTAGGGTTTTGTTCTCATATTTTCTGGAGTAAATCTTTTCCAGCAAATAAAGTTAAACAAACGAAAAGAGAATTACAGTGCGCTTGTTATTCAGATCATTTGCGTACACCGTGCACGGTTAGTACTCGAAGGGTAAAAACTTCGATGAGAATTTATAACGGAGTCCACCAGGAAATTGAGTAATGGACGAAAACACTGTACCAGAATAATTTAAAGAATATTACATTCTTTTTTTACATTTTTCAAGGGCTAAAGAGTTAATTAGTCATCTGTAATTACACCAAAGAAAATTTCTTACGAGTGCCCGAGAAAATGAATGTCAAATTTCACAGAATTACATCGTACACATGAAATTTTCAGAATTTTACCTGTGTTTTCACAATTCTTGTGAAATTTGACAATCATTTTCTCGGGCTCCCTTGAGAATTTCCTTTGGTGTTGCAACAGATGACTAACTACATCTTTAGCCCCTGAAAAATTTAAAAAAAGAATGCAATATGCTTTTAAATTATTCTGGTACAAGGTTTTTGTCCACTCGAAATTAAAATTACTCAATTTCCTGGTGGATTCCGTCTTAATGATTGAAATGAGCCAGATAAACGTTTTCTGTCGTATATTAAGATACAGCTGCCGAAGAGGTTATACTGGTTTGCTTACGGTAGGCCCAGTTTAGTTTTTGCATTTGCGTCATTGATTTCCTGCGTTGAAAAGTGACGAGAGTGCCCAATAATTGCTCAAAAGGTGTTGCGTGCTTCGTTCGTGCGGGCAAAAGACCCTTTTTTTAAAAGAAAATAATCGTGACCCGTAGTTATTAAAGGAAGGAACCAGTCAAAACGACCCACAGTTACTGATCGACACGAAGATCCAGAACAACCCAAAACAAGTGGCGCACGGGAAACCCTCCGTCATTTACTTAGTGCAATTCGCTTGGAAGCGCAATCGGAAAAATAAGCTCATCGCAAAGCTCATTCTAGACTGCAAAACAGTCGGTTTTTTTCTCAAAATCGGTAAAGAAATCGGTAAAGCGTGGCGTAAGAATCTTACGCGCGCGAAGCGCGCGAGCCTCACACGCCACGTCAGTCTCGCTCTCTGTTTTCAGCCTCATTCCAGACCTTTTGTTTGACTGCTCGCGCGTACTTGAATACGCAAAAATACGGACTGTTTTGCAGTCTAAGCTCATTCCTGTCCCTAAAGTTGAAAATTTACAGTGCCAAACAACCCTCTTTTGCGACGAGGGGAAGTGTAAGTTTGTCCTTCATTTTCTAATGATAGAGAAAGTAAGGTTTCCGTTTTACTGAACTACACGAAAGTTTCCTCATATTCTAACTCTTATAAGCAGCCTCGTTAGCGGGGAAATCTGTGTTGTTTAACAGGTGTTGGTGACAGTGTCTGCCTCTTATTGGTCCCCAGTCTCCTCTCCGTAGTTGCGCATGGGGCCCACCCTTACGCCTCAATGCGCGTTACAAAGACGACAAGGGGAGGGTGGGAGAGTCAGTGTTGGTCTCATGTTTCCTCTCACTGTCAATGAGGAAATCACATAATACAAGTTACTTTCCTTTGTTTTGATATTTTATTTACAGATTTTTATTTTACAAAAATAACTCGACTAAATTTTGCTAGTCCACAGTAGTAGTCTTCGACTACGAACATTTTTGAAATTTTCCCCTTCAGTTATCGCGGTTTTAAATAACTATTCGTTCAGTAAATTCAATTCTATTTTCATATATCAGGCATTTAAAAGAAAGTTCGTAAACTTGTTTCCCCGTTTACCAATACTGCAACTTTTAGGGGACTTTGATACGTTTTCCTTCCAGACGAAAGCAGAGATGGAGACATCTAGAATCACGTTCACATCAAACGTCTACCTACAGCACCCAGCTAGCCGGGTATCAAACGTCATACCGTAAAATTCCCAAAATAAGCCCCTCCATGAATAAGTCCCTCCAAATCGTAACGCAAAAAACCCTCCGTTAAATCGCCCCTCCGAATATAAGCCCCCCGGGGGGCTTGTACATAGAACTTGCTCTCGAACATGTCGAATACAAAGTAAAACAAAGCAAAAATAGTGAATTTCCTTCCCACTACAAGCTAGCCCAATCAATTTTGAAACGCAAATTTCCCTCCGTACATAAGCCCCTCCAAAAATAAGCCCCTCAAACAGGGCCTTTGAAAAATATAAACCAAGGGGGTTATTTTCGGAATTTTACGGTATTCAAGTTGAAAATTTCTCGCAATAGGATATGAGCTGATAAAAACTGTCCAAAAGAATTCTGATGGTTGAAACTGGCGTGAACTTACTCAATTTTTGTGTGTAAATATAATGAACAGTAAATTCCAAGTAAAGGGAAAAATTGATCACCTGGTAAAAAAATTGCCGTATGTTGTACACGTGACCCAAAATATTAATTAGCAATATAAAAGACAGCGTTGGAGGCAAAGATCCAAGCCTGGCTGATGAAGCTGGGTTACATTCCACTTGCCCTTAGTATCTGGTAATTCCGTTTCCCTGGTAACTACCAGATAAACCTATCAAAGCTCAAAGCCACAACATGTGACAGCGCAAAGGGTGGCAAACGCCTGCACTGTTTTTGTTACTTATCTGATTGGGTGAGAGAAAAGCGCGAGATCTTTCAGCCAATGACAGTGCGAGGCGAATCAAGATACAAGGAATTTGCATTTGTAATCAGGAAAATGCATGCGACAATCTACTTCAATTATGCTGTGCACACAGTTTCAAATCAAGAGTCACTCCTTGGATAAATCCGTTCACATTAAAAATCTAAACCACCAACTGGATTAAAGCGGACCATTTTTGCGTATCTGTCGAAAATGAAATATACGATTTTCCCTTCTAGTATTTCTTCTTCAAGTCTGTTTCTCAGTAAGAAGGGGAAAGAGAGGCAAGCGGCAGTAGATTTTGTTTCATGAAATTTTCAACTTCTTTTTTGGGACGTTTGCGCTTTACGTCTTTTTTGTTTCAATTTACAATACATTATTTCAATTAATACACATCTCAGTTAACTCAAAATACATCTCTGACGATAAAAGTATTTTCTCTCAGGAGCAGGTTAAAACACAGCATCTCTAAATAATTATGAAAATTTTTCCCTAGACTCGTCACCAACTTGGTTACTTGTCTAGGATACTATTTTCTGTAACAGTACTTGAGAAAATGAGGTTTCTTGTGTCGTGGACTTTAATCCAGGTCACCTCAAAGAATGAAACCCGATTTTTTTCTTCGAAAGGGGAGGGGGAAGGGACGCAGGGATCGAAAACCTCATTTTATCAATCAAACATTTAAATAGCTACACGTCACCACAAACAGTAATGTGCATGCATACCCATTTTTTGTCTCAAACCACATCCAAAAAAAGGGTGGGGAAATTACCCATTTTGATCGGCAATTATAAAGGGAAAATTTCACATTTATGTCGGAAAAATTTGGTTTCAACAGACGGAAAGCACAACACAGCGTTGAAATCATGACATTCAATCCACATTTGCGGACCTCGGGTGGCAACGCCTTCATGTTGGCTCGATCTTGATAAGAAGCGTGGTTAACACAACAGATCCCTGATTTTCCAGATACCATTCCAAGTTTTCCGTTCCAAGATTCTGATCAAGCAGTTCATTAGCGTCCACGTCTCTGTGACTGTGCCCAGCTCTGTAAGAGCCTGGTTTAACTAGAAGCTGCAAAGCGACTTGCGCTCTATATACTTCTCCCGTTGTGCCATCTCTGTACCTAGAAATCGAACAGAAACGTTCAAACAACTTTCTCATACGGTACAACCTACATTAAGTTTTTCCTCAAACTAAACAGATCCCTTAAATTAATCGACCACGAAACTCACTAAATCCTAACTCCTTTTTCGCACATAATCTTTGCTCATCACTAGAGTTCTTAGTAGCTCAGTGTCCGTGTCTGGAAGGTCGTGGGATTAATTCCCATCTAGAACTCAAAATTTTTTGTGAGTTCTTCTCTCCACTTGTGTCATTCACATTCATTCATCATTGAATAACACCTATTTAAGCCAATACCCGTATTATTCAGGCACAAGCAACAGCCCCCAAGGCGTTGACGTAATCCAGTCTAACATACAGTACCAATTTCAGCACTGAAGCACACGTACCAACTCCGTATCCATGAGTAGAGCAGCCATGTGCAGCCATGTGCGCCACGTACACATGCGTAAGGTACTGGCCATACTGCGGAGTTGGTACTTGTGCTTCGGTACTGAAATTGGTGTATTGTAACGTATAGTAACCTCATTACTACCGCGACCGTTGCGGAAAAGACTATTCTACAGACTTAACTACATCAAGAAAGTTTGAGTTAACTAAGTATTCTTGAGAGGTAATAAAGGAGAAACATGCAAAACCAATACATACTCTTGCTTCTTTGCTTGTGTTTCACACGCGCAAAGAATTGTGGGTGACACGCACAATTGAGGTACTTCGTTTTCCTTATTTGACGAGCCACTCCGCCGCTGACTGCTACAGCCTGCAGACATATAGATAACAATTACGGTAAACTTACTACATTTAACGTCATCAGGCTCCAGTTGTTCTAAAGGTAGATAGCGCTATCCCCTAGATAAACCTCTACCGAATGAAAAACGTAATTGGTTTCCCTAATACTTAACCGCTGGATTAGTGATTTAGCCGTTGGATGGCGCTATCCGACGTTTCAACAACCGGGGCCAGTGTTCTATAACAATTTAGACGCAACGAATAGGCCATTTCCGAGTCCCCCGGGCCTCTGTTTCAAAACGAGTGCTCCGCTTTTGATATGGAAATCATTTTTCATTCTCGTACAAATAAAACTCATTTTCACAAGAAAGGTTGTGTACCTTGCCTCATTTTGAAAGTGAGGGTTTTTGGAACTCGGAAGTGGCCTATTTGATTTGTACTATAACCGGCAAAAAAGAACTTTGTTGGTCCTGCTGGAGATAAGGTAAAAGGATGTATTATTGCATCGAGTCTCGAACGAACTTTTCCACTGTGATGTGCGTGTTTCACTTCCAGAGATATTCAGTAGGGACCTTAAGCAACGACCACGACAACCACGGCAGTGAAAACGTCGCTAAAAAATTAATTTGCGTTCTTTCAAACTTAATCGCGTCTGTTTGGACCCGCTCAATATGTCAAATGCTGGCGACTTTTCCTGGAGTTGAATTCTTAAGGATTTTATTCAAGTTCAAAAAGAGGCAGGAGAATTCGTCGTCGTATGTCCACGTCCTCCATAGAACGTCAAATTAGAAGGTTTCACGCCGTAGTCGTGCAGTGGACGTCAAAGAAATGTACTAAAAGCGTGATGCACGTGCAGAGCTGTTGTTTTGATCATTAAGCCTATTGTTTTTTTGAAGTCGTCGTCGTAGTTGCTTAAGCTCACAATTTTCACAGTAGAATTAGAAAACGGAAACGCATTATTGCTGAAGAAATTCCGTCTTCCCCCTCAAATATGAGGGAAATGTTTTGGTAAATGGTATGCAGACAATGATTCATTGTACTGCACTGCAGTGTGAACTGCACTGAACATGTGATTTACGTTGCAAAAGCAACGAGACCACGCTGTAGAGTACAGGAGTTGCACTTCTCCAAACTGACTAAACGTATGGAGTAAAGGCGTGGTTACCTTGAAGCGGGATGTGTCCAAGATCAAGTATTCTTCTTAGCCGTCCAATCATAGTACCGTAAAATGTCACGTGCCATTTATCAAACACGTGATAGCCTTCCACTCGGGGAGGAATTCTAAATTTTAGAAAGAAAGTAAATGACAATTGTTACTAGGTGACTAGATTTCGAAGGTGTTCAAGGAAGGAGCTAGCGGGTGGTGGGTGTGAAGATAGAATGAAGCAGTGCATGCTGGGACCTGGCAGTTAGTCCACGGCTGGCGCTATTCAAGGTTTCAGTAGGTTTTGGTTGACCCATTCGCTCCTGGAGATTTTGCCAAAAAACGCGTTTTGAAGCTAGTCAAGTGGTTTTCTGGTCACTGCCGTGCTATAAAGAGCTAAAACATACCACAAACCGGTTTACAGGTTGTACACTTGGCGGCCTTCTGATCCAGGTGCAAAACATCAGCTTGCGAAGTTCGGGCATGCGCAGAAAGCAAAATTTCGAGTTTTTGGTTTAAAAGTGACACAGCAGTCTTGACTTTTACTTTTCGCTTTTTCTCCTTCCTTCTTTTTTGGCTTTTCTTGCCTCATTTTTTTTTTCTCTTGCTGGGCATTTAGTAGGCTTCATTTTGGTGGGAAGAGTTTTTAGAAGAGCTTTAAGGATCTTAGGATTAGGTGAAAGGAAAGGTAGGTGGGCAATGGAACAAGATTTTCGTGGAGATTTTCAGGTCAATGTCACGGGTTTTTTTGCTTCTTTCTCCAGTATCCTTGACTGAATTGTGCTCATTCTGGTATGGTTTGAAAGATCTCTTCACTCTACACAAGTTAGCGAAGAAAGTTGTCCTTGACCGTTAAAATTGATGACGTCACAAAGGGTAGAAAGGACCTGGATCCGCACGGACGGTTACGGGCGGTTCAGGGGCGAATGGGTTAACGCCATACCAGGAGCTCGTTACCACGCAGCGTCTGTCGCCCACTAACAAGTGTCACACTGCAAAAGACTTATTTTGCAGTGAAATTCGCTATCTTTATGAACGTCTGGACAATACAACATGGCAAATTATCTCGACAGTGGCCTTCAATTCCATGATTCTTTAACCACTTAAACTTCGCTTATCTCATCTGCCATTTCTGGAAATCCTTGTCTGCTCTGACCGTCTAAAAGTGTTGTTGGGGCGAAAGATGAGCATACCAAAAGAAAAAAACTACCAAGGTATGACCCAGGCCTAATGTGAAGAATGGACGCTCTCACGTAATGGGATTCAGGCGAGACCCTACTCTGAAAAGGCATTTCTCAACTCGTATAAGTATACATGGATAAAGATATGACCGCCAGGAAGAGAAAAGCACCTCACGCACGAAGTCAAAAGCACGAGCTCTGGGGTCGAGAACGAGTCTAACCTGAGGGAAAGTCTGCGCATGCTCACCTTAACGCAAACTGACACCATCCCAATGGCAACGCATAACGACACGGTGGATCACCGCTGACAGCATAGCGCTTTTCTCCACGGGCCTCGTGGCAGGCTTGACAATAGCATACATTTAACTTACAGTCTGTATTAAAATACTCGTCTGTGAACAAAAGCAAACGATCAATTACCAAGGAGCCCTAAGGTATTTTATGGTGTAACTAAAAACAAAATGTCTACCAAATCAATTTAAAGCTAAGAGTCCTGGGATCCCAGATCAGGCCAATCGTTTCATCGCTTTATGTCAAACCGAGGAGCGCTAGACTAGTCTGTTTATTACGGGATAAACAACTCGAGACCCACAAGGTCAGAAAGAGGAAACCGAGATTTACAAAATCCTCAAGTTTGGTGTTTATCGGGCCTATAATGAACGATGTACAGCCATTCAAAAACTCCAGAATTTACTAAGAAATACGTAGACGTCCAGACGGTGTATCCAGTATTTTAAATCCATATCTCTCTTATTAAAATTTCAACTTTTTAAACAATTATATCTTGTTCAATATTGGCCCGATTAACACCAAACTTAAATTTTCTCTTAACCTCGATGTGCTCTTTCTGACTATGTGGGTTTCTCCCATAATTCAGGGACTCGAACCTAGCCCTCCTCGGTTTGAAATTAGGCAATAGAAACAAAAGAACGACAAGGATAGCACCAACCATGCGATGGTGGCAAGAATAGCTATTTCCTAGACATAATGACGATCGTGTGGACACTTTTTTTCACTAACCTGGTATTGCTAGACTAGCTCGGAATCGGTCACACAACTGTCTATAATCACAAGGACCTTTACTGTATTCACCTGGAAAAAATGTTGGAAGGAAACGTTAAGTGTAAAATTCAACATTACAGTTTGCATCACTAAAAAAATGTATGGTGTTTCCTCTATTCGAAGGCGAACTAATGAAAAGTAGAAACATTACAAGTTTGCCGTGCTGTGTTGTTTGATTTCCCCACCAAAATGTCTGCGTTCAGTTAACACAAAGTAACAACTACTTACCAGAGCTTCTCTCAGCCTTTACTTCTTCCATACTGACACGCCCACGCTCACCATGGTCAGCAGTCACTATAGACACTTCCTCGCAGCAGCCGTATAGGTCAAGCACTGCAAATCGTCTGGCAGGGATGGCCTGGGCAATGGGTCCCAGGTCTTCTCCGTTAATAAGCAAATGTAACCGGCTCTTCTTGTCAATAAACACTCCAAGAGTGTCTCCCTCTTGAAGACTGTCAAGGCTTCGACGCAAGTTGTCGTTTACCTATATTTGAAAGCATTTACTGTAGACAGCGCGTTTTTTCAAAGACTGCGAAATGTATGACATCGCGAAACACTTGAATTGGCCAGAGAGGAGATAGGGAGAGTTTGAGAGTAATTCAAGCGCACAGGCTGCACACTTCAGCTTCTGCCCGTCCCACTACGCTTTTTCGGTGTTTGGTACATACCCTAGAAGAGAGATTACGCACCGCATGTTTTTTTCCCGCGAACGGCACTTGTCGTTTGCCGGCGGGGAGGGCATTTTTCCCGTTTAGAGGAAACGCGGAAACGTGAGTATTTGCAGCTAGTTTGAACCGACTATTGTTTCATTTTTATGGTTTCTTTTTGTAGCTATGCTAGTCGGTTTGGTTTTCTTTGTGTTCAGGTCTCTTTTGGGAATTGCGAGACTACGGAGTCGTACAAAATTTACAATTTGGACCCTAAAGCTTCGGAGTCATGTTAGAATGTCAATATATCGAAGGTCGGCTATTTTTGACTCGATTCAGTGACCTTGGATCATACCTTATTTCCATTGACGTAAACTGCATTGTTGACAACTATCCAAGGACTGATCTTGATACTATTAGCCGTGCTTGGAAGGTTTGTCAAGACATCTGGGTCCTGAGCAGTGACGCCGATCATCACAGACCCTGTCCAGCGGCTGTTTAACTTCCTAATACAAACCTAATATTGAAAAAAGAAAATTAAAGAAAAACAACTCACCTCCTGACTTGGCGCATCCGTCCTTTTAAACACACTCGTTGTTTTCTTTTTCTTTTTGTACCAGTAACTTTTATTTAATTTTTTTTACATTAGAATCAAAATCAAAATGAGTTGCCTTAGGTTGACGAAATTTACAAGACATTCACTTTTCTAAAAAGCAATATTTTTATAAGACTAAATACAATTGATTTTGCCAAAGTAAAGTAACTAACGATAACTAACAATATTTACCAGTATGATTAATTATTGCACATATATTCACACACATATCCGCAATGGCTTTAGAAAGAAAAAACAAACAAACAAAGGACAGGTAAAGCATTTAGCATTTAATCTTTAACCTACAGAGCCCTGCCTACGTTTCACTTCAACATAATAATACATTCATTCTTGCGCTTGAAGTCAATAAATCCCTGGCAGATTTTGTTTTCATACGCGCGCTCGACGATCTCTGAAGGGAAAATACAAGGTCTGTGAATAGGCTAGTAAAGCAGTGTTAAGATCTACTTAATCCAAGGTTACCTAACCTGAAATAAGTGGTTATCTGGAAGAGGTTTCTCACTCAGCACTACTCCGTGATTATAACTGTCCACTCTTCTGGCCGTGGTGCGATTGCTATCCAGTGAAATAAACTGACCACAGTTCTTATGAAAAAGCAACCTAATAGAATGAAACAAATCACAAGTAACTACAGTAGAACCCGGTAATACTGTCACCAATTGGTAAAAAAAAAATGGTGACCATATTACTGGAAGAGGGTCAAATTTCATGACTTAAGGGCCGTAATGAAAACAAAAAATACGCCATACATAGCATTTACACTGCTTGAACAACTGTTCTCTGTAATAAACAACCGGAATGTAGATATCGCTGTAAAGACTATTTGAAACTCTCCTTCAGTGCATAAAACACTTTTAAGAATCGGCTAGTAAACAGCCACAAATGAATTTTAAGTAGCCTAAAAGCTTTAGATGAACAGGCTTAGCTTACTAGGTCAATGATATTGACATGTTACAGGCATTTTAATTTTCTAAATTTCGAAAGAGTGACCACATTTTACTATTTGGGATTTTAAGATCTGGCCGTTAGCCGTATTAACGGTTGACCCCATTAACGAGAATTTATTATAAGAAAATGTATGGCCGTTTTGCTGAGCCAACAAAAAAGGCCGTAATAACGAGGTGACCATATCACCGAGGTGGCCGTAAGGCGGGGTTCTACTGTTCAGGTTCCATAAAAAAACACTTTTCACCCAAAGTATACTCCTAGAAAGACAACACAATTCACAGAGTACCAACTGCAAGAACACCCTTTCATGGACAGGCTTACTTTTGTAAACTGTTGATGGAATCTCGGGAGTCACCTTCAAACTGTTCTTTTACCTGTCAAAACAAAACCGTTGTCGGTCCACATCAATATTACTTTACGCTCAGCTTGGCTCAAACGTCACTTTTTTTAAAAGTCGAAAAAGGCACTCCTTCAAATAGGGGTCTTTATAAGACATTGTGGATTTCTGGCCCAACAGTTAATGCACATATTGGAAAATTTGGGACCATCAAATTAAGTTGGCCTCGAAAGTTAAAAAAAGGAGTACACGAACAAAAGGCCCATATGGCCCGAGCTTATCCCGGTTTCTTTACTCTGAAGCATGCTTAGAAGTATTGATTTAGTCCCACTAGGGTTACCCCTCCCCCCCCCCCCCCCCCAGCAGTAAGTGGCCGGTACCCATTTACACCTGGGTTAAGAGAGACAAAGTGGAGGTAACGTTTCTTGTCTAAGGAAACAACGTGACGGGCGAGGCTTGGACCTGGACCTCCAGATCCGGAGTTCGAGGTGTTAACCACTCCGCCACACAGGTCTCCTGGAAAATTAAAAGGAGAACTTAACTACGCCGGACCGAACTTCAATACTCTTCACGGTCGATCGTAAATAGGCTAGGTCATTTGCAAGATGGCGTCATTTTACTACTACGACCATTATCATTCAGAATTTTACTTTCTTGTGCAAATTAAGGCTTTTGTTTTTTAAACCCCGTGGGATTACCAAATTAAAATATCAAAGTAATAACGAAAAGGATTCTGGTCTTAGTAGTAAAATGACGCCATCGTGGAAATGGCTTATTCAAACAACCTAACTTACCTGGGCAAACGCTCAACTAAGTTCGGACTTAATTAGCTGAATTTAGCCCAGCTGATGAAAGGGACGACCTTTAACTCGCGCCTCGCTCGATTATGGTAAAAGTAAAAGTGAATAGGTTCTAAAGAATCTAAAGCGGCTAGCAAAAAGTACCATCAAATCAAATTCGGATACAATTTATAAAAAGTGGTCACCTCGGAAACTTGGGAGACTGACACATGCGATTCTCCATTTACCAAGACACCAACAGAGCCGGGAGAAATGTCTGTGAAAAATGTAGAAGAAAAAGATGAACAAATAAAAAAATCAATAAATAAATATTCAAATAGAAAGAAAAAAATTGTTTGGAATTGTTTTGGTCTTTAGTCCTTCAAAAGTGGCGTGTTTAAAATGAAATAACTGTTGTAGATACAGTAAAAACCCGCAACTAAACTGAGCCTGCATTTTGCTTAGTTTGCCTAAACAGGTTCTTAAAAAAGGGTAATTAGCACAAATTTAGGCTACGTAGGTTCTCAAATAGTTTCCTGTTCTATGAAGAAAAAAATACATTCAAGCTAAGAGTATTTAGTGATAAATTCAGCTTATTCCTTATGTAAAATCTGCATGCCATTACATTGCAGTTGGAGTGATAGGACACCTATGTCTCCAAAGAGGATTCTGAATGTTGACGAATCTTTGTTTGCCAAAGAGTGTACAGAATTTTTTTTATAGATTTTAGAAAACAAGAACCTGTTTCAAATTTTAGGCTAGACAGAATTTTTGTATAGATCGGGCCTAACTGGCAAATTTTAGCCTAACAGGTTCTTAAAAACCAGGTTCTTGGTTGCGGGTTTTTACTGTATCTGCACAAAGTTGAAAGTGTACCTGAAGAAGGACTTGATATAGATACCATATTGGCCATGCCATAGATATCCACCACAGCGTGAACGATCTGAAACGATAAACAATTTATTAGCACGACGTTATTGAGGCTAGAGATTCGCTAACCTGAGAAAAAAGCCGACATTTTACGAGGCCACCGCTGCTTTCCCCGCGAAAAGACGTCTGAGAAACGAGCGCAGAATTTCCATACTGATGACGTGTCTTTATCCAGATCTGGGCAGTACTTCTGATTGGTTCTGCCGTGAGGGAATTTTGCTTCAACCAATGAAAGATCTGGGCAGTAGTTATACGTCATCAGTATGGAATTTTTGCGCTCGTTCCTCAGACGTCATTTCGCTGGGAAACCAGTCGTGTCGCCGGGAAATGTCACCTGTTTCCAAGCGCTTCCGAGTAAGCATTAAGGCGGATTTCCAATGTCGCATAATTTTTACGTGCGTACGCACGTAAATTTTAAAAAGAGAAAGTAAAATTCGTCGCCTCTTGTTTACGTCCTTCATAAAACGTGGAAGGAAATTGTAAAAAGCCTGATGACGTGCAAAGCCAATCTAAAATTCGTTTTCATTGACGTCGCCGTCGCGGTTCTTGTTTACGTCCCGATAAAGTTGGGACGTTTGAAATTGGTTGAATTCAATTCAATTTTCAATTCAATTTATTATTCACACTTTATAAAAATTTCTTATATATGCAGTAGGAATACACTAATGGGAAAGAAGATGTAAAAAAAATGGCTTGATGAACGGTGGTCAAAGTTGTTGTTTGGCTAAAACCCCTATAAATATCGTTTTTTTGTCGTTCCCAACAACTAACGCAAACGGACGCAACGTGTAACATCCAACAATGTTGGGAGTTATTGGCCAACAATGTTGCGTCCGTTTGCACGGGGCTTTAAGCTCCTTACTTGGTTCGTGTCCGTGCCGGTTCTTTGCTGGTTATGGTTTCAATCAATATTACCTGTAAGTACAGAGACTAGACCAACAACTCACCTGAGGAATATCCATAGCGGCAACTCCCTGGTCTTCTCCATTAACAAACACATGAAAAGTACCATCCCTCTGTCTTTGTACACCAATCTTTGTCTTGGGCTGTGGAATATCAAAAGGAATATTCTCCTTACTGGTCACACTGCAATTAACGAAATAACGACTGGCGTATAAGTGAACTCTGACAGTTGGCAGATTATCCCTCCATGCAATATGAACACAGTGCGCAAAGCAGATTAAAAACAGTGAAATTAAGCGCCGTTAAAATGTTCATCAATAAGGGTTGTAGTTATTGATTACCTGTAATCTATCCAAACTATGACCATAGTTTTCCTTGACCACAACAGCGTCCTTCATGACACAGGACCCAGTCATTAGCCATGTGCCTTCTCGCAGATCCATCACAGAGGCAGGAACAGTTAACAGAGGGATGGTTTTAGTGGTGATACCCACAGCGATGGATCCTGACCAATGGTTACCTGTTACTTTGTCAATAACAATCTGAAAAGCAAAGAAAAGTGTTTGATTACTGTAAAGTGCCGCTTATAAGTCCAAGGCTTATACATCTTCGTACGGACTTTTAGAAGTGCTTATAAACTGTATAAACGGAGGAACTTACATCCCACGGGGCTTATAACAGTGTTCGTACTCTTTTCAGTCTGCTACACGGCCGTTTTTAGTGTCGTCACGTAACGCTGGAGGACCGTTGCGTGACGACACTAAAAACGGCTGTGTAGCAGACTATACTCTTTTGAGTTCTTCACATTCCATGACTTTTTCCATAACCTATTCTAGTTTTCTATGACCTTAGGTTAACATATAGCTGTCATTTTCGAAAATTTTCAAAACTCTACTTGTTTTAGCATATTTTTTTTACCGGCTTAAACAGTTCGACAAAAACAAACTCCGGTATCTACCAAAATGCGTGCCGTTCGTGCTGTTTAATTGCAACTCTTTATCTTACGATAACCTTGCTTTGTCATATGCAGTAACTTATCTACCAAACAAAACTTTATTTTTCCATGACTTTCAAGGACCGAAAATTAAATTCCATGACTTTCCAGGCCTTGAAACTGAAATTATTAAATTCCATGACTTTCCAGGTTTTCCATGACCTGTACGAACCCTGTTATAATCCTGCAAACGGCTTAACCTTCACGTGACTTACATCGCCATATAGCAATAGTGGCACCGTCTCCAATCGAAAAACAGTGTTCTCAATTTGTGCTAGAAACATTGAAAGGATATGGCCACGTACCTCAAATATTTCATCTTCTTCGAGAGGCTTTGCACTGAACACAAGACCATGGCTGAATCCACGAGACCTAGAGGCTGTCATTTTATTATTCAAAAGACGGATATTCTTGCCACAACAGGAATGAAAGCCACATTTGACTTTACCTTGAAAAAGAGTGAAAACAAATATGCTGCGTTAACTATTTGAAGAACAAATCCAAGTTTGGCTTGAGGTCCAGGAAAGCTGAATACAAATCAAAGTTTAAAAAGTATAGTAACAAGATGATGCAGCAGCTTTATTGTGTCTTACGCTTACTTTAGAAAATGATCTGAACTTTTGAGTTTACAAACAAAATCCCGAAATGTGACCATGCAACTGAAAGCTACTGAGCAGTACTTTCCTGTGTTGCTGTTCATTGCGCTGTACAAGGTGGTTCTAACTTCTGAGTCTGTGAATGAAATGCTATGTTGTAACCATTCAATTAAATGCTAGAGCAGTGTTTTCTATAGAATTTTTAAACTGATGTTTTCATTTTTAACCAACATACCTGGACTTGTTCCTTCAATCGTCTCTTCAGTTGTAAGAACAGTTTCCACAACTGTCCGCTCGGTGGGAACTTCTACAGGTTGAATTCCTTGATAATCTTCATCATAAATGGATATTTGAACACACTGGCCATACAAATCAATCATGGCATAAATGCCTAAACAAAAACACGATATATATTGCTTGGCATGTTGTGAGCGGAAGAGACAAAAAAAATACCCCCAAAAAAAAAAAAAAAAAAAAAAAAACCTTCCGAGTCTTACAATTCATACATCAGTTGGAGTGGGTTATCATGACCAGTTATCATGTCTGACGATACACAGGATTTCATCACACATAGCAAAGTCAGTTGGACATTGTATAATTACTGATTCTTATCTGCAGTTTTGAGTACTCACAATGAGGGGCAAAAGTAGTTGAAACACTGGTCTAAAATGCGCGCTTTTAGTAACAATTTAGTAACAATTTTTAGTAACAATTCTTCCTAACGCTGTAACATTGTATTTTTCCTTTATCTCTTGTACGTTGTTTTTATTTTTCCTCCATGTAAATGTAAGTATTGTCATTAGAAGTGTTGTAACCAATAAATGTTATTAAAAAGGTAAAAAAAAAACAAAACAAAAAAAACAATTTCTTTCCTTTTTCATACGACTCTGTTTAAAGACCATAAACCCCCCACCCTTCCCTGCTAGCAGAGGTCTCTCACGACGACTCCACCCCTAAGTCAATGTTGTTTTTTGTTGAAGAAAGACTTGAGAGTGTAAATTTACCAGATGGTACATTAGAAGCAGCTACACCACAGTCTTGTTTGTTAATAAAGAAATGCAGTGACCCATCTGATTTGCGCATCACTCCAAGACGGGAGCCTTCTTCCAGCTTGTCCAAATCACAGCCATACCCATTTTGGGTGGTGCTTGCGTTCTGCAGCACAGTCGCCCCAGATAGCATCCACGTTCCTGTGACAAGATCTGTCATGGTGCACGGAAACTTGAGCTGGTCTGGAGGTGTTGTGGAAACACCTGTAGCAAAATAAATATTACATTTTATTAATTCAAATTTATTTTTGTAAAATCCTGCAATTTAAATTGTACTTTACAAAACTTCTGTCAAAGAGGTTTAAATTGATTGCTAAAGCCTTGGGATTTTGCAAACAGATGCAAAAGTTAGAAATATAAATCATCTCACTTTAACCTGGGTAAGGATTTAACTAATTAAGTAAGTATCACAAATCTCTATCTCCAAGTTTTGAGTTCAATTCTTATTTTCGTTTGCCACAACTTGATCATAACGGCCATCATCAAAGGCTTGAAAATGGAAACGTTAAGCTATGGGCTCCTAATATTGAAGGGACATCTATCATGTCTGAAGTTGTGCTGTGTAAACTTATTTTCTTTTTAAGTTTTACAAGAGCCGACAACTTCACTTTCACTCTTCCTCCATGATTTACACCTGTGCCATCTTGTAACCCAGATGCCTAAAGATGGAGGTTTGATCTAGGAGCACAAAATCATAATTTAAATACTTCAGGCAGTTAGTGTTTTTCAATGTACCTTGCCCCAAGACAAGAGTTAAAGCATTAAGTTAACAATTGTATAGTATCAAAGAATTCTGAAATTGATATATCATTTTCACTCCTGAAAAAAACAGAAAACTATTCAAAGACAGTTGTGTCTGACAGCCCAGGGCTAGTGGATTTTACAATCAGGCGAGAAAATTCTGTTCTTAATTTGCCCATTCGCCACTCAACAAAAACGAAGAGGGAACTTTAAAGAGTTAACTTTCACAAAGACGTCTGGAACTGTTAATAGGAACAGGGGAAAAAATTGGCCAATAGCTGACCAGCGCATGCCCTGTAAACGTGCCAGAAACATTTTGGCTCCCCTTACTCTGTACCTTCTCATTTCTAGAGTGGTTAATTGGGGAATGAAGTTCTTTAGGGGAAATTAAAATTGCAGAAGTTATTGTGAGCCAAATTGTTTAATTCCTAAAAATTAACTCTTGTGGATCGAAAGCTGTTTTTTAAGGTCATCTGACAATGTGAATTTATTACATTGTTATTAATATTATTAATTATTATTACAAAAAATAAATAAAGCAAGTATTAATTAACTGTTAAAAAAGCTTAAGTTTATATAATGATGGCTAGAAAGGAAATGGGCGAAAACTTAAAAATGAGCAAGTGAAGTTGCATAATTTCATAGCAGTTATACACAAACACTGGGCAGAACTCTACATGTACAGACCTGCTTCCATTGAACCAGACCAGCGACTGACCAGTTTCTCGACAATCACTTCAAACAGTTCATCATCCTTCAGTGGCCTATGACTCATAACGATGGCATTATTGAACTCGCACAAGGATTAATCCGTACAGCACTCCGGCAATCATGACTGACGGCAACTTGTCCTCCATGATACGAACTAAATTTAAAACAGTTATTTACTTCATTTATTGATGCTGTGATGTCTTGAGGTGGCGCTGATGATGATAATTCTACAGGTTGTTCTTGTGTAATAATAGCAGCATCTGAGACTACCGAAGAAAATTTAACAAAAAATGGAACATAATCAGCACAGTAACATAAAAATGTACAAGACATAAAACATTCAAACTTGTATTAGATGGGCAACCTTGGGAACAAAGGCAAAACTGAAAGATTAGTCTCTTGACTCTTAAAATATAAAATTCCTGTTTCTTTTGGTAAAATCCAAAGAAATAAATGAAACCAAGCAAAAGTTTTGCCAAAGGCGTGCCAAATTGAATTGTAACATGTGATGATTTCCAATAATTGAATATTGTAACATAGCAAAGTTGGGCAAATTAAAAACAGAATTACAGGCCATATGACACAAAACAGATTTAAAATTGGTGACAAAACAGAGTTGACTGTTCAATACAGGTTTGATTAGCTTAAAAGTAATCAAGAGAAAAATATGGCTGAAAAGGTATATCAAGAAAAATTAACCTCAATGGGAGCCAAAACAAAAACATAATAGCGGAGATTACAGGCCATAGACAAATTTTTCCACAGTTCTAATGAAATGAGCCAGCCACCTGCCTCAATTTTTAGTTTAATGGTATAAAATAGGTAAAGGCTCATATGAGCCAAAAGCCCAAATAGCCGGAGCCTATCCTGGTTTGCTTAGCATGAGGTATGCTTAGGAGTATTGCTACTACCACCTGGACGGGATGCTAGTCTATCCCGTGGTTTCCCCAGAAGTATGTCGCTGGTACCCATTTATACACCTGGGTGAAGAGAGACAAAGTGGAATTAAGATCCTAGTCTAAGGAAACAATGTGACGGGCAAAGCTTGAACCCTGGACCTGCACGTCCGGAGTTTGAGATGTTAAGTGCCTGGCCACACACGCCTCTGCACTTAGTTTAATAATATAAAATAAAAACCACACAAGTTTAGGCCTTTGTCATCTGCTACTCCGGTTATTCTGGCTACTATTGTAAAACATTTTGACTCGGCTGGGTACTCTTAACAAAGACAGCAAACTTATTTTAATACTGTAACAGTATCAGAAGACAATAAAAATAGCTTGTTTAAACCCTAGAATGGGTGAATAAGAAAGCTTGATAGACCTCATACAGTTTTACAGCAGTTATAAGGAAAATTATGTCCAGGACTTTGGCTAGCAATTACATGACAGAAGTTGATCACTGAATAGAGGCTTGACTTTAATCAGATTCATCTTACCATTTAGGGTATTTTCTAAAGTAACCTCTCCACTTTCTTGTGCATCTGAAACAATGGTAACCTGAGCACACTGACCAAACAAATCAACCACACCATACACATTATCTGGGACACTCTGTGCTGCAATACCCAGATCTGTGCTGTTTACAAAGAAATGCAGACAACCATCGTCCTTTCGCATCACTCCGACTGTATCACCAACCTATCAGGACAATATTACAAAACCATAAATACTTCCAGTGAGAGGTGAATTACACCAGTAAACCTGCACTTAGAAGAATTAAAATGACAAAACTTAAGCTACCAAAATGTAAAAATCTACCCACTCCCCTCCCCTCCATCAGTGCTCCATATTTATTTACAGTTATAGCCTGAGTATCAGGCCTTCTTAAGGGGCTAGGGGAGAAAAAATTTTAGATGGGGGAGGGGGAAGGGGGAGAAGGGAAAGGAAGGCCTGACACAAAACCATTCAGCAAATCGTGTGACACATCCAAAATCTGGATGTGGCAGTGATTGGATAACACACAATACCCCCCGATGTCACCGACCGCAAGAGCGATCGGCAAGGATTTTTCATAGATGTTTTGATTTCATGTTACCGGTATGTGATACTTTCATGGACAGAGACGCAGAGAGGAATTCAAAAAAGCTCTAGAGGGCGCTCTCAAGTTCTTTCCTGGAATAGAAATAAAACGCGAGCAAGAATTGTGTTTTCAAGGCCTCGTAGTTTAAAGGAAACATGTACTCGGAGTATGGAAAAGCCTCATATACCAGCTTCTGCCGAAACTATGAGTAACTACGAGTATTGGTTTCACAAGAGCGGGACAAAGAAGACGATATTAGTGTTTCAGATATCTAAGTTCTGATTTACAACATCCTGCCGTTAAAAGGGTATTGTTACTGTAAATGAAAATAGAGCGAGGTAGCCATGTATTGAGATAGCCGACAGCACCAATGCTTTTAAAAGGCTTGACTTTGCTTGTGGCGGTTACGATAGCGTACGTGATTGGAATTCGTTCGCTTCGTCTTCCAAAATTTTCTCACTTTTGAAAAGTTATAAGCTCAAGCGGGCGCCATCATATTTCGCCAACGGGATTGACCTTTGCTATAGGTTGTCACTTCTTTTTGAACCTGTAACAACTTTCACGAGCTCTCTGTGAAGTCGTGGAATTTGCTGCTGCTTGATAATTTCTAGGCATAGGTGTTTCACCTTCGCACCTTCCGATTTATTCTTGCAGCTCCTTTCAACCACCCGAGAATACGAGGGATAACATCAGTTTTTTAGCTGCCAGACAAGCGCCTGATATAAGTCTGTAAACAAAAGCAACTTACAATTTTCCGGGCAAATGTTTATTTACAAACAGAGCGTTGGCGATCTTACACTACCACAATTCCTAAAACATGTTATAATTCCTCAAAAACGACGGCAGGTTTTACATTACAAGTATTCGAAAACTCCTCATTGGAGATTTCAGAAAAAAGCGAAATCGTAGCAACACAAGCACCGGAGCTCGGCCAGACCGTAAAGTGAGATTTATTTTAGGCAAGCTTTTTGCACATGAAGCTGACAACCTAATGACCGGAAGTGATTTTGATTGGATGGTATCGAATCA